AAGGCGGAACGGTTATCGTGTTAACATCGCTACCAATTATAACTAACTAATTAATAATTTTTATTAATTGTTTTTATTTTTAAAAAATGTTAGCCAATTAGCGAAACCACCGTTCATCGTTGGAAGGTTTGACCGTCCCAGCAACCATGCACCACGTGAAGACTGAGTTGCCGCAGACATTCGAGTGGGGCTAGGAAAATGAGATGTCGCGAGAGTAGTATTCCACAACATGTGTTGCAGAAATGCGACAGAACAACTTGCGAGTGCCTTCATCCTCACATCTAGGCGATCATTTGCGAAAAGGTAGAGAGAGGTGATGTAACACCTGCTAAACGCATACGTCACTTATGCAAAACGTCACTTATGCAAAGACCGTTCTTGTCATCCTGGGTCGTTGTCTCCAGTTCTTTTTCGGATTGACGAACCGCCAGGTATCCATCCGCAGGCTCATGCCGGAGGCCCTGCGACCAGCTGAGCTCTCACAGGCCACGGGCGTGATTGAATCGAGTGCATATTGAGGGGATAACACAACAGCGTATGTATGCGGGTACTCTATATAAATGCGAGAGAATTAGGGCAACAACAAAAATTACCCAACAAAAAATATTCCTCTGTCGGTACAACACCTCCCCCACGCTCAAGGGTAGCGCTTGCTAAAGTCCTCATGGAACTTGACCAGCTTGCCCACGTAGTCGTCGACGCCGGGACAGAGACACGTGAGCCTGTAATGCCACTCGCCCTCCTTCTGGCCGAACCCGCTGCCGGGAACGACACAGATCCCAGTCGCATCGAGCAGCTCGAGCGCGTACAGCGCATCGGGCGCCTTGCCCTTCGCTTCCGCCGCCTTGATCGCGCTGTCGCTCAACGAGATCCGCGGGAAGAGGTACAGCGCGCCGGGGGCGTCGACGCACGACACGCCCGGCAGCGCGTTCAGGCGCGCGGCCATCTTCCGTGTGCGCTCGCGGAGGTCGCCGTGGATGCTCTCCGTCTCGGCCTTGTAGAGCGCGTAGGACGGCTCGCCGGCGCGCGGCGGGCGCACGAGGCAGTCGATGCCGACCTGGCCCTGCACGGGCGGGCAGAGCCCCACGGACGCGATCTTGTACATGAGCGCTTTCACGTCCTCGGGCACGTTCGTGCACTCGAGGTAGCCGCCGCGCCTGCCGCACTCGCCCGCGACGCCCTTGCTGAGCGAGTGGAAGGAGACGAGGGGGGCGCGCGACTGGAGGTCGCGCACGACTTTTTTGAAGGAGACGAAGGGCGCGTGGGCCGGGCGGTGCAGGTTCGCCTGGTAGACTTCGTCGGCGAGGAGAACGAGGTCGTGCGCCTCGCAGAGCTGGACGATCTCGCGCATCGTGTCGGCGCTGAGGAGGGAGCCGGTGGGGTTGCCCGGGTTGATGACGACGAGCGCGCGGGGGCGGACGCCGTCGGTCGAGGCCTTTTGGAGGGCCTCGCGCAGGGCGGGGACGGATGTTTCCCAGTCGCGCGCCTCGTCGAGGTGGTAGGCGATGGGCGCGCCCGAGAGCGCGGCGAGCGTCGCTGTGTATAGGGGGTATTGGGGTATGGGGATGAGGATGCCGTCTTTGGGGTTCGTGATGAGGAGGGAGAGGAGGAGGGAGACGCCGGCGGAGGCGCCGGCGGTGAGGAAGATGTCGGACGGGTCGGACGGGTGGCCGTCGCGCTCTGTGGGATTGCGGTGTTAGTGGACTTGCGTTATTGCGCTCGCCACGCGGGAAAGTAAGAAAAGAGACGGACCAGCGATGAAGTCGGCGACGTGCTGTCGGATGAGCGGGACGCCCTGGCTGTGACTGTACGCGCCGATGCTGCCGATCTCCTCCTGCAGCTGCTTGGCGCGGGCCTTGACGTCCTCTGGGAACGCACCCGGTGCAAGCTCGGCGAGGGCGGGCCACTCCATGAGTGAGGCGATCTGGCGGACGAAGGTGAGCGGGGGCTGGTCGAGGCCCTTCTGCTGCGGGTTGCCAATGTTGCTCGAGATGACGCGGTCAAAGGGCAGCCCCTGTGCATGTTCTCCACCTTTCTGAAGAGCGACGCGGTGCTGCTCAGCCTTGATGGCGAGCTCGCCGCGGACGGCGTACTCGACGCTGCGGAGGGCGGGGTTGAGGGAGTCTGCGGTGAGAGGCATTCTGCGAGCGGCGGAGGAATGGAGGGATCGATAGGAAGAAGGGACTTTTAGGATGCGGAGAGATGAAGAGCGTGCAGAGGCCATCTTGATTACTGGGCCTTGTACTTCTATTGGCCAGCTGATACAGGTCGACGGGGGAAGGGAAGCAAATGTCCTCTCGCTTTATTATAGAAATTTAACGGCGGGCTTTTAGCCGGCCCTGGCCAATAGACAGCTATGCGGGTGGCCGTCTGCTGTGGTCAGCATGTTTTCACAGCGTATACAGCTCAGCAGACAGCTGCTCTCCTTGTGTCTCCCTCGTAACATACCACCACTCATTGGAACGCTGCATTCTCGCCATATGCCCGGCTTCCGATTCGTCGGGTACCGGTCCGCCTCGAGCCCCGATGAATTACCATCTTTAGACGCTAACGGCCGCACTTCGGCAAGCACCGCCCGCCAAAAATTCTGCCCTCTTGTCGATCACACCAGACAGGGACTCACGCATATACCCTTCGTCATCTTGCACGATGCCCGACGCCTTCTTCGCATCCTCAAAAACACGAAAACGAAAGCGCGTAGGCGCAGACTCTGCCCAAGGTAGCGCCAAAGTCGCTCTGCGCAAGTCCAAGGGCAAATTCTCCGGCCCTTCGTCTTCAAAGGCCAATGGTGTCTCCGGCAAGCTATCCAAACGGAAAAAAAACAAGATGAAGAACTGTCGAGTGATGATGAAGCTCAAGGCGCGGGTGCGATTGACGACCTCGATCTCACAAGGGATGACGAGCCCATGGATAGCGGGGACGAGCTTGAGGACGAGACGCCTGCCCAGAAACGGCTAAGACTTGCGAAGCTCTATCTCGACGGTGTCAGAGAAAATCTTGGTGCGTTCCGCCTCATCTATATCTCACTATTTGTCTAATAAATGCGTCCTTCTGTTTGTCATATGGTCCTGTGCGCTATGCCGTCGCATCTAATTCCTTCTCGTACACATGCCCTGCCTCCACACTCCAATCGCCTCTACGCTTGCCATATTGTTTACACCCTTTTTATCCTTTTGAATAGCTGGCGACGAGTTCGACGCCGCCGAGATTGACCGGGAACTCATCTCCTCCCGATTACGCGAAGATGTCCTCGAGCACAAGGGCAAGATGCACGTCTTCATCGCCGACTCGGTACGTATCCCTTTCTTTCCCTTTATTCTACAAATAACCTCTTCCCTCCACATCCCCATATTCCGTAACTAACACACTACGCCAGATTGACCTCACCTCACCTCCAATCCTACGCATCCGCCTCCCAAAACCCGTAACCGCCGCCGTCGCCACGCCCGACGCCCACACCCTCTTCGCCGCGTCTAAAGACGGGCACATCACCCGCTGGGACATATCCACCCCCACCCCGCACCGCGCCGCGACGTTCCACAAAACGCGCCCGGACCACTTCTCCTCTGCATCCTCCAGCTCGTCAAAATCCATGCCCCACTCCAAAGCCAACTCCAAAACCAAAGCCAAGGGCAAGGAGAAAGGCAAAGGCAAAGGCAACTCCGCCGCCGCCCAACATCTCCCAGGGCACACCGCCCCCGTCCTCGCGCTCGCTCTAAGCTCCGACGGCCGGCTGCTCGCGAGCGGCGGCGCGGACGGCGTCGTCGGCCTGTGGGACGCGCAGCGCGACGAGTGGGTACGCGCGCTGCGGGGCCACAGGGACGCGGTCGCGGGCGTGGCGTGGCGGTATGGTGCGCATACGCTGTTTAGCGCGAGCGCGGATCGGACGGTGAAGGTGTTTGATTGTACGCCGAGTGTGCTGGGGGCGTCGAAAGAGGACGACGGGGAGGGGAAGGAAGGCAAGGAGAAGGAGAAGGGCAAGGGGGGTGGGCAGTGGCAACAGCCGTTTATTACGGTGCACCCGCCCCCGCCTTCCTTGCTACCGCAGGTCAACGGGGCGTCGAGGGAGAAGGAGAGGGCAAAGCCGCCCGCGCTCGATCCGGCCCCGATGGGCTACATCGAGACGTTGTTCGGGCATCAGGACGCGATACTCGGCGTTGCGGCGCTGCGCAACGAGGCCGCCGTTACCGCCGGAGCGAGGGACCGCACCGTGCGCTTCTGGAAGATCGCGGAGGAGAGCCAGCTCGTGTTCCGTGGTGGCGGGGCTGGGAAGATCCGCGAAGCTATCGAGGGCGGGGGTGGGGAAGGCGATGAGGAGGAGGGCGAGTGGGGCGGTGTCGACGACGAGAGCGGGAAGAAGGAGAAAAAGAAGGAGAAGGGCAAGGAGCGGGAGCTGAGGTTCGTGGAGGGGAGTATGGAGTGCGTCGCGATGATCGACGAGGCGACGTTCATCAGTGGAGGCGATACGGGGTGCGTTTTTCTCTTCCTATTTTAACCGCTCACTCCGCTCTGTATATGCTAACGCGCGTTATCCCTTTTGTGTCCCGGCACACAGCTCGATCCACCTCTGGTCCACACAAAAAAAGAAGCCCGTCTTCACACAGCCCGTCGCGCACGGGTACGACCCCGCCCCGCTCCCGTCCTCCCCTTCCTCTCTCAACCCATCCCTCCCTTCGCACCCGCCAATATCCACCTCCACCCCCGCCCTTCCCGCAGAGGACGCGCAGCAGCCCCTCGGCCCGCCGCGCCCGCGGTGGATAACGGCGCTCGCTGCGCTGCGCTACGCGGACCTGTTCGCGTCCGCGTCGTGGGACGGCAGCGTGCGCCTGTGGCGCGTCGAGATGTCCGGGCAGCCCGGGGGGCGGAATACGGGCGCGAGGGCGTTTTATAGCGTGGGGAGGGTGGATGTGCCGGGGGTGGTGAACTCGTTGCAGCTGGTTGTGCCGAGTGGTGGTGGTGGGGTGTTGCCTTGGGCGGCGAGGCAGGCGGTGGCGGGTGGGGGTGAGGGCGTGAATGGGGTTGGTGAGGGCGGTGATGATGGGGATGAAGGCGAGGAAGGGATGCAGGTGGATGGGAAAGAGACGGCGGGCGGGAAGAAGGGAGGGAAGGACGAGGTCCCGGCAGCGCTGCTCGTAGCGGGTGTGGGGCGGGAGCACCGCATGGGCCGGTGGGTGAAGGTCACGGGCGGGGGCGCGGCGAACGGGGTGGTTGTCATTGCGCTGCATAAAAAATCGTAGTGCTAGTTGTTTGCATACTGACCAATATCCTCACTGTACTCGCTTCTGAGCCCTGCGTGTGGACGTGGCTGTTGATGCTCAGCCGCATTGACAGTCGAAACAATGGTTTGTCCGTGGTTTGTATTTCGGCTTTTAATCTTCTCATCTTTTATCCGACGTTTACTTGTAGAGTACGCGATTCTTAGAGCTCTTGGTTTGCAACGCCCGCTTGCGCTTAACGCTGTCCAAATGCGAACTCATGGTACCGACACCTCACCTTCAAGTACTGTATCACCTCCGGCCTTGCAATCACATTACACACACGTCTTTAGCTTCACCCGCCGATTCCTTTCCCTTCTCTTCCGTTCGGAACTAGACAGTACCATCATGCACCCCGATGAATTCACCTAAGTACCACAGGGCTAAGCCCCGGAGGGCGTCAAGCCGAGATTTTATAAAAAGGCGCAAACAAACCCTCATTAGTGATTGCCTACGGTAAAGTAAGAGACCTATGATGGCTGATATCAGACTATGTACGCGTACGTTATGATTTGGGCGTTCACCCGCTGTGAGAAACTGGAAAATATAAGTATCTCTTGATATGCCTCTGCATCCCTTTCCCTGCTTCCCGCCCCCGTCATTCTCCCTTGCTCCACAGACACCCTCAGCGGGAAGGCTCCAGTCCGAAGTTCATTAGGAGCCAGGTTTGGGTGCGTAGGCAATATAATGCTCGCGAACGTTTCTGCGATATGCGAGTTGTTCGGCGATCCTATCCTACTGCCTGATGCTATCCTCCACGGCTGCATCCTGGCCTAGATACCAAGCCTGGCCGATTTCCAGCGGCACGAAGGATTCGATGTCGGGTGCAATGCGAGCAAGCGTCCGTGCGGCAAGGTCGACGTCGTCGTCATCCTCGATCACAGAGTTGTAGACCTGCCAGTGGGTCAGCGGGGTATGGCATACGTGGCTGACGTCGGAGTCTTCATCATCCAGGTCTTCGGAGCTGGTCACGTCAACGGCGAGGGCAAGCATCTGAAACTTTGGACAGTGGAGAAGCAGCGAAGCGAGTCCACGGAGCGTGATATTGGTGTCCGTTACGTCTCCCATGTCGACGTATGGTGAGCGATTCCAGAGTAGGTTGAGGTGGGTAAGGTTCGGGAACGATCGCGCTAGCTGCTCGAGCATAGCGTCATCCCACGCGGGATGTGGGCATTCCTCCACCCTGAAACGTGTTAAGTTGTGGAAGCGAAATAACGGGCGGAGTGCGTCAAAGGGAAGCAGACCAGTGTTGTCCGAATGTGGGAACAAGATTTCTATGTCGCGGACGGCTGCACTAGTAGTAATGAGAGTCTTGGCTATGATGCCGATGGCCTCGGGGACGGCCGTGTCGGCGCCCACATCGTTGAACATCACTGATAAGCGATTGAGGCTTGTAAGATCTTGCAGGGTTTTCATCACCTGTATGACTTGAAGAGGTTGAGCTTGTATGTGAAGGTTACGGAGCGCAGGAAGCCTAATGGCGGCCCATGGAATGGTTGACGAGGTAGAGCGCAGAGATTTAGTGGGGATGCACCACTTGAGGCTTATGTCCGTTAACAACGAGAGCGATGCAAGTACCGACAGGATCTGTGGGACGGACACTGTGAAGTCGTCCTTGAGATCCAAATAAATTGACTCGAGCTTTTTCAGCCTGTATGCAATAACCTCAATAATCTCCAAGATTTCATCTTTGATACGACCGCAGAATGAAATATGGATGCTCTTGAGAAATGGGCATGTATCGGCCGCGATTGTCAAAACGGGCAACGTCTTCGACTCATGCCCGTGTAGATCAAGCGTAGTGAGTCGGGTTCCTAGAAGTAACCGCGGAAAAAGCACGACGTCGTGCAGCATGTACATGAAGTAGGGAAAGTGCCTGTCTCCAAGATGCAGATGCTGTATATTTGGTAGAAGGGAGGGGCCGCAGTAGCAGCTCACCGCGCTGAGCACGCCGACGTCCACAATCATGTGTGCAGAATACGTGTCTGAGCGCAAGACGCGAACACGGGGGAGATACTTCTGGAGAATGCGCCAATCGGATTTCCGCATAACACGACAGAAAGAATGTTTGTTATGAGATTGCTTCCCTCGGCCGTCTATCTGAGGCTGAAGAAGGTAGTCAGAGTCTTGAAAACGCCCTTGATATCCTAAAATAGGGCAACTCACCTCTTCAATGGTGATCTCCCATAGACTTTTGGGCATGCACATGAATACGCATGCGAGGCAGCCGAGCTCGTAGTACAGTGCATTGAGAGCCGGACCCTGAAGACTTTTGCAAGTCATTGCTAAGGCGATGAGGTCCGACTTATCGTCTTCATCTACCCACGAGCATATCGCCGAGGTAAGTTCTGGGATAGTTAGCCAGCGGTACATTGGGCACGGTTGGGGACCTGATGCGGGCCTGAATGCTAGCGAATTGTATCAACAAAGGCGTGATGGAGTGAGAGCGTTGCGCGTTGAGCACATGGAAAGAGGTATACAGAGATGATACTCACTCAAGGTGAAGTTTGAGACGACACAGTGGGTGACTTGAAACGCCTGTGCGCAGCTCTTTGAGAAAGTACTCCCGGAAAGCACTTGCTGTGATGAAGGGCGGACGCCAGAGGCTGCACACACGACGCGTTTTTCAACAAGTGAAACGCGTGACGGTGTTTCGGTTGTTTTCTTCAAGTTTACGTACTTTGGGGGCTTTCTCGATCACTAACCCTTCCAAGTTGTTAGTCCACGCGCTACCCCGAATCTGGAGGATTCGTTGATGGAGGTCTGAGATTTTGTTACTGCCAGCTGTTTTTTAGCCGCACCGTCCGAGCAAATACTCGAGACAGTATGAGTGAGATGTCAACGTTGGTCACCGGTCAAACAGAAGGATCGCGGAGCGTAACGCGTAAAGATCTGAATCTGAATTCGGTCTGAGTTTGAACTTCAATCGCAAGCGAAATTTCAAGCTGGCCTTTGCGCGCTCCTAACGCTCTCATTGGCCATGCCCATGTGGACAATTTACAGTCTACAAGTGCGTTACCAAAATACCTTCATAGAACCTCCGAAAAAGAGATAAGCTCACGCGAGCAAGGCTGTCAAGACTATTAGGACAGATGAACTTTAGTATTCATTGGAAAGTATGCACCCTCGTTTCGAAAAAGCACTCTACCCCACGATGCCGTCACGCTAACGCAACGTTACTGATAGAAACAGAAGGACGAATGGGATGCTCCCTTCATGCCGTGACATCTGCTGCAGTCTCCAGGAAGTTAGAGTCCCACCAGTTGTTCCAGCAGTGCTCAAGTTCGCCGGACGTGAAGTCGACGAAACGTCTGAAGAACTGTTTCTTGTTGACGGGATTGTACACCCCTGCTTCGTTCCGCCGCTTGAGGTTGTACGCGTACACGCCCTCCAATTTGTAGTTCGAATGGTGTCGCTCAGCAAGGCGGGAAAGGCACTTCTGGCGGGAGTTGTGGCCGAACGCGTTGCCAGCAAGATCGCAGTAGTCGTCCGCGTCCTTCGCGAAGTGCTCACAGGTGTCGAGGAAGCCCTTCTTCTCGACAAGCTCGAGCCAGTCTTGCTCAAAGGAGGCTACCTCCTCGTCGAACGCCTTATCAGTCGGAAGCGACTCTTCGTAGATCTTCATGAGGTCCTGGACCGGAGAACTGTCGTAGCCGGTCTTCATTCCGTCGGCCTTCATCGCGCTGAGAAGAACGAGTGTGCGGGATGCGGTGGCGGCCCAATTGGCGCTAGAAGCGAGATCGTGGGCGTCCGTCCACTGCATGCCCACCCTATATCCTTTGGCATCATCACCGCGGCCACCCAAGCCAGCGTCTGTGGCGTGAATGAGGGTTCCGTCGCTAGTTTGGAGGAACCTGCCCTTAGCATATTTGAGAACCCCCTCGGAGAACAACTTGACCTTCGCTTCATCCCCCTCGGTGGCCTCCATCGCTTTGCTTTTGATATCTTGTAAGAGGACGTCGGCATGGCTCGTGATTGTCTTTGACGCGAACATTGCATCGAAACGACGTCTCTTATTGCCACCCCCGTCTAACGTGATGTTGAGAGCAATCTTTGAGTGCTCATTATCATACTCGATGTCGCTGAATTCGCCTACGACGTGGGTGGCAACACCAAGAGAGAAAAGCTGGGCAATAAGGTCCTGCACGGCAACTGGCGAGGCTGAGAAGGATAAAATCAGCTCTTCCACATTGCGGAAGAACTCTCTATTTGACTGGTCCTTCACAAATCCGGGGTGGGTGACGTCAAACAGAGCGGAATGGCGCACCAGCCAGCCTTCACGGCCCTTGCGTGAAAGGGGGGCTCTGTCGACAAGCTTTGCATGAGCGTCATCGGGGATGTTCTCGAAGCCAAAGCCCTCGAATATTGCATGATATCCTGCACGAATGAGACCTATCTCCGTTACCTCGCCAATCCTATGTCGGGCTGTCTGAGTGCGGTAGGCTGCCATTCGCGCCGCAGTTGTCATCTTGCAGTTCAGAATGTTGATCTTCCGAGAGGGTGGTATGACGCTCGTACGCAGCGCTACTAATACATCTTCGAGAACAAAAGGGAACTAAAAGAACATTGACGACAACTTTCTGCTATAACGTACACAAAGGCGGATGAAGCATCCCGCCTACCAACCAATACCTGCCACCACTGTCGGTTGTGGTGAGGGGACGCCTCTCACGGGTGCGCAAACTTGAAGACTGCGCCCCAACACTTGTCAAGCTCATCGGACGTAAAGTCCACGAAGCGCCTGAGGTATTCGTCCCTGTCGACAGGATCAAACGGCCCAAACTCTTCGACCCGCTTGGTGTAGTGTGTTTCGACGCCATCGGCGTTCAGCTTAGAGAGCTCGGAGAGACGTTTCTGTCGGGAGTTGGGGTCAAAGGCGTCGCTAGCGTACTTCTGGTATTCTTCCGCGTCCTTGGCGAAGAACTGGCACGTATCGAGGAAACACTTCTTCTCAACGAGCTCGGACCAGGCGCCCTTGAAAGAGTCGATCTCAGCCCTGAACGCGTCGGCACCTGGGAGCGACTCGTTGTAGATGGCCATGAGGTCCTTGACGGGGGCCTTGCTACCAGTGACCTGCAATACACTGAGGAGGACGAGCAGGCGGGAGGCGCTGGCAGACCAGGTGGCACAGGAGGCGAGAGAGTTCGTGTCGGTCCACTGTAAGCCTACCCTCGAACGGGAGGCTGTGCCATCATCGTGCGTTATCTCCCTGGTGACGCCGTTGCCACCCGAGCCAGCGTCCGTGGCGTGAATGAAGGTATCGCCTACAGGAGTCTGAAGAAACCGGCCTTTGGTGTACTCGGGCACGCCGCCAGGGTAAACTGTTTTGACCTTGCCGTGAAGAGCCTTGAGGACCTCGTCGGCATCGTTGCTGAGGACTTTCGGTGCAAACATCGCGTCAAAGCGGAAATCCTTGAAGACCACCTTGTGACTCTCCCTGTCATATTTGATATCGCGGAAGTTGCCCTCGGAATGGGTTGCAACGCCGAGCACGAAGAGTTGTGCAATGATGTCGTGCACGGCAATTGGCGAGGATGAATAGGTTTGCTGCATCTCCTTCCAGTTCTCCAAGAAGCGGCTGTTGGACTTGGACTTCACGACATCAAAGCGGGTGATATCATAAGCAGCTGAGCGGCGCATCAACGCCCCCCCACGGCCCAAGCGAGTGAGGGGGGCCTTGGCGAGGAGACGCTTGTTGGCCTCCTCGGGATCTCTCTCAAAGCCGAAGCCTTCAAGGAGAGCATGGTAGCCCGCACGGATCAGACCGTTTTCCGTCGTCTTGCCCGCCGTATACTGGAGTGTCTGCTGGTGGTAGTCACTCATGCGCTCCTCAGCCGACAGTTTGCGGTGAACATGAGAAGGGGTGGTGCCGATCTCGTACGAGACGCTCTGGTAGAGGATGTCGCGAGCGAAGGAGACCCAATCGAAGTCCCTCTGCAAGAACATAGCGTGCGCCTGGTCCATGTTAATGAACGATTTATCGCCAGGCAGCTTCTTGCCGGGCCATGCACGAGTAGAGTGGTGGCGAGGGGGAGCGACCTTATTCGAACGGCTGATGAACGTGAACAGACCCTGATACTGCTTGGCCACATCTTCGTTGATCTGATAGCCGTCCTCGGTGATCTCGATTATCTGAGTGTACTGGAGAATGATGGGGATGGGGTCGTAGGCGGATAAGGAAATACCGGTGACGCCCAGCTTAGTACCCTTCTTGATAAGCTTTACCTCGTCGAGAAGTCCTTGCTCGGAGAGAAACTCGCCAACAGACTCTACGTTCTGAGTCTCGGAGAACGACTTGCGAATAACCGCCTCGTCAGTGATGGGGAGCGCCCATGTGGTGCCGTTGGCAAGGTGCACGAAGTCGAACTCCCAGACCTTGTCCGCATTGTCGCCATCGTGGCAGACCAACAGCTTAGGCTTGGTAGGGGAAGAGAAGTCGACGTTTTTGACAGTGTGATTATAGTAAAACTTGACTGAAATCTCTGGGACCTGCTTTTCCACAAACGCGAGGACCTCTTTGATGGAGAGCTGCTGTATCCGGCCAACGGTGCCACGAGTTGTGGAGGGACCGGAAAGGTCGAGATGACCGGATTTGAGGGACTGTACGAAGAGCTTGTACGCAGCGGAGTTTTCCTTGCGAAGCTTGTCCCGATGCTCGTCTGCAATGTCCTCCAGGAACTGACGAGCGACGCTGGATAGGTCACGGCCAGGAGTGATGATGGGCTGATACTCGGCGGGAGCCTTGTCCCACGTGGCACATGGAATAGGCCCGGGCATAGGGGTGTTGATGGTGGCGGCACAGTCGACCTGGAATGCATTGCCCGACCCCGCGTTGGCTTCGGGCTGCTTCTCGAAGACGACAAACTCTAGCTTCAAGCGTGAGCCGAGCTTCCTGAGATTTTCGCGCTCTGCCAGGACAGTGAGAACCACGCCCTTGAAGAGCATTGCGTTCCTGGGTCCGAAGCCAGAGAGGCCATGACGGACTGCAACTTCTGGGCGGTTAGCCTAGAGGTTTTTTTTGGCAGTATGGATGAGCGCATATTACTTGATAACGAGTTCTAACCTTCACTTACCATCTCTGCTGTGATCCAACTGCGATCTATATGACGAAGCAACGGTGAGTCATTGAACCAGACGCAAGCACAGCGGAATGCACCTTCAATGTATGACTACTGAGTAATGACGGCGTTATCACTGATTTCTCCGACGTCTGAATTCGACTGGACGGTACAACAACGATCACGAGCACTCAGAGAGTTTGGAAAAAGACGAACTGATACGGGGAGACGCTAGACCAGAGGTAGGGTCCTAAGGGATTCAGAGAAGCGCATATATAAGAATCGTATCGAGCAACGAAGACCCGGAGGTTCATATCACCGGGCTAAGATCTCAAACAACGATGTGACAGTGAGTTGGAAGCGACATATCTATATCATAAAGGGAAAGAATACTGTAGGAGGAACAATCGGAGGCGCTCGAATATACGTGAATACTACAGTATACGAGAACTTGAGAAGCGGCCGGAGCAATTAAAACGCGGAGTCGAAGTCAAGGAATCTTAAGTGACGTGCGTGGAAGCTTTCAGTGCAAGGAAGCCGATCGTGGCTGAGAGGGTCGTCAATCTGGTGATCAGATTTACACGCGGCTCTCTCATCATTCAAGACGTCCGTCACGTCGTAGTCGTAGTACCGCACCATCCCATTACTGTTATAGCACCTCTGTACATGTATCTGTTTTGCTACCTCCACCTCGTGGTCGGGCAGGCCACCAAAATGCTATCCATGAATACTGCTAGCAACAAGCTTCGCATTTGTCCTCAGGGAATCATGAACTTCTCTCCGTTCTGACAGTACGTGGAGATGTGTCTCGATTTTGGTTGCTCCGTAGATTCGTGGCGGCCCTTCTTTCTATTATGCCTTGTGCAGCCCTACGCTATTCCTAATTGCTTTCGGCAGCCCGCTGTTTTCACCTCGACGGTCAGATCTTCTCCGCCACCGGAAGCTTTACACATTTGATTACTCGTATATTTACTCGTATATTCAAAATTATGCCCGGCTTGGCATTGTACATGTTTGGCTCTGTGGCTGTGGCATGTCGGAAAAATCCCAGGAATATGGCCATATAATTGAAATGTATTGAAATCGCCTCATAATGAACAAATAATGAATCAAGAATTAAAATACATCTCAATGGGATCCTTTGGTCATCGTGATAGCTATTTTAAAGTGATTGCCATGGAGTTGAGAACCAATTGAGAACATCCTTATGATGGAAAACAGCCACGTCCAATGGAGTTTCAATGTTCGCGTCGCTTTACAACGGGGATTGCAAACCTATCTAAATAGGAAACCATTTCAAACCCCATTTGGTTTTTTCCGACAGTCATATCTCGCGTCAGTGCTCGGTATTTGTATACGATGTAGGGCTCTGGACTGCACGGCAGATATCCACGGGCACTGTCTACTCGTGTTCGAGTTTTCCTTTCCAGTCAGGCGTGGCTGTCAAAGTATTGCACCACATCAGTGGCAAATGGCACTCCGGATCAATTGCAGTAAGTGCGACAGGATCTTGACGGCCAATTCCCCAAACACACTAACGGTCATCCTGCAAGAGCTATCATCCCAGCAGATCCGACCGTCCAACGCACTTATCAGAGAACCTGCAATATGAGCTGGGCCAACCCGGCCCCGAGCGTGCGACAGGTGTTTCAGTCAACCTGCAATACGAGTCATCTGTCCCAGTCCCGAGCGTCTGACAGCCCTATCAGTCAGCCTGCAAAACAAGGCGCCCTCGCTGTCCCGAGCGTCCCACAGGCTTTTCAGTGAACCTGCAACACGTGTCACACTATCCCGACCGTCTGATGGGCTTGTCAGTGAGCCTGCAATACGAACCGTCCGTCCTTATCCTGAGCGTCTGACAGCCCTATCAGTCAACCTGCAAAACAAGGTGCCCTCGCTGTCCCGAGCGTCCAACAAGCTTCTCAGTGAACCTGCAACACGTATCACGCTATCCCCCGTCTGATGGGCTTGTCAGTGAGCCTGCAATACGAACCGTCCATCCTTATCCTGAGCGTCTGACAGCCCTATCAGTCAACCTGCAATACAAGGTGCCCTCACTATCCCGAGCGTCCGACAGGCTCCTCAGTCGACCTGCAATACATGTCACGCTATACCGTCCGATGGGCTTGTCAGAGAACCTGCAATACAAGGCGCCCTCACTATCCTGAGCGTCCCACAGCCCTGTCAGGCGACCTGCAATACATATTACTCTCCCTATCCTGAGCGTCCGATAGGCTTGTCAGATGACCTGCAATACACCGCCTCTCTCTAATAGAACCGTCCCATATTCCTATCGGTTGGCGTGCAATACCGGTCGTCTGTCCGAATTCCTTGTGAGTCATCCTGCAAACACATTTCGTTCCTATCTCGACAGCACAGCGCCTGTCACCCAACCTGCAATATGCTCTGTCTGCGGCTATGCCCGTCCGATCGACCTGTTGGTCGACATGCAATACGTGCCGTCTTCACATCCCGACCGTATGAACCGCCAATCAGTGAACCTGCAATATGTGCCGTTACTCCCGGGCCCTGACTCGGTCGTCCAGGCTGGCTTATCGGTCGGGCTGCAATATACTTCGCTTGTGGCTATACCAATCGATTTCTCGTCCTATCAGTCGACCTGCAATATGTCCCCCCGGTACTGACCGCGCGATCTTGGTGCGATCTGCCTGTCAGTCAGCCTGCAATATTTGTTGTACCACCTCAACCGTCCCATCCGCCTGCCGGTCCTCATGCAATATGTTATGCCTGCGCATATGTTGCTCCTCGGGTTTGACAATAACACCTTATCAGGAAACTTGCAAAGTACTCCGGCTACGGCTTTCTCGGCCGTCTACTAATCTTGGCAGTAGACCTGCAAAATACTCCGACCGCGGCTGTCGGGGCCGGCGGAGTGACCCGCCAGTAGATCTGCAAAACGCGCATCGCCTTTTAGGATGCCGGGACTTAGTCGCAAGGCAGCCAGCTCATGACGTCATTGATATTCGGCCCCGAACACCTGATTTCGGAGTCAATTCGGTACCTTCGTCACTAACCTCGGCACTAATAGTGGGACATAACCCAAAATTTCCGACTAAGTCTTGATCTCCAAGTCTTGTTGTGCTTACTATATAGCTTTTCCTAACGTACTCGACGGCGTTCGGTACAACATAGACTAAGTATGATTTCTCCCATTCCAATACACAGGCTAAAACATTGTCCTTACATGCAAGCAACCCAAGTTGTAGCAAAGCGTTCACGAAGTGATCGCTGAAGTCTTGCTTGCTTAGCCGCGTACGCTCTGGAGCCCTCGTCGATGGTAGAGTCTTCGCGCTGATCCCACCATACTGCCTGCCAGTCGAGATAAGCAAGGGTACGCCGCATTTCTTCTTTCAATAACATAGTCTCCTCCGTCCAGCGTAGTGCTCGTGCCCTTGCTTTGCACCACTCGACACGCAGACCTTTAAATGATAATAATAATAATGAGACTGCGTCGGAAATCCCAAAGGAAAGCAGAACGCAAATCTCACCGTCTACAAAGTCCTCGCCTTCCTCACCTAGCTCTCCCGAGCGCCAAATCCACGTCATTCGGCGGCGCCCCTCTGACTGAGTGCTCATGTGATCGACCATGGCACGGACATCTGAGTCTTCAAGTATCTTGAGATCCGCTGGCATCTTCTTCTCGGGCAGTCGTAGCAGGAGTGCCGTGAGCGCGCCGTACGCTATTGTGTATGTACCTTGTAGCGCTTTAAGACGATCTTGAGTCTTCTCGATCGTATCCTGAGCCTTGGTGTTGAGGCCTTGTCCGCGGATGAACCTGTCCTTATACTTGTACAGGTAGGAGCGAAGCTGGAGGGTGCGGCGAAGTCCGGCGAGAGCGTCGTAGGCCTGCCCGACACGTAGCTCAAACTCGATGGTCAACAGTCTATCGGGGCAAGGGCTATCCGATGGTAATTGAGATGGCAGCCAGAGTTTGAGGTCTTCGGGTTGATCGTTTGGACCCGGCGAGCGAACGACGGCTCGCAAAGGGCCTACACTAGGCATGTAGTAGACCTGCACGCGCGCCCAATTTTCGACCTTACGACGAAGGATGGTCGTACGATGCTGAACAGCTGCCTTTGCCGTGTCCGTAGCGTGCGCGCCCAGGCGGCTCCGGTCCACGCGGAGTCGGCGCTGTTGGTCCTGCAGGTCGATGGCGGTCGAGATGAGCGCGCTCGGCGTCATGTCGTTCTCCAAGCCTTCCACTGGCAACGCGCTCTCGGATGCATCCTCTTCCGCTAGTCTTAGTCGGACCTCGGCCATTGTAACGTCTGCGCCAATGAAATTATGTCAGTGTTTTCGAGACGAGTGGGATAATGCGATCACTCACCCTTCGACTGGCTTTCAAAGGGGTTCGTGTTCGCATCAGGGTCTCTTTCCCAAAGGGCCACCTCTTTCCTCCAAAGTAACAGGGTGGACGATGGTATCGCGCTCTCGAAGGCCTTAAGGTCGAAGGTGTGCACTTTACTCTCCTTTTCCGCCTCTTCATATCGCCGGAGGAATAGCGCGCCCAGCCCAATCAACTTCTTCCAGTTCCAGTCGCCAAAGAAGTCATCGAGCGTATCAAGGCGATGTCCGGGGCCCATCTCCTTTGTGCTACCGGCGACTGGGTCGATATTCGCCCAACCCCTTTCGGGAGCCTCTCCATCCGTGCGACCGACGCCAGGCATATAATTGAAGGAAAAGCGAGTCTGGCATCGAGCGACATGGGCAGGAAGATGGAATTTTGGGACGAAAAAGCGAAGGAATTTCGTGAATTGGTCAAAGGAAATGTCAGACGGAAGCGCGGCGATGCGTTCCCGGAGATTTTTACACCACTGACAAGCGATGTCGTACGAGATGTTGATGTCCTTTACACGCAGAAAACGAAGGGCTGAGAAAACAATGTAATCCATGTTCGCATATCTGTTCTAACGTCAGAGCGAGCACATGAGCCAACAAGACCGACGACATACCGTTCCCAGAACTGTAAGTCAGCCACCCCGCACGGCAGCTTCATGCCGTGCCGAGCGCAATCAATTGTCCCTACTCCGGTAGTCGCAAGTCCACCCGTCCACTTGGATGCGGCCATGTTGACCGCTTTATGACTTGAGCACGAGCTGCGCTAAAATTGAACATTAGATGGCATCCGGGTAAGGGATAAATCAATTGATATACTCACGTCTTGACGCGCGCCCGCTTTTGTTGCCAGATAATCCTTATATGGCTTCTCCCTCACAAAGTAACTTAACCCGCATCCTAAAGATGGATCGGAGTCGGCGTTAGACACGTTTTTGCGCTTGAGCCGAAAGTTTGCGTCCACGCCGACAAAAAGGGAGTAAAGCCAGCTATGTCCTACGTCAGTCTTGATACTACTGCGGCCATCACTGCCCACTAACCGGTTATCCTTGGCCTTTTCCCAACCGTCGGGTAGGTTGCGGCCAGGTTGTGGGCACGCAGGGCAACGAATGGCACACGATCCATCGGGGAGATCGTCGAGTGGGAGTGACTGGTGGCCCATCCCAGAACGCTTGAGCATTTTGAGATGGCGCCACTCCCTCATCATTCGGAGGAATTGGTCGTACCGGTCCTGCCCCGGGCCGTGAGATTAGAGCAAAGCGAGCGCGACCAAACACGTACCTTTTGAGAAGTAAGTCTTGAATTATCAGTACGTCGAGCCAAGGAGTTGTAAAATTCATATGCCGAGGCTTTCGACTCGCACGCCAGGAGGTGGTACTGCTCCAAGACACGGAATGTCGCAGCTGACTTGGGCTTGCGGGTGGTAGCGGGAAACCAGGACGCTCGAAGGAGCTGTTGGTACCGGGTTATCATCTTCGTACATCTACAATACCAGACGCAGACGTTGTGGATGCCAGAAACATCGATGACCGTGAAGTCGTTTTTCTTGGTTTTCTTGGGGTTGAGGCACGCTTCGCCCGGAGGGTGATTAAGCTGGATGACAAGTCCGATGTCCTTCAAAGAGGTGCGTTCGAAGAACTTTCCATTCCACGACTGTCGTGGATTTGTTAGTCAGTTGTTCAGTGTCCTTGAGACTCAAACTCACCTCCACCCGATGCAAAGGAGACTCCGTATGTTTCTCTACCATACACGCCTGGCAATACATAAGCCCACCAAAGCAGTCTCTACACCGATACTTAGGTGTGGCAGTTCGGCAGTGGCGACACGTCGAATCCTCAGTGCAATCGCTGCGACCGTCCCCTCTCAACAGCTCATCCAGGAACACTTGCCGTTCCTCCATCCACTCGAGCAAAGGGTGGTCCTAGGCGAGATATAAGTCATGCTTGAGAATGGCGACAAGCGCCGTACGCACCCCTGCTGTTCGCTTCCGTTTGGGACGAGGCTCCATCTCGTCCTCGTCCTCGGAATCCGAGTCCGAGTCCGCGTGCGTGTCCGCGTCCGCGTGCGGAAGCGATGTTGCATCCACCTGCATGTCCCAATCGCTGTTGTCATCCTGGTTTGGGTTGCTGTTGTTGTCTGCGGGGTTCATCGTGGCTGGCGTGGAACTGCTGCCACCTTGGGGGGCTCGGATCGTGGATCGTTTGGTGATAACGGCTGATCCTCCCCCTGGAAGCTGAGTCGAGGTTATTGTCTGGAGCGAAGCGACTCGGGGCTCGTTCGCGGGCTGAGCCTGCTTGGCTTGTCGGAAACCCGATCGCTGCATCATCTGACGCATCTTCTTTTCCTGGTAGAGTTTGAATGCCTTGTTGGCTACAAACCCATGAGAAAAGAACACCACTAGGAGAGGGAGACTCACAGGAGCCGCCATGGAGCCGCATGCATAGCTGAATAGTTGACATAGGGCCAATGCCGAGCTCTTCGAGTGTCAAGGAAAGGACTTGGATGCTCCGCCCACCATGCGATAGGAAGATGTCATCGTAGACAGTAGGAGGTAAAACGCAGCGGTCCGCCGCAAGACACAAGAGGTCCTTTGCCACAGTGCGATGGGTAACCGCTGAATAACATATAAGCCAATGATCGGATCTCCACCACAGCAGCCACTCACTGAGGCATTGTGTTCGTAAATCCAGTCCACGCACAAAGACCGTAAACTGGCTGGCGGCATCGGGCGAGTTGTTCAGCATGTCGGCTTTCGTCTGTTGTGGCTTTCAAGTGTAGCAGTCGTAGGGGTAACAGAGCGACGGTCTCACCCTGATGAGACACGACTGAGGAACGAAGGATCAACGTCAACAGAGCAACAGAGTCGAACCCAGGCCACGTCGGCCGCATCACCGGCAAGGACAACGCAAGCCGAGTTCCCGGTGAAGCTTGAAGATTGAAAGAGCCACGTCACTGGTGCCCCTCCCCAAGGCTATGTCCACCAGATCTCCGATATTCCAGCGCATCGCATGGCTAACGCTACCACCTACTCGGATACAGTCTTACTAGATGCAGACATCCAGCCGACACAGTGGTCCCGGTCAGGTACCAATGGGGCTCTGACCCCATTTGACCTAAAAGGCGGCCAGTGCCGGACTGGACTCCGCCATCTCATCTTATTCTTTGTCTCTCCCCATGCACGTACTACCCACCAAGCCTGATCCCTCCATGCTGAAACCTGTCACGGTGGACGACGATGTCGATAGTGAGCCGTCCTTAATCCATCATCTCCCGCATACTAACGAGGTTGTTAGATCTTGTTGCCCTCATTCGCGGATGGGGGATCTCTGACCACGCCAGGCAGCAACTTGTGTTTCGTCTGGCGAGAGCGAGCTGGTGGGATGAGGGAAGAGAGGCAATCACGCCGACAGATATTTCAGATTCGGAGGATGGGTTCTCTGAAGCCGCTCACCGTACGTCTATTCCTATGTGCGCGAGTGGCTCATCTTCACCTCATATTACCCATATCAGCCACGGATGGCGGGATCCGCCTCCATCCCATTACCCTCCCAGCCGTCTCCCAGCAGGGGCAGGGCAGCGCGGAGGCTACTATCCCTGGGGAGTCTCGGAATGCGACGGCCTCACCTGGGTCTGCAAGCGGCACCATCACCCCCTCTCCAGCTCTCACATCAGGCGAATCGAATTCTAGTCCTCACGCCGTAGCCAACAATTTGCCAGCCTCGGTCGTCTCCTTGTCCTCCACGGTATCCGGCCACCATCAGATCACATACCAAGATGTTACGTTCTGGGTGCCCGATGACGGCGTTGATGGACCATTCTATCTGGTGACACGCGGTAGGCGTGTTGGTATCTTCTCTTCCTGGTGAGCCATTGTCTTGGTATGCATATAGCGGGATCTAACTACGGCTTGGACAGGTCCCGCACATCGCCATATGTCACTAGTGTCTCCAGAGCGACCTTTCATCGCGTTAAGGAACTTGAACAAGGCATGCAGAGTGTCTTTGACGCTGTGGAGGACGGTCAATTGGTAGTGGTCTGAACGTACATGATAGGCTTTTTGTAGTCGCGCTTTTTGTAGTCGCCCAATGAATCATATGCTTTACCTTTTCAAAGCTATTTGCGAGCGCGTCAGCATCGATTGGCCACTCAGAGTTCAAGTCCAGTCATTACAGCCATCGTCTTATATTAAGAGTAATTGCCCGTGTTATTGCACTAGTAGTTGTGAAAAAATATCCATCCAAAGACGTTGCCTATAGCATTAGATTCATTAATGTTATAGTAGTGTTAGTAGTAGGTAGCACTAGTAGTACGCATACAAGGCTCATATTTCTTCTGAAGTACCAGGCGGAGCTCTTCTACCGAGTCTGACTTTAGCTTGTGATGCATTATACCCCCTTATGATCCTATCCTTGTATAGGTTCACGGTGTTTTGTACTTTGTGAATTTCTCTCCAATGACTGAAATGAATCCAACGCGACTTGCACGTTAAGTCACATATGGCATCCTATATATGCACACAGACATAATTTGTCACCCTGCCTACCCCAACTTTATAGTCTAGTGCCTGATTTAAATCACATCCTCGGATTGTTCGTAAGTACTATTAATCTAGTTACACACGGTTTCTGCTTATTTTTTCTCGCATTACGGCTGCGCTCGTAGCTCTCTTCCATTTATCTCCAATGAAAGGTCGTGACCAACAGGATAGGGGTTACAGTTTACCATCTGTGACGCGCTGAGCGTAAGGGCGCCCGTTTCTCTTACTAGCCCACCATGCCGCCGGGTCGCCCTCCTCTATATTCGACACCGGAAGAACGTACCAATGCCGCTCGAGCGTCACGTTCTCGATGGTACCACCGGTAAGTTATGAAATCTATTGGCGGTCTCCCCGGGTAGCTCACGAAAGACAGGAACCGGGACAGCGAGCGTGCCAAAATGCGTACAAAATACAAAGAGTCGTGAGCAGCGTTAGGATCAATCTTTCTCTACTGGTGACTAAGCTCATAACCATGCCTCGAATGGCTGGTACAGCCGCACTCAATCGTCCCTATTACGCACGGAGGAGATGAAACGTGCGACAGAACGCGTTCAAAGACAGTTGTTACCCCGTAAACGGTGCGAGACGTACAGCGCTCAGATATGAACTTGTCAATACTGATGAATGATGCAATGGCAGTCACGATCTCACAAAAAGACATGCAAGCAAACAGACACCAAAAGCCTCGTACGTGTTGTGTAATACCATCCTCAGTTTCAGTCATTAACACTAGTGAGGCGGCAGACCAAGAACTATCCTTGATAACTTAGAGACAGAACTACTGGCCGCCTTTGACGGCTCGCCTCGAAAACATTTTGAGAAGTTTGCCCAAGATATATCGAGCTCAACCGAGGAGTCGCATCGGCAGGCCCTCATATCTGCGTTTTGTAGAGTCCAGGATGTCGCATGCGAAGTCAAGAACACCATTACTAGATTTTGCGCTGACGAGCTCAACTCCAGCCCCGATAATCCCGAGTTTCGGCGGGCCGACTGTCTCAGGCGTAAATCGCAGGATTTAGATCGCATGCAGGATGAGATGCTGCTTGCGATTTGGGAGCATGGGATGGGCCATTTTCGTGCGCTGCATGCGGAAGGGCGAATGGGTTACCAGAGGTCTAGACTAGAATGATTGTCACCGCTCGCGCTTGCAATCTAGGTGATTTTGGGTGTGCCGTGTCATCATTCTCTGTCTGCGGATACCCCGTAACAATCTGTCAGACAAACTTCAGTCTAGAACATCAGAATATCTTCTGATTTTCTAGACAGACACGCGCGTTCCTGCACCCACAAAGAGCCGCTACCCCTCCGTCGACACCAATAACCGAGGCTGCATGTGTGTCTGTTGGCAGTGCTGGATCGCTGCATATGGATATGTCTGGGTGAGCTGGATTCCATCGTGCCTGTTTGTCATCTAAGTCCAGCCGAGGGTACTTGTAACCGGTCGCCTGGATGCCTGACCAATATAGCCTTGTTCCTCGTGCATTTGTCCTCGGTTGATATGCCGAAGTATCAGCCCACAAAGTGAGTCATTCCTGTCGGACTTTACACAACTATTTGACTGCGTTTAACGTAGCGTGTTCCGATGGTGGACTTCGCTCGAGCAAGACCATTGGCTAAAATCAAGTTGGTCCTGCTGGAAGGATTTCGTCGGAATCGACGAGGAGGGTTACCTCAGGCAAATGTGCATCTACTGGGTCAACGAATGGCCTATCACGCCGGACAGTCCGCATGTGTACCTGAAGCCCAGGGCCGGATCCAAGCTGACTCGTCAGCAACTGCAGGAACGGCAGATGTGGCATCTTACCCGCGTGTGTAGCCCTCTTTCTTTGATCTCGCATAGATTAATCTGACACATTGTCTCGGTTAGGTTATTAGAAGATGGTTAGTTGATTTCGGCCGTTCGGAGGACCGGGTAGCGGTTTTGCGCGATCTATCGATGGTTGGGACTCCTAGACGGTTCCACCCTAAGCACATCCAAATGTACGATTAGGCTGTTGTTTGACTTAGGTTCGGGAGCGTCGATTTGTCTCATGCACGAAGTTGGACACGTCAGATCTGAATATCCTCTGGTGCATCTCGAGGTTCACTGCACGGCTTCGTTCCTGGTTAAAATAAGGTTACAGTGTGACATCATGAGGTCTAACGAGGCCTGTACGCTAGCTTGGCCGAGATATCGGGTCCAATCGGCTACAACTACGATCATCCCGAGTAGTGCCCGAGTCACTGGCCCGGCCAGCTTGCCGGCTACAATCGGTGACGAGCCTATCAGCCCCTGGCGTCGGGTGCGCCAAGGTGCGCCATCCATTCGTACTCCACGGTAAATCGTTTGTCTTTCAGACCTGACAGAGCTAATGAGGCCGCTGCAGGGAGGTCCGAGGATCCGGCGTGCTTATCCGATCAGATTCACAGCATCCATCTACGACTCCACGAACGAGGATGAAGGAGCGTTGGCTCTCAAGACATGGACAAGGAGAATCCGTGTACTTGTCGGTGGATACAGCGACTTGTGGTGAGTCTTTTCGCATGGATTTCGGAGGCTCATAGGCTGTACGTGACGCCGCTCCGAAAAGTCAAGACATCTCACTTGCCCATTTTTCAGCGACATATGAATCTGACGTGGACAATCAGATTCACCGAGTATACGGTACATTGCAGAAGCCTGTTCAGTTCTTGCGCATCGTACGACCTCCATGCCAGCCGTTCCACATGATCTCTCGACATCGCTTCGAGGAGTCCAGGTCAGCCCAGCGCACCTCTGCAAGAAAATTCTCTTGCCTGTTTAGCGACGGAGTGGTATTGCAGGTTCGTCCTTGGTATATAAGTCAGCGATTTCTGACTCTTGTCGGCATCGGCATCCTCCTCTCTTCGCCTGCTTACCAGTGGCCTTTACCCGCTCTCATATTTCGCTCACTACATCGGTTGGTGTCGCATCCTTATCTGCTTGTCATGCTTGCGTTGTCTAACTGTGATTCGCCATGTTAGATCTCCAATGGGCCAGGGAAAGGTGAAGGCTAACGGCCCACGTGCTTCTAAGAAGCCGAGGAGGCCCAAAACTCCCAAAAACAGCGTACGTCTCTCGGTTAGCGTTTGTTACTCAACGCAGTAGGACTGACGGCGTTTTCAGGCGGGGTTGACGTCGAAGCGGGGCAACTCTGGGTGGACGACCGACGAACAGAAAGCTTGGCTTACCGAGAGGCTCCCCGCGTTCTTGGAATGTGTCCCAAAGAAGAATTACGAGCACTTCTGGGCCGACATCTTTCGAGAGTGGTTCAAGAAGTTTCCTGAAACCGACCAGTCGTGGAAGGCGCTTGAAAACCGCCAGGAGGTACATTTCTGTTCTTGTTGAGCCATCTTCTCGGTTTCTGACCAGCAGAGTAGCAAGTCCAGCGTTGGTTCCGTTGGCACGGTCGCGGAGCGACTGCCAACGGGCGCTCCCTCGGGCTCAAGGCAACTGGCATCATCGACGACCTCTTCGAGCCTCGCACTCGCGTTAACAAGGACTGGGAGATCTACTCCAAGCTGTTCTACGATGAGCGCATTGCCCAGCACGTCGACGAGGAGCTCAAGAATTCCCCGGCGGAGAAGGCCATGAGGAAAGTCGACCTCGTCCAGAAGCATGCCATCGCGCTGCTGAGCCAGGAGACTCCCGACGTTATCGAGACCATCAGGGCATTCAAGGAGTCCCAGGCCATCGCGATCAACGCCCGCAAGAAGCAGAAAAAGGGGGAAGATATGACTCCGGAGGAACAGGCAGAGTGTGCGAGGATGTAAGTCGCCGCCTTGCTTGCAGATCTTCTACCTTCCCCTTTCCTCTTCGTTTCCCCAAGCCGTCCATTTTCTTTTGCTATATACAATGGTGGAAATGACTATAGTTTACGGTTGAATGAAATTGATTGTTCAAACGTTCGTTGGCTCATAAATGGACTTCGATAGGCATGTCATGAACCTGACAACGGCTATACGAGAGATCCTGACTCATTGCTCGCGCAAGACTATGGGTGGTTTGTCACGGGGCTGGGTGTTCTCGGTTCTGATTGGTGGAAATGATCCTATCTCCGGTGAACAGGTCGCTGGGTCGTACGTTTCCTCCATATAATAGACTGGTTGCAATTTATTGATCGGTCAATTCCTTCGGGTCTTTTGTTTGGTCACTCGCTGAAGGGTTCATGTTGGCTTATCTTCAGCCGGAAGAGAGTTCGGCTATGAGTCAGCAAGCTGGGATAAGATTGAGGAGGAGTTCAAGGAGTTTATTCAGACGGCCGATGGTAAGATGTTGCACGTCTGAAAATTTCGTCTTCTCATTAATTCCCCTAGGCCCGGCGTTCGCGGAGGTCGACGAGGGCGACGAGGGCGAAGTACAGGCTGACGGGCAAGGCAACGACAACGTTGAAGGCGCCGCGACCGTGAATGCGCCCGAAAAGACGGCCGAAAAACTTGAACAAGCCATTCAGGCGGCCGAAAAGTTAGGACAGATCCTCGAAGATGACAGCCTCCAAGTTCTTCAGGAAGATAAAGGCACGTTTATTGCTTTCAGCGCTCTACTATATAGCTCACTGCTCGTAGACGTGACTACAGACACTTCCGGAGGAGCCCTTTGTTCTGCAGAGGTCGGTGGGGGGAGCACCGAAAACAGTAAGTCTTCTTGTTTTGTCATCGCATATACGTGACTCACTTCCGCTTGACTTAACCATCTAGATTGCAAGGATGTTGCTGCCGATGCGGTCCCGGCTCAGGAACCCGCTCGTGCCTCCGCGCCGCAAGAGGCTGTTACGCACGCTTCTGCTCCTTGTACACCGTCCAAACGGTCCGTGGCCAAGCCCAACTCGGACGTCACTGGGCCAATCCAGGTGACACTCTCCCCCCGGCTGGCGCGAGCCGCCAGTGCAGCCACTCCAAGCCTCATTGCTGCGACATGGCCCTCCACCCCTCCGCGTCATCCGTCGGTGCCCCTCCCCGCACCTGCGCCCGAGCCGGTGCCCTCGTCCGAGCCTCTGTCAGACTCCACCCCTCCGCCTCGCTCGTCTACACCCCTCGCGCCAGCTGCAACCGTCCCGGAGCCCAGTTCTGACACCACCCCTCCGCATCATCTGTCTGTTCATCTCACAGTACCTGGGCCGAAGCCTGCGCCCGTGGCGGAGCCTAGTGCCGACGCCACCCTCCTGCGTAGCTCGTCTGCGACCCTCACTGCACCTGTCACAGAGCCGGGGCCTCGTTCTGACGCAGCCAACGCGCCCATTGACACCCCAAAGGTCGACGGATCGGTGCCAGTGGAGGTGCCAGTCTCGAGGGACATCGCCACGTCACCGCCCACATCATCTTTGGACACTGAGTCTCTGTCATCCGCTCCTATGTGGCCACAGCTTACTGGGGAGGACATGACCTCTCTGGCCGTCTCGCCAAGGCGCTCGCCGAGGGGTGCGCCTACTTCTACCAACAAGGAAAACGCGAGCCCCACCTCTGATCCTACCTCTCGAAAGCCCCAAGCTCCGAAGCCTCAGCAGAGGAAGAAGCGCGGCCATCCTGACCCCGACGGAGCTGCCGACACAGCTGTCAGTGGTTCCCAAGAAGCTCAACCAAGGACGAAGCGCGCACGTGTTGACAACATCAAGGACGGTGTCATCGCAGCCGGCGATGCCTCCACGATCAAACCAGTCAAGGCACCTTTTGCTACAGACACTACTAACACCGATCAGCCTTGGCGTGGCAACCGCGCGCGCCAATCCGCTCAGACCTCCACTCTCAAAAACGCCATTGGACTTTCTCCGAAGAAGAAGAAGACTTCAGCGTCAAAGTGAGTCAATATGCCCCGCGTTCATTGGTCGCCAGCCTGACCTTCTCACTAGATCGAAAGCTCGTAACTAGTCCTTTCCCTATAACATAACCATATGACGACTCTCCCATTGTATGCCAGTACTTTGTATGCGATAACAATGCATTGCACGAGCACTTTGATCATCAGATAAAAGGGTTTACATCGTGGGCTAAGAGGCGTTGAGCTACTAATGATGGCGCACGGGCAATAAGTCAACCGCGTGCGACTTCAGCTTAAAATTACTCTGCACATCTTGCGGGTTTCGACATGGCGCGGAAGACTGTAGGGCCGCTGTGTATGTTAACACGAGAGTCGAGCGGAAGCATTGCAGAACTGCTGACCGGATACGGAGGCATGTCATGGTATATCGCAACAGACACCTTTTGCAGGATGGCTGGCATCGTGGGCCGGTCAAGGCTAGAATACAGTTATTGCAGAAAAGCCGTCGGATACGGGCTAGTGCCAGGGATATTCGAGATACGAAGGCCTTTGCAAGATGACCGCAGAGCGGCAGATTCTGCCACATGGGTTGACAACTATCATTAGAATGTTAAGGAACGCGACAGAGGGCGGTGGGCATAAACGGGCATACTCACTGTTGCAGGACGAGCGACTACCGAAGTCGGCGACATCGTCTTGCAGGAACGCTGATAGCATTCGAGGTGACGCTAAAGAGCGTGACAGGAGGTGGTGGACATAAACGGATGTACTCACTCTTGCAGGATGAATGGCTACGGAAAGGCGTCGGCCTCCTGTTGCAGGTGAACTGGCAACGATCAGGGACCTGTCGGAGGGCATGACAGGGGCTGTAAGTGTAAGCGGACATAGAATCGTCTGTACGCACGTTTGCAGGAGGACTGACAGAGAATGATAAGGGAAATGACGGGCTGTGAGCGTGAAGGGAGGCGGCACTGGCGTATCGCTTTTGCAGTATGATAGGTGACCGAAGAGCTGGCTGTCCTCTTGCAGGACGACTGACAGGGATCGACGGGCTGCGAGAAGGGACGTGGAACTGGCGCGTGCCGCTTTTGCAGAATGACAGGTGACGGAAGAGCTGGCCGGTGGCATCCTCTTGCAGGAGGACTGACAGGGATTGACGGGCCGTCAGCGCAAAGGGACGCGGCGCTGACGTACCGCTTTTGCAGGATGACAGGTGGCCGAAGAGCCGGCAGCGTCCTCTTGCAGGAGGAGTGACAGGGATCGACGGGCTGTCAGCGCGAAGAACGTGACACCGACATACCATTTTTGCAGGATGACAGGTGGCCGAAGAGTCGGCGGCGTCCTCTTGCAGGACGACTGACAGGGATCGACGGGCTGTCAGCGCGAACGAACGTGGCACCGACGTACCGTTTTTGCAGGATGACAGGTGGCCGAAGAGCCGGCGGCGTCCTCTTGCAGGAGGAGTGACAGGAATTGATGGGCTGTCAGCGCAGACGGACGCGGCACTGACGTGCCGCTTTTGCAGGATGACAGGCGAGCGAAGAACCAGCGGCATCCTCTTGCAGGAGGACTGACAGGGATTGACGGGCTGTCAAAGTAGGGACAGGGATGATGGACATAACGAGACACGTACCTTTGCAGGATGACTGACGATAGTAGTGTCGTGAGCTCCGTGGTCTTGCAGGAATATCGACAGCAATGAGGGCCCGTCGTGACAGGGGACAGGAGGCGATGGACATAATGGGATAAGCACTTTTGCAGGAATATTGACAGCGGACCGACATAACGGCGGGTGGGTGAGCGGATGGGGGTTTTGCAGGACGTCTGCTGACGTGACTAGACGGGATCAGCCGAAAGGCGGGAGGTATACCGTAAAGGGAAGGGGGCGGGGAAACCTCGCATCTCTCAATATTGATGGCGTCATTCTGCAATAGCACCTGAGTGCCAGTTGGCGGTACAATTGCAAGAGAATGACAGCCTCAGGTGTTCCAGTACAATGGGATGACGATTCTCATCGAGCAACATGGTAGGACAAGATCCTTAAGTGCCGTAGCGCAGCGAGGCTGCCTTGTTGTTTACATCCACCTCTTGTGATTATTACACTTGGCCACTGAAACAAGCATGCTCCGCAATTTGGCTTCCTTAGCTCACTATGTTGTTGCTCTCAGTATCAAAACTGTTACAGAATCCAGGAGTTCTGCATAAGAATGTTGAATGTGAATTCAAGGTGTGAGTACACTCAAAGGTGGCCAAGCGTCTGCTGTAACCTAGTCCGTCGTGGGTTCGTCCTGCTAGCTAGGTTTATCTTCACTGTCATTTACATCAGCTGCCTCTCGCGCCACGAATGCCGTGATTTGCTTCCATGCTGATTTAATACAAATATAGTGCACACTGTTTTCGATGGCTTCGGAACGATTAGTCCGTCAGCTTGGCCTCTCATCTTTGTGTGTCACCGCTACCGGACGACTGTAAATCCTGAATGCTGTGCCCACATCAGGAAGCGAGTAAATGGGCCGCCTTACGAGTGACAGCGTCCGTCCGCCACGATGATCCTCAGCGCTAGTGCGCGAGTGCGCGACTTTCTCTTTTCTGAATCCGTGCCCACGCAAACTAAATAGCGCGCGTCGCTAAAGGGTAGCTAAAATTCTTCGCTGGCTGAGTGCATGTTTACGACGATCGGTCTACAGAGAAGACTCTCCGAGCTGCACAGCCGAGCAGAAGCTTTACTATTCACTCGTGATTGGGCAGCACGTTCTGTACACAGTTCCGTGACAGGCGTGCGATAGCCTTTTACTCGAGCGTTTGATATTTTCAATCTATTGGCCTTACATGCATCTCCAGAAACAGGGACAGAACATCGATAATGGAGGACCCTCCGTAAGGTCTGGAAATTCAGATTCGCCTTCAAACTTTAATGTCGGAGTTTCGGCTGAATCTGAAGTCTGAAGATACAGACCTAGGAATTCCGTAGGGTCAGTGGTCAAGGCACTTCATGGCAAGGGCAATGTCAAAGGAATGAATTGCCAAGTCGTCGCTTCGTTCATTACCCGGAGCGGATCTGTCGCGGAACGTCAAGTATGACATCGGCTATTGGTTTGAAGACGACTTTGAATCTGGAGGAGGGGAGTACCCCCCTCCTCCAGATTTTACGTTTGAAGACTGCTCGAGCTGACGTCGGAGTTGAAAAATGTACATTTACCAGACAAGTTGACAACGGCATTTCGGCATAACAAGGTTTGAAGACGAATCTGAAATTTCAGACGTTACGGAGGGTCCTCCAATGCTCGCCCGGACCCATGACTGAGCACATGCTTCCGGTTGATTGTGCACTAAGACACGACGTCGATCTTTCCATGCCGATTTCATTCTACCTGCATCACATTCAATGAGGAACAAAGACGGCGCATATAAACTCCTCGTCCGTCTGGTTATCGACACACATGTCAGACTAACTCGGCTTCCAAAATAAGTACTCGCCTTCATGCGTATTGCCCCACCACTCGGCACAGAGTGTCGGATGATCTCTCTCTATGGCATATCGTGGGTACCGCATAAAAAGACCGTATAGCTCTAATAGAATGTTGTTGCAGATCGATTGATGAGGATGTGATAACGAGAAAAGCGACGCCGCCATCAAGCAGGTGTTGAAGGTTTACACGCCCCGATGACAATTGCAAGCGATTAGGATATTCCAGCCCTCTACAATCAGACATTAACAATCGAACTATTTTCGTCAGGCAAACGCTGAAAGGAAAGAAGGTTTTAGAAAGAAGTGAAGCCAAGTGATTACGCTCGCTCCTGAAAATCCGTGAGATGCGGAAAGAAAGCGCACCACCTCCAGTCACGTCAGCTTGCTAAACATACCATCACTACTTCGAAAGCTATGGCACATCCGATCATTGCTGACGCTGTCCACCTCGACGCACTAAGCTGTGCTAGTGAGTTTGAATCAATAATACAGTAGCCGACGGCGGCGATAGCCTGCAGCTCCACTTTGTAAAACATATCATTATTACAACATATTGAATATAACGGTTTCCCAACGGATCTCACCTAACATTCCAACTCCGGGTTGATTGTGTACAACGATTGCTGTGAAATATATAGTTTGTTCGCATAAGAGACATATGAGAAGAAATACTAGAATCTTAGTGGAGCCCCGGTACAGTGCGTATAAACGCATTATCATCATCGCTATGTAAAGACGTCAGATGAGTACAAGTTAGATCATGGTTACAGTGCAAGCTCACAATGCAATGCAAGCAGAACCAACATTGTCATAACTTGGTGCAAGACCTCGAATATGTAGCCTGGGGTAGGTCAATCAACGTGACTTGGATTGTGGATACTTCTCTTACATCTATATGTGCCCAATGACGTTCTTGTGGTAAGCAAAATCCAAGTTGGTCGCGAGCCTGTACCCACTGCTAATGGATGTTCAGCCAAACCTTGGATTCCTTCATGGTAACACCAATGGAAGCTTACTTCAGCCGAGGTTCCGATTGTTTGGTCTATGAACGTGCACATATCAGCATGAGGATCTCAATCAAAGCCAGCCAGCAGTATATACGAACATATTGATGCACTAGTAAATGCAAGTCATCAGCACAGCGAATGAAAATAGAGTAGTGAGAGCATACCAGGCATACAGTATGCCTAAGTAACGCGGCTGGATTATGAAGTCCCTGGCAGGTTAGTTTAAAATCACGGCCACAAGCACAACCTTAAAACTGACCACACAATAGAGGCCCGTTCCAAACGAAAGCTTTGGGCTCTGTTCTCTTTTCCTTCAGCCTCTCCCAGGTGTTGAAAATCTAATGCATGCGTACCCAGATGTACTTCACCTGCAAGATCACCTACGTGAGTTGTAATAGTCCAATGAGTATATCTCGATCTTACTTCATCGTCAACATGGATGACTGGCATACTTGTTAGTGAATAATGACCGTTGACTATGAAAAATGTACTCACGGCAATCATAGAGCATCAGTGCCAGCATACCCACTCCACGGATAATACATACATAAGGCTTAGGCAACGAAGATAACAAGCGTACACACCGTTGGTATAAGTCAGTGTTCGGCTTGATATTATACGCTGCTCAGACACCAGCGTCAAAACAGCCATGTCATGCTGGAAATACATCACGACAACGAGAAACATTGTATACGGTCATCTTTGAGCATCACTTGAGGGAATATGCGAGTACAACAACTCAGTACAAGACTCCAGGGCTACTGCGGAGGAGATGGGCGGTATAAGGCGCACAGCAGACGTGGTAATAAAGACTTTCATACGACGTCCGCCTAGCTCACCTGGCCCAACAAGATGTATGCATCATTTTATAGCGATGGACAGAAGCCGCAGCTCTCCCGTTAAGTAGTCGATGCGGGTGCGCTAACCTTGGGTCTGTGAGTTACGCACCGGTTGTGATGGGAAGTGAGAGAACAGCACGGGCGGCGCCATCAGCATAGTCTTCAGCTGTGCCGAATCTGCGCAGTGGGATTGTCGTGTAATAGGATAGATAATCACAACAGCGTTGATTGTTGCACACAGCTGCGCAGGGCGTGGGTGAGGGAAATCAACGACCCAGTGCGGGAGAGATACTCAAGAAGAGCGCATGTGAAACACATTACCGCCCATGTAGAAAAGGCGCTCATATTATATCTGTGCCAAAGCTGGTGTGTACCGCACTAGTCCAAAATGCCGTGAAGCGTTAATTCGTTCACTATAGATTTCGAGACAAAGCAACGTCATGTTACCGCACCGGTTAATGTGACTCCAGGTTCTAGCGGCGCATATCAGGTTAACTAATCCCCGCAAAAAAAGAAATGTAGAAAGCAACTCAGTATCTTGCCGGTGATCCGAATGGAAGATCTCGAGAAGGTGCCGCGGACACGATGCGTCCAGTCACCAAAGAAACCTATCGCTCAATTATCTTTTAGAACAGCTCCGGTTGATACGGTGGACCTCCCGAGCAATAAGAGGGTAATCTGGCGGTACTTTTCCGCAACGTATCACCTTTTCCTCCAGAACAGGGTACGGATGGATATTGGCTACAGCGCCGATCAGAAATTTCGACATCAACCTGGACGTCATTAGCGTCCCTAATCTAAGACATCAGGTAAGTAGACACGAAACTCTGGCTTCTTCTCAAGGAACTTCTTCCTTGCGCGTTTTATACGCTTGGTGTTTGGCCCTTCCCTGTCCTGTCCTTCTTCATTCAAACCTGTTCGAGAGCGATCACGAAGATGAAACATGTCACGAAAAATTGGAAGACGGACCAAGCGACGGGTCACCAACCATAACGAGGAGACCAGACGCAACGCTCATCATCCGCAAGTTTGGCGAGATCGCACATGACGTTCGTTCTCGAACGAGCGCAAGTACATCTCGGCCAAACATGTCACGATAGTTATGCATAGAGTAACTGGCAAAAGACGATGGTAGGACACCCACGAGGTTGAAGTTTACCATCCATATCTGAAGCTGATCATCGGGCGAAGATGTATCGATAAAAAAGTTGGAAGCGGAGACGTCTGAGTGATACCAACGTAACTCTTCGCCTGCAAGCTTGATTGGCGTGATATGGGGGCTCATGGCAGAGTGAACAAGGGACTAGCAGTCATAGACAAAGGAACGCAAAGTAAGGAGACCGCATGGCAAAGCAACGATGAAGATTTACCGTGTTTGCGTGCCGCTCCACAGCTTTCGCATCTTTGAAACCCATCTCTGCATCCCAATCCTGCCCATAGAAGCAATGACGGACGTTCCCTCCTCCGACTGGACCCAGCACCCCATCCCCAGGAAGAGGCATATCATCGAGCAACCAACGCAGCGCCTCTGCAACGCTCTCGACGGCTTGTCGACGTCATGCCTTTCATTCCTCGCCTGGTTCCGCTTGATTGATCCATGCATCAACCGTGATCCCGGGAACGTATTCCATGACAATGTACGTTCGGTTCTTTGAGAAGGTATCCAGGACACGCGGAATTCGCGGGACGTGCGCATGCCCAGCTGCGTGAGCCTCTGCATGATCGTAGACATATGTCTGGGTTCGAGCTTCACTAAATGAGGCGTCATCACGTCTGATGAAGAAGCGGGGTTCATTGGTGGGGTATACAAGACTCATAGGGTGCCTTTGCGAAGAGCAAAGAGACACGATAGTCTCATGAGATGGGAAACCCGGAAGAGAGGAGGGGCTGAAAAGAGCTGATGATAGCGGCTTCAGGGGCATGGTGTGTAGGCTTACGGATAGGGTTCAACAGTGGCTTGCATGGATGGTGGCTTCCGAACGCTATGGGGTTCGTAATCGCAAGATAGTGTGTTTAAGGACTCGATGGGAGTTTAAGTTAAGAATGATCTTCCTGAAGTGGTCGCCAGCATGCTATCCCGGGCTTCAGCGTGAAATTTTGTGGCTGTGGATCTAGGATGAATGATGGTGCACGATGAAGGTGGACCTCGAGCTTAACCAAGGTGTTGGTGTGGACGACAGATTGCTCCCGACTGGTTCACAAGTTGCCGGTCTTGCGCTCCGCCAGGTGCCGAAAGGTGCCGACCTCATTTCCCCCTGAACGACAACCTTGAAGACAACAGCTGGACAACGCTCTTCAATGATCGGTTTCATTCCTCACAGAACTCAGATCCTCATATCTTATAATGTGGCTCCATGCAAATATCAATACTTGACATGACAAATGCATGAGTACAAAGAAGGTCTAGCAGCTGGGGATCACCGTGCTATCCTGCTGGGACTCCTGCTTAGTTGACTCGCAAAGACCAAGGCTGATTGTTGTATGGAGTCAACGTGTGCGTCTTCTCCGCTTCCCTCGACATCTTTCTCGTTATGCCTCCTAATGCTCAGCATCATGTATGGGCCAATCAGACAGGACGCAAGTGCCGTGACAACGATCGTAAAGACGTCAAGGGCTGGACTTGTGGTCTGAAGTGTGTAGTGTCAGAAGCGTTTCGCAAGGTAAGAGATTGATGTTTACTGATAGCACACCAGAGCTCCCGAGGTTGAGACAGGCCGAGCAAAATACGCTAACCGAAGAGGGTGAGCTATCTCTCTGGCTTTTTAAGCAAGTCAATCAAAGAGTACGTACAGAATGAAATAAATGACATTGTCCTGGATGACGATTGATACCAAGCTGTTGGCCCTCCATACAAACGATACACCGGTTTGATGCTCCCGAAAGGCTTCCCTGACATGCAGTACGAATTGATATAGAACTAAACATACCATTACTACTTCGAGAGCTATGACACAGCTAACGAGTGCTGGTACTGCCCATGACGAGGCATTGATGGGGGCTAGGGGGCTATAATAGATGGTACAGTAGCTAAATGTGGCGGTGGACAAATCCGCTTCCCAAAATGTGTCAATGTTAGAAAATACATGCAATGGCCTTCCGATACAACTCACCAAATATTACGTCTCCAGGCTGAACACGGACGATTACTGCAGCGAGATACACGGTTTGCTCGCAAAACAGACATCCAAGAAGGAGTATGAGAAGTTTAGCGGAACGCAAATACAGCGCATGCAAACGCGTTATCATTATCACTGTGCGACGGCGCAAAGCAAATAAGTGATAGACGACAGCTATAATGGAAAGTCGTCACCTTGTATCACGAGTAAAATGACCATTGTCATGACTTGGCACAGGACTCCAAATACGTAACCTGAAATATACAAATGAATATAACCCCCAATGTGACTGATAATCCATCTTACATCTATGTGCCTAACGACGTTTCAGCGGTAGACAAGAACAGGAGAGCTTTAACATGAACCCACTGCTGTATGACGTTCAGCCCCAAACTTCTTTAATGCTAACATGAGAGAGGGCTTACTTTGTCTGAAACCCCGATTATCTGGTCTGTAATTGCACACGGGTAAGCTCAGGGAACTCAATCAAGATGTCCAGTACAAACAGACTGCGACACTAGAGGGAGAAAGCCATCAATACACCGAAGAGTGTGCAAGATGGTCGAGCATACAAAGCATACAGTACGCCTAGATAGTGTGACTGAAATACGTGCTGAGTTACAAAACTATACGCGCACGCAGGATCAATAACACTGACCAAAGCATACAAGCCCGTTCCGACGGAAAGCTTTGCGCTCTAGTCTCTTCGTCGTTAGGGTCTTCCAAAGGAAATTATTGTAGACGTACCCAGATATACTTCACCTGTCAGCCCAGTTACGTGTGAGCATCATAAAAAAGGATGTCACTAGGAGCCTTACTTCATCATCAAGGTGGACGACTAACCAAGTGTCAGCGAGGTCACATTTGTGAATTTGCATTACGAGCTTACGATGATCATAGAGCACCAACGCTAGCATACCCACTACGTACATAGAAGATAGGTGTCATGACTCAGACATTGAAGCGGACGAAGGTGCATACCGTTGGTGTAAGCCACATGTAGTCTGGCTCGAGTTAATCCGCTGCTCGGATACTAGCTCTGAAGGGGCAGTCATCTTGAGCGGGCAGAACTCCAAGACGGTAACTGGTCCTTCGTAAGATGACTGCAATAGCAATCCGAGCGAGGGTATAGGTACAACGCTGTCGGCGGTGTCAATGATGCCGTGGATGCGGATAACACGCTAAAGTCCGCTGCCGACGGAACAGCGACGTCCCTTCTAGCAGCTGTCAGGTTGCCCGAACCAGTTGACGTGTACATGATGATTACGCACCGGGCTGGCGCCACAGGCAGCGCCTCTAGTGGAGCACTGAGTCGACACGGGAAGGGTGACAGGTCAACTACGTGCAGTGTTGAACGTTGAACGTGCAGTGCCGGTGATATCTAGGAATCATAGCCGTCCCAAGAACAGTCATTGAACCACTCGGCAGGGCTTCACAACTGCGCATCAGCCAACGTGGTCATGAGCTATAATCTGCGATTTGCGTACCGGTCATGGTGGCCTAGTATGCTCGGAAACAGCTTAGACTCGGAGTGGGACCAGAGCCATTTTCAATTTCCCGGCTGCGCGCGGCGGACCGCGTACGTGGTGTGACCGGAATAAAATAAGGCAATTTGATAACCGTAGAGGGATTGGACATCACTAAATGGGTGGGAAAAGTTTGACCGTTATACCGAGTGATCACCGTTATAATATCGTCGTCGAGACAGTTTTGCATGATCACGAATGGTGACGCATTCCCATTGAGTTAACATATCGTTATGGTGTGGCAGTGAATTTCGGCCGAACACCATGTCGCGGACACTTTACCATTGATCAAAATCGATGATCTTGCTCGTACATTTGTTAGTCGAATATAAAATACGGAGACCATTTCAGAAACAAAATTATCATTGAGCGATAACTTCAACTGCATATGGCAGCCACCGCTTTAGGTAGACACGAACACTAACGAACAATAAAAATGGTAGAGATTCGAATACCCGCTGACCTTTACAATGATGCAGACCCGGTTGCGTTGGTGAGAGCCTCATCTTCACTTAACGTTCACTCAGGCTCGAGCTTGGCTTATACCCCGAGTTGCATCCGGGCGCATTGAAATAGGGACATTCCCTTTGAAAACTAAACTTGAACTGCTGGTATTTAAAGCCACGCGCTCACGGAGCAAGCAAGCACGTCTGAGCACCCATATTTTACAAATAGATTTGTAAAATGAGTTAGTGTGGCGGAAACGCCTGAGACGACGCATGAACTCAACAAACGGATAACAAGCGCCCATAGGCACTACAGCATACACGCAACATACACGCCTCGTCGTTTACACGTGGACGTCACTAATGCCTAAACCCACCATCATCGATGTCATAGAAGAGGCATTGACACTAATCTTTGTCTTCACCGAGCACATGTGTCTCCTCCGCTTTGCCCGGCACAGCAGCATACCACTTGGGCGTAGCCCCGCAGGGCGAGGTGAGTTCAATGGCGTTATCACCTGCCAGAGAGGTTTGAGAATTCGAGGACGCATTTCGGCCCGAAATGGTGAAGAGGTGAATGAGCGCTAGTACGAGGGTATACAAGAGGAATGCGATGCTGTAGATTGAAGCGAGGTGTCAGTTGAATCGATAAGAAGGAAGAATGGGTCGAGGCGTGTGACAGGGACGAAGAAGACAAGAAAAGGTTGAAAGGAAAGGAAGGAGAGACGGACCTGAACATGATAAGGATGTACGTGACATGGTCCATGCCTTCATCGTTGACAAATCCAAGCTCTTCATCTGTCGCTGACATGAACAGGATTCTGCATACGCGCATATAGTAGTTAGCCAAATGTACACCAACCCCGAACGGAATCGTGACACGAACCCAGAAACAACCAATAGCTAGCGATGAAAGTGAGCACAGATTGATAACACGCAAAGAAAAGCGTACGAAAGGTGACAAGTGCCTGAACGCTATCTCAGCGTTGACTCTCCCAGCTTCCTGCAATGCCAACGAATCTCCCGGCGCGAGCGTGTGTTTGCTGTTGTTATCACCCTGCACCGGTGGGACATCGTACCTCGCCGAGGAGAGGAAGCACACTTCAACGATGCGTGCAAGCCCGGCAGCTGAGAGAGTGTAGCCAAACGTCGCGTGGACCTGTTCAAGCCATACAGCGTTAAGTCAGCCCAATGGAAGGGGAGAAAGGAAGTGATAGAGTGAAGAGGTAAAAGAACGCTAGCTGACTATCGTCGAGATCATAAGCGCTTGTGCATGTCCTGCCATAGCCCATCCTGTGAGGATAATGCTGTGGTATGTTAGTCATCTGAATTGCTATGTGGGCATGTAAGCGGATCGTACATAATACTAGGAATCACGGAACGCTGGAGGTCATAGGTAATGTCAGCGAAAATAGCGCATGTCAGGAGCGCTGGCGACATGCCTGGTTGTTCCGCGACAGGAAAATGCCTCGCATGCCTCACGTCCACCCTGTAAACTCTCCGTGAGCCTCGGATCCTCAGACCAGAGTTCGCTGTTACAACTTGCAAAGATCACCGAGGATACTGATCACCTCGGTGAGTAGGTTGTAATTCGTGAGATTGTCCAAAGACTTACGTATGCTGCATATCCTTGACCGACCAAGCACCCCCGTGATGCTCGGTGAACGTGTTGACTGTACTAGGGGTGAGCGTAACGCCAGGATGATGATGGGGCCTGACATACCAATCCCCTTTACTCCAGATCAGATGTTCATTGCTTAGTAGAGTGAAGGCACGAGGTACGCACCCACAGAGTAATGGCCTAGGAATCCCACCATTCTGGGCTCCTCCCGCTCCACCGCACCCAAGACTCGCCAACGATGAACACGATAGCCATGATAGTGCCATACACAATGAACCCGCTTCCCTAAACCAGCGTCAAAACGTGAACACGCGCCCGATTGTACAATGCATGCGAGCAAAAGCAACGTACCATGATGTAATGCGCCAAACACTATCCCAAGTGTCCACCCCGACAATACCCCCTGAACACTATCGACCCAAACAACATCTGCACCCACCCCAGTATCGGGTACACCTTTCCGACGATTCCGTGTGCCTTGACAGCATACGGCCGAATATTACGCTCGTGGATGTGCAGTTTGAGGTACATGTCGAGCGCAAGCTGGATTGCGACAGGGAAGCAGGAGGATCTTGGCGAACGGTCAATGCGCGGAGCGTGCTTGATAATTTGAAGCAACGACATGCATTCCAGCTACAAGAACGACGGCAAAATGAAATAGAAGAGGACCTCTAATAATTCTGGCCAAACAGAGACAGATGATGAAGCCAGCCCTAAAGCTGATGGAGAGATAAGATAAGATAAGATAAGACATTTTTGTTCGCCTTCGCCTTTTTGAACACTCTCCCCGCCTTTTCTCTCTCCTCCCTTCAACCGTTTCTCTTTCTTCCCCCCGCTATTTATCCCCCCCTGTAATCTCTGTTTGCCTTCCTCACCTGTCTGACACGCCTCCCACCACCGATTGTCGCCACCTCCACTTGTCTTAGAATTGTCAAGTTCTTCTGGTGTTTTGGCTCTGGTAAGTCTGGCACGTTTTACTATGCATATAAGTACCTCCCGAAAGCCAGAACCCCTTAAGCACGAAGCCAACAGCATTTTTCAATGCACTCTACTATGATGAGGTGCATGCATTGTCGCTGCTGCCCCATCACTCACTCATTTTTCATTCCTTTTAGCTCAACCCGGTGGAAAGTGATGGACAAAGAGCCATAGACGGTTAATGTGAGTAGCTTGAGTTGTTTGGGATGAGCACGCGTTCACAGGACCATTAACGCGATCTCTCTGCCACAGATGACGTCCAGGTCACTTCTCAACGTCCGACTCGACAGAAGATGAGCAACCCAGCAGCCTCGTTGAAGTCTTGCACCACCCATCCCCCAGCTGTCAGCGAGGACCTGGATCACAAGCCTGAAGTCTGAGGCTATCATATTCCGAGTTGATGGTCACTATTCGCGTCCCCACCCGCCTTCGGCTACCTCATTGGCAGAGTCAGAGCCCGAAAATAGACGAGTGCTGTCATCGACTACCGGCTTCATGGTCTGTAAGCTCTAATTCTTTCCTCAGACCTCCTGATCTCGTGTGCTGCTGCTGCTCTCATGTATCATTGTTGCTATCATGCTGCTGCCCTCGTGTTCCTGCTCTCGTGTATTTACCTCATTCATCGTTTTAACCTTGATTAATGCTACATGCTGTACTATATAATGTTCACAATAAATGTCTTGTCATTGGAATCATGGGTGAGATTGCGAGTCCTCATCATATGGTGTGAGTTTTGATCATACGGCATAAATCACCAGCCGATCTTATCATGTAATTATCATGCAGGCTCCGTCAACGGTAAGATAGCCATCAATATTATAATATCATCCCTGATCTGACCATTTCACCGTCTGATTTTGGTCTGATTTCCCATATGTTAAAAACGGACTTTACGCTCCACTCGTGCTGGAGATTCGAAATATCATTAAGGTACGGTGTCAGTTATAACGGATTCTACTACTGCTCATGTACTTATATTCGGTCCGCCCATTTAGTGATGGATGCCGTATCCTATGCGATCAATTGATCTATCCAAAAGATGTAGCCAAGTGCGAGCGCGGTGAGAGATTCAAAGTCTACATGAGAGGTAATCAAGCTAGTAGAGAAGACGCTGAGGCAATCCATGTCACCCACGTAGGCAATGCAACCGATCACGCGAATTGAACTGGGGCCCGCGACGTGGCGCTTGTATGATGTTTTTACGGAGACAAGTGATAGGCGACGATCCAAAGACCCTACTCAAGGCATCTGAAGAGTGCTGAAGCTGACCACAAACTTCCTTTCACAGCGCACAAGTGTTAAGTTGAGAGAGATAATGAGATTGAATTGCAGAGTAGTAGATGAAATGCGTAAATGATGAAACAAACAAAATAGAAATACATAATTTAATAGATCTAACACCAGTCTAATATCCACACACGGCCCTCAGAAACCCACTAATCTAGACGAGGAACTCAGCGAAGTAGCTCTCAAGGCTGGAGACCTTCTCGAGGGGAACGGCAGTGCCGACCCAGGTGTCGGGGCGTACGACAACGACGGCACCGTCCTCGTGGCTGACACCGTACAGCGCATGCGCGTCGGCGCCGAAGATGCCAACGGGGAGCTGGTCGTCGTAGACAACCTGCGCCTTCTGTGAGAAGAAGGGCAGCTGGTGGATGCGCTCCTCGGCGAGCTTGGGCGTACCGCGGACGACGAGGACGATCTTGAAAAGATCCGACTTCATGTACTGTGCGTAGAACGACTTGCTCGACGCGAGGTACTGCTCGACGGCCTGCAGCTTCGGCACGACGGCGCCCGTAAGGTTGCTCGCGAAGACGACGAGGTTGAACTGGTCGAGGCGGCCGAAGGCGTCGTACAGACGGGCGGAGCGGTCGCGGGAGAGGGCGACGCGCGGGTCGGGGGCGCGGTAGCCGGCGCGGGCGCTGGAGATGGCGGGGTCGACCTTCTTGTTGATGGCGTTCTCGCGGTAGTCGACGTCGAGACCGATGAGGAAGCGGCCATTCTCCTGCGCGAACTGGCGGAAGAAGGCGACGTGGATATCTTCACCCTCCTCGGCCTTGACGACGTTATCATCGAGCTTGGAGCTTTCAGTGCCGTCAATGTTCTCGAAGGTGCAGTTGCCGACGAAGCGGAGGTAGCGTGCGGAGGTAGCGACGGCGCGGAGGGCGTTCTCGCGGCGCTCGACGTCGTAGGTCTTGAGGAGGGAAGGCTTGGCAATGCCGCGGGAGAGGAGAGCGAGTTTCCAAGCAAGGTTGTGGGCATCCATGATACCAGTGTTCATGCCGAAGGCGCCCTTAGCACTGTGCACGTGGCACGAGTCACCAGCAAGGAAGATGCGGTCCTTGTACTCGAAGGTGCTCGCGACACGCTCGTTGACTGTGAGGATGATGAGAATCGGAATAGTGGACAAATGCATTGCAGACTTACTGGTCAAGATCGCGTACCAGTCGACAGGGCTGGCGTACTTGAGGTAGTAAGGGGCAAAGATCTTGTTCAGCTGCGCAAGAACCTCCTCGGGGCCCCACTTGGAGTGGTCGAACTCCTGGCCAGGCTCGGGCCAGAGCTGGGCGTACAGACGGACCATGTCACGCTCACGGGGAATAATCAAGCAACCACCGTGCTCGGAGCTGAGGACAGTGCTAAAGAAGACGTTAGCCACGTGGTTGATTATCCGTCAATGACGATACATACCCGAAAGTCCAGCGGTGAGGGAAGTCAGTCTCGAACACCGCGTCAACGATACCCCAGTGCAGATCCGTCTTGATGCCGTTGAACTCGATAGGAAGCGACTTGCGGATGATGCTGTGAGCACCGTCGCTGCCGACAAGGTAGCGAGCCTTGACGGTCTCCTTCTCGCCGGTGGCCTCGTTGATAATCTCAGCAGTGATGGGGTGGGTGACGGCGGGGTCAGCAGACTCGTCAAACTTGTAGGACGTCATCGTGCAGGGACGCTCGACGAGGATGTCGTGGCGTACGAGATCACTGCATTGTAGCGGTTAGCATTCCGTAAAGTCCTCGGAATGAAGCCGAGGGTGACATACCGAATGAGGGCGTGCTCCATCTCCGTCTGGGTGACATCGTGCAGACCTTGCCAGCGGCATTCACGGGGGTCCGACTGGTGGGACTCGGCAAAGATCTGCTTCTTGCCATCTTTGTAGACAACGGTGTGCTCGATACGGGGGCCGAGAGCGAACACCTCCTCACCCAGGCCAATCTGGGCGAGGACCTCCATCGTACGGGGCTGAAGCGAGTCGGCACGGCCGACAACGAGGGGGTGAGGAGACTTGTCGAGGATGCGGAGAGTGACACCCTGACGAGCGAGGGAGGCGGCGGTGGTAAGACCAACGGGTCCAGCTAGGAACCATGCTTAGTTCGCGACAAAGAAGTGAAAGAAAAGAAGCTCACCGCCGATGATCAACACATCAATCTCAGAGCGCTTTTGGTAGTCAGCTACCACAGGCTTCTCGCAGTTCGTGCCATTGAGGAGGTTGGGGTAGGTGACAATGGGGTTCACGCCCTGAGTGTTAGGCAGGGACTTGTTAACGCTGCAAAAAGTGCCGGTTAGATGTTACCAAGGTTTACCCGACTGCATTCAACTCACTGATCAAGGGTGTAGGGAGCAGCGTAATCGTCGGCAGAGAATCCTGAGGTGGCCATTGCTGTTATGTTTGGATGGGGAGAGTGGAGAAGTTCTAAGGGATCTGGGGAGGCTTGAGAGGCCGAGAGAGGAGTGTTGAAGCTGATGTCCTCATCCCGAAGTTTGTCGCGCCTGTTTTATATCAACGTTAGACTTGACCGCAAAACACGACTTGACGGCGGCGCCGACGCTGAAGAATCCCAGTGAGACCTTGGGAACCCCCAAGCAGCAATGCTCTCCAAGGGGCAATTACCCGATGTGTGAGGTACGGCCGTTTCCGGATGCGGTCTGGCCAACAATCCACCCCGGAGGAAACGGGATCACGGCGGAGAGATGGGCTGAGAGAGGAAACATCCTTGATACGAAAGTGCTAGAAGCGATGCCCGCGTCTATTGCGTTCAATTGAGTGCGCTGGGAATCCCAGGGACAGGCCGCATCTGGACTCGATACAATGATGACCCCCTCCTGCCTGTGCGAGCTAGACGTAGCTCATTACGATCACGTCCGCAAGGATGGGGGGCTGTCAGCGTCCGATAACCATATGGGCGAGAAGGTCCGGAGGAAAGGCGCGATTGTTCTCCGTGTCGAACAGCCTACCGCGGACGTAACCTTCACGTGGCTTATCACCGCTTTAGGCAAGCCATAAAGTTAGGGGCGTCGCGCCGCACAACCACTCCCACCAGGTCCCAGTGAGAACCCCCGCAGTGCAACTCAGGGCCAGCTTGGCAAACCTTCACCTATTTTCCGTATTCTGATCGCACAGAGTTTGATCGTTGTTTTGCTGAACAATATTGCAGCGTGACTACCCGACTTCTAGCCCCATACCTGTCGGATGAATCTTATCATCGTCGTCAATCCTCCTTCGGGAACATAGAGAGGTTAATCTCTCTGTGGAGGCTCAAGGGCAAACACAGCGTCCCCGATATATGTAAGCGTAGCGGCGCTTGAGTAAGTTGCCATTTTCCAGGTCCATGTTAACAGGCACACGGACTTCAAAGTACGCCCAGGTGGGGCGAGTGGGACCGGCGGCTCAATAAAGTGACTGTCCCGATGATGAAGGACCATACGGAATTTGTAATCCAGTTGCGCATTGCGTGCGCTAGGGACCCGATAACGCGCGCAGCTGTCCTCGCCGTAGATCACAAATTGCCTTCAATGAAGGGCAACCGCACCCAGCGTTATCGAGCTTTCCTGCGGGTGTACGCTGCCAGTCTCAAACGTCCGCGGATCGGATTAATATTGATTACTTCGCTGTGATAGAGTGTGTTGATATCATCCTCGTCGAGTGTATGGTACCGGCCGCTTCAAGACAAAGAAGAGTTCGCGCACGATCGTCGACAGATGGTAGCGGCAAATGAAGCTAAAGCACCGCGCATCAAACGCCTGCATCCAAACGCCTGCATCAATGACTCGAGTGACGTCAGTAGTTGATTTCTTTGCTGGAGAATCGCTGTAGCTATAGAAATCAAGCATAGCTCAAGTCAGGCTCCATCTTTACTTGGGACTGACAGTTCATCTCGGTTAGGCGTAATCAGGGTAATCAGGATGTCCCTGTATGCATTTGATTGAAATCTGTAGTATTCGCCGGCAATACTAACTATCACTGAACTACGGGAAAGAAGAAAGACGATGCAGAATAATGATATCATACTGGTACAGCTAAAGCCGGTGTCTAATGAATACATCGCGCGCGGGGTGCGGGGTGATTAGAATGCTAGGAAGTTAAACGTGAATGTAGCGGTGTAGCGGGGACCGTCCTGATGATGGTAACGATCCGATGATAACGAAAGAAAAGTGTGTATGTCGTCTGTCTCTATGCTGCTCAGCCATAACAAGTCTAATAATGAATGCCTGATAGGAAATGAACCATGATCAACGATGGTGGAATAGCGAAGTGCGCAGATGATGACCCACTTGCTGTGGCGAAGGTCTCAAGTTGAACTACGCTTGACCAGGTCACGCGCGTCGGATCCGTCGGAGAGGCGACATCAGACGCTTTTGAGAGGCCGAGGTCCATCGCCATGCGCATGGCCATCTTTCGAGCTTGGGGTCAGCCGACGGCGATCAGGCAGGCAGAAGGTTTGGGCTCACCTGGCTGTAGGTTCGGAAATCAGACACCCGTCCATGCCGATGCTCGGCCCAGGACAGCAATAAGAGGGCGTAAAGCGTATCCGGGGCGGGCTTGCTCATAATTACGGAGAAGATGTTCTGAGAAGAGTAAAAGAAGCCGTTTGGTCAGATTAAGCGGAACGTTGTGTCGGTGATGGCTATGTTTACCTTTGCGCGTTCGAGGTACTGCTGGGCGATGCCGTCCAGGCCCCGATTGATCAGGTCGGGCAGATCACAATACCTATTCATAGTGTTCGAGAACTCAGTTGAGCATGACGCGAATAAGATCTGGGGTTGCTACATACCGAACAGCAAGTGCAGCGAGGCAGTTGCACAGCAGCGGGGGAAGCTCGCCTAGATTATACCGGTCCAGGGTATTCTGATAGGTCATGAAAGGATATTGCGAGCCCATCTTCTGCAGGAAGACGCCAATGAAATAGGGCATCAACGACTTGTGTGGAAATCGGGGCTGTTCGGGGTCGAACAGAAGAACGCGTCCAGATTGATCGGGAGCAGTGAATGATGGCGAGAGCTGCTGATCGAGGCCGAAGGATAGCCAGTCCGCTGAGAAGTCAGGCAAAGGCGTGCCTGGCGTCGGAGGTGAACAGCTGTGTGCATGGCGTGAGCAGAAGCGTTCTTATGATCAGGAACAACATACCCTTCCAAGGAGAACCCAGAGCCTGGCATGCTGCTCAGCAGAGAGTGATACATGAGGTCGCCTTGAAACCCGACGCGCTTCAGGAAACGTGGAGTATCCTGAGAGAATTTGACACATACCTGAGACAGGTTGCAAGCTATCGCTTGATGTAGCTGGTGATGACAACTGCGCGGGTGTTTGGGATAACCGTGGGGATGGCGAGCTCGATGAGGGAGTCGACGTGGACGACGCGCGTGAGCGAGAAGCTCCGACTTCATGGGTAGGGGATTGGCGTCTCGATCCCGTACGCTTCTTGACGCCACCCCCACTGACGCCAGCGTAGAAGCGTTCCCGGTCCCCGTAATGGCACGAGATTTCGGCTTGCTCGCAGGCCTCGCACTTCGAATCCGAAATTTGGACACACTTAATCTTCCTGCTTCGACTGGGACATGGTTAGGCCGAGGTTTCGGGAAAAGGAGAGGGCTTCGAAGTCGGTCACTCACCAGTTATCACAGGACGTAACCAGTCTCGGGCGACGCTTCTGGCGGTTGGAAGAGTTGGGAGAGACAATGACGAACTGCATGGTGAAAGACTCAGGTTGAGCTGAGAGCAGTAACTGTGGTCGCGCACGAGGCGGGAAGTGAAAAAAGCTGAATATAAGTAAGCATATATGCGGCAACGGTAATAGAAGGCCAGTCTTGGCCGGATGTTGCAGTGTCAGAACGCCTGGCTCGGATGCATAGACTGAGGTTGCAGCCGATGAAGGGACGTGACGGGCGGTTCCCACTGGAGCGGCCGCATTCCGACCCTCCGCCGTTTCCATGTTGCTCAGGGGGTCTTTCCGCATATGAGGACTACAATGGATTAACAGCGCAGCTGTGCTGCCCCCGATCTGTCGATCCAAATGCGTATATGTTATCTTGAGTCAGCCGGAGAGCGAGTTACGCGGGAAACCAATGTCATCGAGCGCTGACGGGTTATCGGGAGGGACCAGACGTGTCGACCAATCGCACGCCAGCTTAGCATTTTGATGCAGAAGTTGTGAAGGATCTACTATGCCCATCTAGGAGGGAGAACTCGCCGATGAGAGGTTCCGATGGAAGACTGAGCGTCGCACGTGTCGATGGATGGATGTCCAAGTGTGCACACACCATGATGAGTGGAAGACGAGCAGAACGAAAGACGTTGACGCGTGACGACCACCAGCCACCGCGAGTGGGTCTTTCGGCTAAATCCGGAGCAAGGTCGCGGAAGCATTTCGACATATCAAGACTAGCGCGTTCCTACGCCACAACGAACTCCGTGGTAGATGAAAAGAACGGCGTAGCAGGACAAAATCTTTGGATTCATGAATATTTCTGATGCAGAGGATTAGGCTTTGGTGGGTCAACCGGTAACGAGGTCATTAACTGGATGAAGTATTAACTTTCTTTACTTACCAGAAAACGTTAGACACCTGACAAGCCCACTGGTACAGTATGTACGCAATCGTGCATTGAACGCTGATCATGCGCAACTATTTTGCGTTCTTCAGCAACGCTTCCGAGAACGAACACTAACCTGAAAATGAAAGTATATTCACAGCTGACCCTGTTTGTGAGAACACAGTTGGCAGCTTCATCCAGATCAGTATTATTCATCAGTGACACATTAAGGCGTGCGGGGTACCGTGCCTCTCACTGTATGAATGTATACTTATGCTGCCTCCAACAACACAACAATTCGTCAATCTGGTCCAGGCACTCGCTAATAACAATACCAATAGCTTGATAGTAAACGCGACGATTGGCAACTTCAAGTCTCCGTCTGACACAGCGCGCAGTCTCGGCTAGAACCACTGGCATAAGGCACCGTAGAACAGCGTAGAACCCGCCTTTGCTCACGATGAGGGCGGGTAGATAAGTGATTGAGCCTTCGGCTCGCAATGCTGGATATGGATAGGACCAACAAAGTAATGGTTACGAGTGGGGAAAGACGTCATCGTTCAGTATGGGACTCATAGGTTACAGTAAACAGTTACGGCTCGCCGATACGAAGTTAATGTTCACTCACAAGTCACTCCGTCACAATAATACGTCAAAGACTGGGATCCGAAGACGAGATAGAAGAGCTTGCACTGTCTCTGCTGTTCACAAACACTGTCTTTGGCTTATCTTTCTTATCTTTCGACAAGTGACGTGACCCTATGCTCGTGCTGGTATCATCGATCTAGATTGAATCAGAGTAGCACAGGTAATACATGCAAAGACGGAGATCTCTAATGATGCGTTCCCATATCCTCAAGGAAATGAATCTCGCTGTCCGCTTTTATCGTCCACGATCCCTTGGAGGTCAGCGCTGAAAATGACGTCTTTCCATTCTTCCCGTTTCCAGTCCGTTCCCACAGTACAATGTGCCGCCGGAGTACGAGTTGCTCCCCTACGCGAGATTGGTTGGGAACGGCTTTCCAGTGGCAACCCCCTCCCCGCGGATCACACCCACGATGATAGAGGGCGTTCTGACAGGATCGCCGAGCTGCTTGCCGTTCGCGGCTGCGCGCGCGCCCGAATTACTGGAACCGATTCTTAAAATAACAACACGAGAAGTCTTAAACAAGAAGAGACGCTTTGCGTTGCTCGCCGAGCATCCGACTCGCAGTCCTCAGTCCTATTTTTGTGCGGACCCTTGTGGACCCCGGTGTCCAGAATGCAGGACGTTTGAGCGGGTACTTCCTGGCTCATTAAAGACGATGCTGCCGCTGCTAGCATAGCCTGGAGTCGCGATCCCGCCGTGCAAGAGTTCCGATACACCTGTGCTCGTTGTTAGGTCACATTCGTCATGGATAGGCATTCCATGAGGCAGAATACTACGCACCCTGGAATGCATATCTGGTAGCTGCATACATCGGGAAGTTGAGGCGCTCACTGGGCAATAATAAAACACACTCAGTGCGATGTGAATGGGCGTCAATCTTTGAATACGCAACGCAAACCACCGACGGGGCCCATGAACGCAATCATATCCGTCATCCAATCTCGCACGTAGGGTATGCATAACCGAGTGACGTTCAGGGCACGGAAGGCATTGGTTCTTCAAGAATAAATCAATGAGCAGCCACTCCTCCTTTCATCAGAACAAGTGATGTGTACACACTTGAACTGATCATATGGGTCTTCGGGCCTGTGGTCGAGTGGGCGTCAGGAACATGTCCAAAGCAAGTTTGATTGAACATACGTTGCTTCCCCAACGGCACTGACCGAGATGAATCCTAAACATACACTCGATCATGGCTGTTCCGAGGGTTGAAACCGTCGCGGCAGCCGTACCTGCGCTGTTGACGAGGACATCGACCTTTCCGTAGGTCGCGGTGGCAGCTTTGGCGGCCCGATACAGATCGGCCAAGGGAATTATCACATCGGGGTCGACATTCTCAGCGCCCTTCTGCCTCCTGCTGCTTGAGCGGAACCAATCTCAAGGCCGAGCGCGATGTGACATCACCAAGTCGCCGCCGCGCAATGGCGCCTCAAACGCGGGCTGCTTGCCATAGCCCAACTATAGCCAGGCCTGAGTATGTGAGCCAAGGTTAGCAACAGTGGGTGAAATGTGTGACAAAATGGGAAATCCCTGACTCACGTATCTGCTCCCAGCCACTACTACGTGCCCACTGCCAGACCACCTGACCATCGAAGTTGCAATGGAAGTTGGAGCGGACCCGGATACGCAGCATTTAATTTAGCGATTTCCCACGCCACCGCGAACTCAAGATGAATACACTGGAAACAATTCATGGTAATGAGCGCGAATTACTTTGAAATTACTATGAAAATTAAGTTGAATGGATTTTGATAATTAATCGCCTGTTACCATGAATTGATCCACAACAGGTGTAAGTGCAGTATGCTTTCTTCTCGGTAATAATCGACTAATCATCAAAACCCATTCACCTTTATTTTTACAATAATTTCAAGGTAATTCATGCCCATTATCGTGAATTGTTTCCAGTGATATGTTACAGCAATATTGTTACAGTGCACGTGTCGCTCAGGAGTACAGCTTCCAAAATCAAACTATTTCCCGTATAGTTAACCTTCTTACTGTTATTCGTTTGGTTCTGTTTGGCTTTCGCGTTGGACTGGAGGGCCGCTTGATCCACCCGCTTTGAATGCTCCTATGCGTAACACTGAGGCCCCTCACGATGAATTGATGTGTAATAAAACAGTAGGCCACTTAGAAAGCTTTCTTGGCGTCTTATTCACTTTACAGTCTCCTGTGCTATACCGCTGCTGCGCATGCCTGCTTTTCGTCAGCAGACCCCGACTTCAAGTCATCTAGGCCCTCCTTTGGTTTACTGTTAAATGACACTACCCCTTGATTGATGTTTGCCAGCCGTCCTAATCCGGCTCTGCATTTAATCTGTCGAAAGCTCCTTTCCTAATCCTAAGACAAGAACCCTCTGTACGTGTACGTGAAGCCCCTGGGGTTTCCTGTATAAAAGGAGGCCTGTCCCCGCATTACATCGCCATCCGCTGGTCTCCTCCTGCATCTACCCCTACTCCTCATAATAACGTCTGTGCGCCGTTCTCCCCATCAGCATGTGTATAATGTAGTTTGTAGCCAATGTTGAGCGCTGAATTAGTGTCAAATATTGTCCAGCCGCCGTGCCTCCCCCAACCATTATGCTTCGTGTCTACCCTGTCAATTTTGTCGCTGTTAACTGCTATTTACGATTCTTTCAGTACATATTCCCTATGTTATACCGTATGAAATGCGCCTCTGCGCACTATTTTCCTGTGTTGGTATGTCCAATAATATCGCATACACATTTACGCAAATCAATAAGCTGGTTGCGAGCAGAGGTGTGTTTTTATTAACACCTGAGCCATATTGGTGAAGCTAGTGTGCCTTGGTTCTGACGTGTTGTCAGCTCGTGTGCCTTTGACTCCGATAAGCCATCACACACACTTGACTTGCGCTGAAAGGGTTTGAAAAAAAGAGCAATCCCAATTTCCGATAAGCTTGAAACGCCGTATGTAGTATATACCCTAAAAGCATGTAAGACGTCCAACAAAAATAATGTTGATTAAATCGTTTGAAAAGCTGGCATGTAATCTTATAGTTGTGTCCAGCTTGACCATTGACAGATCTCCCCATTCACAATTAAGGAGTACCTTTCTGAACACGTATAAGTTTTGGCTTGCGTTCTGGATTTCACACGCACTTGCCCGCTGTCATCATCAACACAAGCTTCTTTACGAACAAACTTTTACAGATTGTTAGTTACTCCTTGACCTGGAACCGTTGCGCTTCCTGTGTCCTTGCGTAACTAGATATTGATGTACTAAAATAACGAGTTCCCTACCCCTTGCCGTCTAAATGCCGGAGAGCAGCGGAGGCGTGTCTTGTAATCGCTGCATGTTATGCACGGCAGAATTCCGAACGCTAGTAGTTGGCTCTCAAGTGGTACACCTTTCTCTGCTTATAAAGTCGAACATCGAGGATGGGCGAACCTCTCCCTGCTCAGCTGTACTTCATTCACATATTCATCCACCTAGACATCTTTAGTCATGCCGAAGTCACTCCTCGCCAAAGACGCTGACCTCTCTTACCCTCTGAAGGAGTTCCAGCCTCTTCTCAAAGGGCTCCCGGAGTTCGACGTCTCCGTCCACCCCAATGAAGGCGTTCGCCCACTTGCTGGCGCCGTCTTCAAGGCACCGGACATCCGGATATCGCGACCGTAGAGCAGACCTTCGTCGATGGCATCCGTGTCATCGTGGTCAAGCCTGCCAAAGCCACTGGAAAGACCCCTGCTGTCCTCTGGATCCAGGGTGGCGGATTCATTATCAGCACTCCTGAGTCCGCATGCCCATCAACATGTGAGTTGTCTTCTCCCAACGGATCTTGGACAGATCTACAAGTAAACGCTCATCGATTATTCAAGCCATTTTGCGAAGGCCGGTTTCGCCACCGTGCTTCTCGAGTACGGCCTCGCCCCTGAGAACCCCTGGCCCACTCCACACAACCAGGTGTACCGCATCTAGTGTTGCCGCGGTTCGAGAAACAAGCTCAAATCGACCCCTGGAAGCACCCTCTCCTGCCACAATACTGACCAACTAAATGTTAATCTTCGCGGTTTTTAGCCTCTACACAGCGGCGAGGTGTGTTATCTGGATTGATAATGAGTCCAAGTCCAAGTTTCATCGGCTTGGTTCCAGCCAGTTCACCAAATACGGCAACACTAACCGCATCTGGCAATGGCTTACCAGCACAGAGGGTCTCTCCTTCGTCAACGCCGACCCCGAGCGCCTCGTGTTCTCCGGAACGTCCTGTGGTGCTATCCTCGCTGAGGTCGCCATTATTCGGCACAAGCAGGAGAACCCCACGCCGGGCATCCAGCCGCGCCTCGTTCTCCTCGACAACCCCATCCTCGACAACCGCCCCGGGCTCTACCCGTCCATGGACCAGGAGCATCCGCTCTCGCCCTCGCCCTTCTGTACCGCGAAGAAAAACACAGACGCGCTCTACTGGCTCAACGCGCCCTCAAACTGGGAAGGATTCCCCGCGTACGCGTCCGAGGAGCAGCTCCGGGGTCTGCCGCCGCACCACATAGCGATCGCGGAGATCGGCTGCTTCCGCGACGAGGCGGTTGTATTCGCGCAGCGGCTCATGAAGCTCGGCGTGCGCATGGACATGCGCCTCTACGTCGCCACGACGCACACGTACTCGGCCATGTTTGAGACCCCCGCGTCGCACAGCACGCGTGAGGACTATGTACAAATCTGCAAGCTCGCGTTCCGGGAGCTGTGAAGTAAAACACTGAGTCCGCCTTCCCTTTGGTCCGACCGACATTAGGATGTACTTGTACCTTTTTTGGGCATTGCTATGTACTGAATGAGCTTTATGAAATAGTATCAGATATCAATGTATTGACATTCTCCTTCCTCCTACGTACTAGTGTTTCATGAGTCTTCTGCCATGCGACGAGATCCAAGAAGCCCATGTTTGGACGTTTACGAGTAAGGTGGAGGGAGATAGAGCGAACAGTTATCAGAGCTTCTCGGTGGTACAGAAAACCATGAATTACGACCGATCACGTCGCTCATGAGCATGTTCCGCCGTGTCAACGTCAAACACATTGGCACCTGAGATCGGTCAATCAGATAGCAGGAAGCACCGGTGCCTCTTTACTTGAGTGCACCGCATGGATTTCGACAGCTCGCTCTTTTGCTCGCGAAAAGATCGAATTAAATCAGCATTGTAGAAAATCAAGAATCACTCTACACATACGTCAGGATTTTCAGATTCACACCCAGTTCACGCCCAGATAAAATAAAATAGAACAGAATATAAGACCAACGATCCATAACCCATGTTTTGAGTGTCAACGTGTTGGCTAGCTCAACGTTGGAACAGAGTCATTGATCTTGAGCGCCACGTTCATTCATTCCAGCTGCGAGGTGCGGCCTCGTTACTGAGATAAATCGATGATTCTGCTGGCACTAGGGGTAGTTGAGCGGACCGGCAACGGGTTAGTGCCGCTGGGTAAGCGGCGGACTCGCTGACGGGTTTTTGACGGATGTTTGTGCCAAAGTGATAATCATCCTGCTGTCAGAAAAAAATACTTCCATTACGCTGAGATACAACGATCTGCGACGTTCACGGTGAACAAAAGAAGGTTTTGCCGGCCGGTTAGAAAAAACACGAACCGAGCTTAATGGGGCCCGACTGTTACCCTTCGAATGATAGTCGATTGTGAGCAAACGAATATTTTTATTATGTCTAACTGTATTCACCTTGAGCTCTGCTAGGCGCTCGGCACCTTTGCCTTCCGCGAGATGCGCGCTTAGGTACCTGTCATACTTCATGCAATATCCCGAGTCTGAACGCGGCCGCAAAAAGGCGGGAAATTCATCCTCGGTTCTCAAAGTCATCTTGCTTACCGGCAACGCGTGTCTAGCTGCGGGAGGGCTCTCGAGTGTCAGAACAGAGGCGTTCAGGTGATCATAAAATATTTATAATGTACTTATTATTGACGGGATACATGGCTAGCATACTACGCGACTGTACAGTGGGACCGGTGTGCGCGTGCCGGCATTGCATGGAAGTGGTATCATGTGTGTGTGTGTGTGCGGATCTGTATGGTACACTTGATGAATCGTAAAGGCATCGCTCCCCTGGTGCGAAGAGAGCTTTTCGTGAGATAAGCTAGTAAAGGCCGCGCGTCATCCATCACTGGCCGGCGCTTAGCTCATTGACAGTGGCATCGAAGCAAGTGACGCAAGGCCACCAGACGGGCCTAGGTCCATGCTGAGCTGTTCCATGATAAGGTCCTCGTTGTGCAGCCAGGCCTCGCCCTGAGAGAACATGGTGCGGTCTGGGAAGACCTCGACGGTGGCACATGCGACGCCGTCCGTCTCGAGCTTGTATATCCGCTGCAGCTCCTCCTTGCCGTTGACGTGAGACGTGCTGATGTTGAGCAGCGAGAAGGCCGGGACGCGCCGGAGCATCTGGAACATCTGCCCCAGGGGATATTTTTCGTCGAGGATCAGGCGCTCTGGCTCGGGCGCGGTGATGGTGACAGTAGACGTTGCCGTGCAGACGGTACGGAGTCCGCAGGTGAGGCGCACTTGGCGCATCTGAGTGATAGGGAACTCTGGCGAGGCGGGCTGCGTGCGAGGAGACGTGTTGGCGTAGATAATTTCACAGCCAATGGGCTGGCCAAAAAAGCAACTGGAAAATCGGAAACGATATGATGAGTTTTGTGAAACGACAGTGACATCGGGAGAGCTTGCCTTAGTAGACGCTGCAGATCGCCTCGGTTGGCGAGTACAACGCGTTCGAGACCAGACTTGTCTCTAAAGGCCTGCAGCTGTGGGGGCTAGAAGATCAGCAGGGGAACTTCGACGAACACATGAAATGGGCATACCTGAGCGCTTGCATTGATAGCGAGGAATGTCTCATTGCCGTTTGCCATTGCAGTGATGTGAAGTTGGTTGTGAAGAGTCGGATGAGGAGGCTGAGGTGCTGGAGTAGTTGGTAGAAGTTGTAGGACGAACCAAGGGCGAACATGGCTTTTTACATAGTGCTACAGGGGACATGGATGTGCCGAGTACATACGGGCAAGCAGTGCGTCATTGGTCATAGTTATTCCAGCGTTCCAGAACCAGGAGATTAGATCCCCGCACCGAGGGTTCTCGTGGCCAAATGTAGGGACGAAGTTGCTCCGTTCGTTGTATGACCGCGCGAGATGTCGCCAACGCCTATCTGATGTGCGAGTCAACGTGACATGCCGAGACTGACATATTGCTGACGCGAATGTTGTTTAGCGGGCCCTTCGACAGGATAATCGCTGGAGGTCGTCAGCAAAGCATAAGGGCCCGGTTCGCTAAAGGTAGGAGTTTGGCTGTCGGGTGCCTAATCTTGGTCGGTAACAGTGCGGCCGCACCCTCGTTCGGGTTCGACTTAAACCCATCGCCGTGACGTTATAGCCCTTGGCTCAAACCCACCTGAACGGCCGCTTGATACAATGCCGCACCGGTCATTGCTTCGCGAGCTACTTTGACGCGAGATCAGTCCCATCTGGATCGGTAGACTGCGAGTGCGGAGCCCACTCACAGACACGTCAGCCAATCCCCCTCGAGTGTTCTGTATATGGCCATCCGACCTATCCGGGTTGCTAGGAACCGGGAGAGCTTTGTGCATTGGTAGTTGTGATAGATGTGGCAGATGCTAAGCGATTACTGTGTCGATCCCCCGCTCTGGCCCTGACGGAGTCGAGGTCGAACGACCAGCAGAATTAGGCAGTTTGGTCGAAGGAAATAGGCGCCCAAAGCTCCCCTTTCTGTCACTCACGTGATGGTTCCGGTTAAGTCCGAACCCGGTTGGGGAGTGCGTCGCGTCAGGGCAACACTTCCACTACTTACAGTCTTACCCCCGATGCATATGCGGTCTCTGATAGCGCCGACCGAGATGAGCGGAATTTGACGCCGAGCTCAGTTGACACCGGGCCCAGAAAGAACGGACGATCACGACGTCACTTCGACACCGGCGAGAGAGTCTGAGGTGCGCGCCTTTCAACCGTTTTTCATCATGGGAATAAAAGTCTCATACATACACGCTTTTGTTTGTTTTCTAGGTGGATATGATTGGGCAAGACTGACGGATAAAACCCGGGTACGCACGCCCTGGGGAACTTGTGTAAATATAGAGGCAACCAGGATTTTCAACCTCACCTACTCCTTTTGGTCTTTTCCGCCGAAGGAGTTATCTTAGCCTAGGCAGATCTTTCGGAAGGAAGATAGTCGCTCCGGTCCCTGAGCATCCGACGATGAGAGCCTGGCCACTCAGAGAGAGGCAACGTACTTTCTTTGTCGACCGACACAAGTCCTCTTGGAGGAGATTCCCCAATATGCTCTTCGGTCCGCTGGCACTGGGAAGCTGAAATAAGAAACGGCCTCCGACGCTATGCATTACGCGTTTCTACTTAATGCTTTGGATCCTTGTAAGGTTGGCCCAGCTCTCTCCGCCTTCTCGAGATCATCCAGGCAACTCCTTTACACTCTCCTCTTCCACACTTTGAACCATCAACATGCTCGTCAAGGATTCCTTTGGTGCCGGAACGACCAATGTGTCGGTAAGCAGTAATCTTTTGGTTACTTAAGTACAGCTCGAACTAAAACTATACATCCAATAGATCAACTGCGACGATGAAATCTCCGGTCTAGAGAGGATTATGCTTGCTGCCAGAGGCGACCTTCAGAGGCTCCTCAGGTGGGAACTCCATTCTTCTACGCTACCATTTCGCCCCAGTCGCTCACCTCGTTCTATCTGGGTTAGCTGCTTCTTGGCCCAGCCCATCACTGTTATCCCTATATACACTCAGGCGTCGCCCCGAGTCCAGCCCGCGTCGCTACAGACGCCTATCACCCAGGAACGTGAAGTGCACCTCATGGTCGATTCAAAGCTGGCCTGCATTGCAACTTCCACCGTGACCATCACCACCCCTTTCGTGGAGGGTCTCGTGCTCGACCGCAAATTCGCCATTGGGCAGACGTTCGCGGAGCTGGGCAGGAAGCCGACGTTCAACCTCTTGTCGGTGAGCACCAATGTCGTCAACGGCATGCGCGAGCTTCGCCGCACATACACCCTCGAGACCGAGGGCTACTTCTGCAACATCACCGAGGTCTTCCCCGACCGCCGCATGTTCGAGTTCGGGGAAGCATGGCTTCAGATCAAGGACGCCAAGACTGTCGTCGTACCTGCTGCAACTGAGCCCGAGCCGACGCCTGCTGCCGCAGATGAGGAGTCCACAGACGAAGAGACCTCGGAGCCGAAGAAGGTCGATCGGTTCTTCAAGCACACGCCCCATTCAATCGTAGACACGCCCACCCTGAACGCAGTGCTCGACAAGCAAGCGGCCAACCCTGCCGTCGCGGACCACGCATTCGCTGCTTATCCCGCCATTCCCGCCGACCCGGTCGCGCCCATCTCATACACCGAGGTCACGTATCGGGCTTTTGCCAAGATGGTCGACTACCAGGCCTCGGTTCTCTCCGCCCGGCTGAAGGATACGGTGCTTGCATGCAAGGATGGGTGCGACGCGTCAGAGGCACCCACGGTTGCGTTACTTTTCGAGAGCGGGTTCCATCTTGCCGTTTTGGTGATGGCGACGATGAAGCTTAATGCGACGGCGTTCCTGCTGGCGCCTGCGGTGCGTCATTTCTATTCCGTTTCCCTTCTTCAACTTTGTGCCGCCGGAGTCTTTCAATATACTGATCTGCTGTCATTGGCAATTACCCCAAACAGAACTCTGAAGCCGCCGTTGCGCATTTGCTCAAGTCGTGCAAGGTTACCGCTGTGTTGCACGCCCCCGACCATGCCGAGAAGGTCGCTGCCGCGGCAGCGTTGATGAATATCCCTTCGTTCGCAGTTGAAGTGGCAAATTGCGTCAAGCCTGCGCCTGCAGAGCACTCCCTCGATGCGAGAGAGCTCTTGCATCCTACGCACCCCGCGATTCCTATCATCGTCCACAGCTCCGGGTCCACGGAGTTCCCCAAGCCTGGTGCGTATCTTGAGGTTGAGCCATGAAACTAGTGTGCTGAAACAGGGGCGGACGCAGTGCGCTGGTCGAACGAGAGCTTCCTCAGCAACAGCCAAGTTATGCTCACGGACGGTGGTTGGTCGGCCTTTGCCAACCCAGGAAACAGGTTCCTGTGCCTTGGTCCTCTGTGCGTAACGCTTCTTCCTCTTATCTACTCCTTATCATTGTTCCGCTCTATATGCGAGATGAAAGTTTGCTGACACGATGCTCTTGCTATCTTCGTTATTGTTAGATTCCACACGCTCGGATTGACCATTGGGCTGGGTGGCGCGATCTGCGAGGGGAGCACGATTGTGTTCCCCCTGACGCGCTCGTGGCCCGTCTCGACAGCCGACCTCATTCGCTCGCTGCGCCTCGCTAATGTCAAGACGTGCGTCATCGTGCCGCTCATGCTCGAGCAGGTCACGGAGGCGCTCGAGAATGAGAAGACGGAGAACCCATTCGACTGTCTCGCCAGCCTCGACCTTCTCATCGGTGAGTCGCGTTCATCACGACGCATTCTCCTTGGTTGTCGCTAACAGGTGAGTAATGGTCACAGTGGGTGGTGCACATTGCCCGGACAAGCTCGCGCGCAACCTCGTTTCGCGCGGCGTGAACCTCAAGAACATCTACGGCTCGTCCGAGACGGGCCACCTCATGGTCGGCGACCACACGCGGTCCGCTCATGACGACTTCGACTCGTGGTACTCAGTCCGCCCGTTCCCGCACACGAGCATGGTGTTCAAACCCGTCGAGTCGAGCGACGGTACCACCGAAAACAGCAACTATTATCAGGTACACCTCTCGGGGGACGACGTGCGCATGGCACCTGGCGTGCTCAAGCCCGGCGAGGAGACGTGGAACACGGGCGACGTCGTACAGGAGTGCCCGCCCGGCTCGGGGTGGTATAAGCTGATGTATCGGGACGATGATATTCTCGTGCATGTTAGCGGTGAGTGCCTTCCGGTGTTTGCGCAGCTGGATGACATGGGGCTTACGCGGTATGATCATCAACAGGTGAGAAGACGAACCCGGTACCGATGGAGACGTTCTGCCGCGAGACGCGCCTCATCCAGTGCATTGCCATCTTCGGGCACCAACAACGTGTCACGTCGGCGATCGTGCAGCTGAACAAGGCGAAAGCACTTGAGCTCACCGAGGAGGAGCGCGTCGAGGCTGTGCACAAGCTCATTCGGGAGGCGAACCAGGATGCGCCGAGCCACTCGAGGCTGCTTGAGGATATGGTTATGATTCTGCCCCTGGACTATCCCAAGGAGATTCCTCGTACCAACAAGGGTACGTCGTCTTCAGCGACTTCACGTATATTCTATCATTGACATTATGCATCGTATCAGGCAACTGCATCCGCAAGAAAGCTCTCGTCATCTTTCAAGATGAGATCGACGCGCTCTACCGCAACTTCGAGGACGACGGCGCTTCTACCGACTCGGAGCCGGAATCCTCCTCTTCAACTCTGGCAGCTTCCGATGCCGAGATCGCGAGCAAGGTTCGCACCGTGATTGCCAAGACGGCCTCTGCCCTCCCCGCATCGTTCGACCCCGCCAAAAGCCTGTTCGAGCTTGGGCTTGACTCTGTCACCGCGATGGCGCTACGCAAGGCGCTTTCCAAGGCGTTCGACATCAAGCTCTCCTCGCAGTTCGTCTACCAGAACGCGTCTCTTGACGCGCTGAGCACCGCTATCTACGCGATCGTCGCATCGCGCTCCGTTACCCCCTCCGGTGGCAAGCCCGTCTCCACAGCACCTGCCGTGGTTGCACCTGCGGGCCCCAGCCGTGGAGAGACGCTGGCGTCGCTGATCCAACGCCAGATCGAGCACGTGCGCATCGCTGCGCCTGCTGTGCTCGCGAGCCGCAACACGCCGCAAGAGCCCGCGCAGGCGGGCGAGGTCGTCGCTGTGGTCGGCGCCGGTGGCTCACTGGGCATCTGGCAGGTCAAGGCGCTCCTCGACCGCGCCGATGTGCGTCGTGTGGTGTGTATGCTCCGCGCGAAGGACGTCGGTGCCGCATGGGACAAGGTCGAGGCTGCATTTGAGAAGGCCGAGCTTGGTGGTCTTGCGGGGCAGTGCAAGGCGTGGAAGGAGGCACAGCTGGCGAGTCGGGGTCCGGCGGTCAAGACTGCGCAGCCACTCGTAGTCCTGCCGTTTGATCTTGCGAACCCCTACCTCGCTCAGGAAGAGTATCTGGCGCTTGCTACGGACCTGACGGCTATCATCCACACGGCGTGGAAAATGGACTTCAACCAGGTCGTTGGCGAGTTCGAGCGGGATTGCTTGAGCGGTACGTTTACTCGTCAGAGGACTATATAGAAACGTTCTCATTTCTTGGACAGGCACTACTCAGCTTCTGCTCCTGTCTTCGTTCATGAAGCCCAAGCAGTTCTTCTTTGTCTCGAGCATTGGAGTAGTGATGGAATCGAAGGAGTCGCCTGCACCCGAGACTTTGCCGCCATGGACGAAGGACCAGTACATCCCTGCCTCCCAGCACGGGTACAGCGAGTCCAAGTTTGTCTGCGAGTACGTGATCGAGGCGGCCTCCAAGCTTCTCAACATCTCCTGCTCCATGGCTCGTATTGGACAGATCTCGGGTGACACCCAGTCTGGCGTCTGGAAGGTACGTGCCCCTCTCTTGCTTTCATTTCGCCGTGACTGACGCAACTGCGACAATCAACAGACGGCAGAGATGAACCCAAGCATCATTGCAGGCAGCGCCCGGATCGGCAAGTTCCCCTCCGCCCCGCAATGCCCGCTCGACTGGACGCCCGTCGACTATGTCGCGTTCTCGACGGTCGACCTCACCCTCCAGCAGCGCCCCCTCGGCTCGTCATCGGTGTTCCACATCTCAAACCCGCACGCGGCGACGTATGACGACATGGCGCGCTGCCTGCGCTCGACGGGCATCGCCCTCGAGTCGGTGCCACTGCAGGAGTGGTGGAATGCGATCCTCGCAGACGAGGGCAACCCGTGCCTCCAGATGGAGGGATACATCGAGGAATCGTTCGTCAAGGCACAAACGGAACTCGTCGCCAAGGGCGAGAAGGCGTTGATACTCGAGATCAGCAAGACGCTTGAGAGTGCGCCGAGCTCGTTGGGCAAGTGCCCGCCGTTGGACGAGGGCCTGTGGAGCAAGTACGTGTCGTATTGGCGGGAGGTCGGGTTTATCGCGAAGTCGAACTAAGTCGGCCCGATTGGGTGACTCAACTTGATTTGTTCTTGTCATCGCATCGCATCGCATTTATTTTTATTTTATCTATTTTCACTGGGAAGTCTTGCATGCGACATAGGACGGTTCACTTTCAATCTTCATTTATCCCATGTCTATCAATCATACCAGATCAATGTCACTATATAACAATGTACTAATAGTAGAGCGTCACCACCACGTACTATATATAACGGCAGGGCCTCGCTCGCGTGCAGCAAGGCCCGGGCTCTCATCGAGGACGGTGTGATGGTGGGTATACGCAAATATTAGCAGCGACGCATTGGCTGGATTTCGAACAATGTAAAGTGGTGGAAGTTTGGCTCCTAGCCTGAGGCTAAACTCCGACACCGACGCTGGGTCATGATCTCGGCATTCCGCCTGGAGGATTTCGTACGGTTCGATATAAAGGGACAAGCAGCGCAGCCTACTTAATGCTTGAAGCTTGAAGCTTGAATGGTAACCCTCGGACATACGCGTGACCTCTGATACTTGAGCACTGAGCGTTCGAGATGATAACAAATCTACTCTGTTATATCCGAGGCGTGAGGACCATGGTACCTCTTAAAAAGACCATAAAACAAGTCATAAAGCATACATTAGAGTGACTAGACTGATTTTCTGCATTATTGCCGTTCCATGTACTGGAAGATCCGTACATCCGCTTTGAGCTTGGGTACACTGCGGCGACCTATGGGATATTGAAAATATTCATCCCACCACTAGTAGCGGAAGCACGAGGTGTTTCAAGCGGAGATTAAAGCTCTACAGAACGATACCGGACCCAGCTTGTCACATATAAGCATTTGAGGAAGTTATTTGTCGGAGATCGAATGAGTTATCCACCGGCATGTCACGTGCGACTTGACCTAAGTTTTGGCGCGGATAACAACAGGTTACAGCTGTTTCAAGACCCCGTTCAAGAACCTCTACGGTTGGAGTGGCCATTATCACCTACGGGGAAAGCATTACCCAGCTATCTACGGCTACTTCATCACCTCGTTCTGCTATGATAACACTGCACGGTCAGCAGTGGGCGGCTGGTAACTTGGAAGGTGTTCAGGTCCCCTTCAACAACCCAGAACCATTTCGCCACGATAGCCCACGGGCAACCGTCATGATTGGTACGCAAAGTGTAGATAATTGCTCATAAGTCCTTTGGCTAATACGCTAGCCTTATTTACTCCGATAGCTCTTTGCAAAGCGGTTACGCTTGCTGGGTACGTGATGTGCTTGAAACGGTTGCGATGTTGAGCTGTCCGACTCGGAGTTATCCATTCCCATCGGCTGTTCTAGTGACTAAAGGTACTAGGCACGGTAGCTTCAGTCCAGTGCGTATTGTTATTCATGAAACAAGTTGAACGGGGTAATTCGACAGCCACTCAAATTTTCCTCGATATTTCGTCAGCAGCGCGTTCCAGTGTGCGGACCGCCCCCCAATGTGTGGACCGCCCCCGCAGTTACATTCGCCGACGGGCACAGGCGGTCTAGTTGGCGATTACAAGGTCAAGGTCAAGCGCCTATGACGCCTATGGGGTGTGTATTTAAGCGTGCCCGTCCTAGTACGAAGGCCTAAAGTCATCGTATATCGTCTGATAGCTCACATAAGACATGGTAAGCAGCTACCAAGACTCGTCAAGGCACGCTTCTTCGTGGTCTTGACATATTTCAACTTCTAGGTCCAAAACACTCACCCTACTCGGCCTGATCCCGACTGTGTCTATCACAGTTTCTCTGGCTTCGGGCCCAGGAACGCCATGTTGTTCAAGGGCGTTGTTTTGAATTTTCTGGCGGAACGCGAGACACTGAGGAAGCTCGGGATGCACATGAAGTTCGATGTCTTCGAGATGCAGTCCGAGGTCAACGCCAGCTCAGGCAACGCCTTCCAGGTCGACTGCGATGCAACGATAAACACAGGAATACCTGGTCGCGTCCCATCTCAGGCAACCACGTTGGATAGGGTTCCCTCAGAATATCAGCACATTGTCGCTGCCGCTGGTGATTTGGCAAGTTTTGCCACTCAGGAATTAGCGCCTGCTGCGGATAAGCACCGTGACGAGCTTCGCAAGCGCAATCCCGCCGCGTATGCACTCTTTATTCAGTCACTCCGTGAAGACAATTCCATTGATGTCTCCTTGCCTTGCACTACCCGTGGTACCGTCGGCAAGATCCATCGCGATTCCATCAAAAAGGTACTTGACTTCGTGGTGAAGGAGGTTCCTGAGATACAGATCGAGTTCCACTATGAGCACACCGTTGTTGATGCCGATTTCACTCTCCCTACTAAGCCCAAACTACTTGTCTGCAGAAACGGCGACCGAGAGGCAAAACTCTACTCATTCGACTTCGTGCACCTCGCCAATGGTACCACCTGGAAGGTTCCTGTTTCGGAGTCGGTTGCTCCGAAGGCTTTCTCTGAGACGCCCAGCCTCGAGTCTATCGGCCGGTTCCTTTCGCAGCAAGGGCTTCTTGACGAGCATCGCCTTCTCAGACCTAATACCAAGCTGAGAATGGGTATCACCGGCATGTCCTTATCAGCCTATGATCCCGTCGCCATCATCCTCCAGTACACGAAGATGATCTATACTACTGATCGTGGCTACGAGATAGACGAGGACGTGGCCAGCCAGTACCAGGGTCTGCTCACTTTCATCAGCCGCTCGAAGGGTAAAGTTGCTCCCCCTCGTCACCGCTTCACTCGTGCATGGCCTGGCAAAAAGGTTCCCGACAACCAGTCGTTCATGGACACATATCAGGCGCACGCCATGTTCCTGCAGAAGAACTTTGATTGGCTCTCTTTCGCCCGCGAGCTTCTCTACCAGGGTGTCTCATACGAGATCAGTACCACCCCTTCGCAGATCAGCTGGAACCGCACGATACGACCAAGGAGCGTATGAGCGACTACCACCGCCAGACTCTTCAACACAGGGCGGGTGAGACCACCGAAATCGGTCTTGTCCGTGCCGGCTATCACGCACTTCTCGAAGGGTTCGGCTTCGAGAAAAACCCCGAAAACGCTCACCGGAAGCTCCTTGCCATCGCTCCTCTCACTCGTGAGGGTCGTGAGGGCATGCTGATGCGTCGTTCTGCGGCATCGGATATCACCAACCTTGACGTCGTGAAGGCTAAGTCGAATAGCAAGTTCTTCCGCAATTGGACGGAATTGCAGATGATCTTCGCGTCCTCGCCGGTTGCTGTACACGATATGATAGCGCACCTCTTTGCTCTCGGTGTCGCCACCCACGCTAAGGGCGACTTTGACAACGTCATCTACGAAGAAAACGGGGATCATGTTGCTCTCGAGGACCACCGCTTCCATGCGATCTTTGCTCCGAAGACCCTCACGAACAGTGCCGATGTCCTCTTCCAGGCCATCAAGAACAAGCCCGAGGTCAAAACCGCCTCTGGTGTGCCGGAATACGCCAAGGGCAGATTCCTCCAAACTACCAGCGGAACCCTTATTCACGCTTTCGATGTCGGCATGGGTGGCCACGGTGTCACCGATGAGATCGAGCACGATGACGGCACAACCTCCACTTCAACACTTGGCATGCAGTGGGCAGACACCACCGACCTCACCTCTGGCGCAAGCTGGGCCGCTACCGCCTCGCGTATGCTCGTCCTTCTCAGCGCGATGAAGGCTAGCGGTCGCGACTCACCCGCCGAGCACCTCATGGCCCTCTACAACAACTCGCTCCCGACCGCTGCCGCGTTCTACGACGAAGTCGCTTCCTTCGAGCAGGCCTGGACCGAGCTCGCCGAGAAGAAATCCTTCCTCGACACGTGCGAGCACTTCGCCAAGGACGCGGACGATTACCACGACTGGGCTAGGCATGCCTTCGACCGCGACTCTAGGAAGAAATGTCTCTCCGAGCTCGCTAAACGAAACGAGAATGTGTACGCATTCAACTTCGCGCGTCGCAAGGAGATAGGATGCTACAATCCTGTCAGTAGGGACGAATTCTTGAAGCGCTTTGTGGACTTCACGCCAGCAGAGCTCGACAGGTGCTGGGACGCGTTCTTCTCGCGGCAGTGAGGGGAGTACACTTGTCATCGCCGCAAACAGATGTTACTATACAGACTGGGTCGTTTTCTCCATCCGATCACGTCCTTCTTACGTTTGTCGGACTGAGGTATGAATTTGAATACATTGACGCTTGTTCGACTCCAAGCAAGCAATCCATGAAGTTCTGTAAAATACGTGCCTTACGCACGTTGGCCTCGTGAAAACGAACGACGTGGCTTTCTTTTGTTCTCCCTTCTGCTGGTCCTCGCTCTCATTGAGATCATAAAAAGTGTTCTATGGGGTACTCTTTCCGTGACTTCAGATACGATCTGCTGAGGTCACTGGCGTTTATAATTCAGGTTCGCACATAATTTTCGGCCGAAGTCATTGACCCCGTGGTCAGGTGCCTAAAGGGAGAAAATGGGTGTGAGATTTCTTTCCGATAAGGTGCGCGACCGTTACATGACAATCGATACGAGAAGCTACATAAAGAGGTTCGGCTGGATGAGCAGGATAGAATCTCTTCTGGCCGGCTCGATGGAGTCGCGCCTGCTTTCCGCCGTGACCGTCAAACTTACTCGGGCGAAAATGGGGAAACTAGTCCCTACGGCTTGTCTAGACGTGGGCTCCGTCATCTTGTAACCGAGTTGCTGTGCTCATGCAATCAGCGCTAGCCATGTCGCCGTGAAGGCAAGTACGTACGATCACGTCTCCGGTCTTGAGCGCCATCTCATCGCCCGGGTTCTCAAGCACATATGCCTCGATGCCCTTGGGCATTGTCTCCGCGTAGTATTTCATTGCCGTGAATAACTCTTCACTGTGATGGGGTACACCGCGAAACACGATGTTACCCCTGTGGTTGTCCAAGTTCCTGAGCATGACCTAGTACGAAACTTCTCGTCACATATTTCAGCGCGATCGGAGAGACGATGCTCACCTGGCTCCTCACTGGGTCGAATACCAGCTCTGCATGTCTGGGATACACCGACCGGCTCCCAGCCTCTTTATCAACGGCAAGGCTAGGAAATAGCCCGTTGTTGGGTTCGCAGGTGGGCGCATCGCCAGACGGAGTAGGTCCGCTGGCCCTGCCCAGGATGGCTCTCCAGTCCTCGCTTGCCGCAAGGTCGATTTGCTTCGGTGGAAACGTCGCCTGAGATCCCTTAAGCTGTTCGAGCGAAACGATCGCGACGGCGTTGGCGGGCATGTCAGTGGGGTTGTACAGGGAGGGAAGAGAACGGTGCATGGCGAGGTGTGAGAGGTAGAGAGGAGGGCAGACGAAGGACAGACGAAGGTGAGCTTCATTTTTTTAGCCGCTTTTAAGAGGGCAGGAACACGCGGTGGGCAGGGTCGAGCAGAAACCAACAAGGACTTACAAGCCGGGATAATACAGTTCACGGTCTTCCATATCATGATCCAAGGCCGTTCAAGGTGCGTGTCTGTCAAAACCAAGAAAAGAAGCATCCGACTTTGGAATAATAGTGCTCGCGAGACGCAGACGACCGGCTGGACGAAGGTTCTTGAGAAAGCCGAGTGGCATGCCGTCGCCTCCATTGTCTGCGCCGATGTTTCGGTGAGGGAGCGACATAAGCGTCGACGGGCGATGGGCGGCTAACAGCTGCGGGCCTTGCCGCACTGGCTTCTCTGTGGGCGCTCACTCCCATGGAGCGCCGATGCCGATGTTCTCGCCCTGGCGCTAGAACGTTTTGGGGATGAATAGAAGGGATATCGTATGATGTGGACCTAGGGTGGAATGATAGCCCTCGTAAAGCCCTTTCATTTCGACGCGCTAATACCACAAGGCTCACTTGTAACGACTTACTGTTCGTCTGGGTTGCTAAAGATATTGAGCCTCATAAATTGGATCCGTCGCATTGAGTTCCTGTCCAAAAAAAAAACCTGAAAATGCAGCGCTTGTGCACTTCCGAGTAGGAATGTGAGTTCCGAGCGAGACACAAATAGCTTAGTAGAAGTGCGTCTATTGAAGACATTCCACGAACGCCAGCATGTTGGAAAAGACAGTAAGACAAGGGTTGCCTACGCTTCGCTGAGGCTGAGTGGCGGAGCCAACCCGGGACGGTGGGTGCTCAAGCGCTCACTTCCCGATCCTGGATTTTATATGAGGCATCAACACATTATATCGCTCTACTCTACACTGTATAAGGTATGAAGCGAGACAACCTGAACTAAACATATACGAATGGCACGATGTAGGAAAACGACTTCAACATTATGATCAGTCATGCAGATGCTGATCTTCTTCTCGTAGAAATGCGGGTCGATAGCCAAGAGATAGCTTCACCGCCTCCCATACCTATGAATGTGGCGAAGTAGTCCATGGTCTTTATGCCCATGTTCGCGAATGCGTCTGCATATTTGGTGAGGCTGTCGTTTCCGGAGATCTTGTGAAAAGGTCAGAGAGGCTTGTCGATCATCCCGTGATGACCATCCGAGGTTTTCACTTTCTGTCAGTCAGAAAAGCACTCCTAACTTTGATGGAAGGTTATGTCCCGTTAATACAGGAGGATGGCTCCGTTTCGGGGAGTAGCTCCCAGACATTGAGATGAGATCTGGTACTCACGAGGCTAGCCTGATCTTAGCCTGATCATTGCCATCAGATAGTGTCACTGCTGACCTTGACATTATCAATAATAACATGTTGAAACCCACAGCACAGAAGTTCCAGGCTGGAATAGATTTCAGCGTGGAGTCGGCGGAAAATGCAGACAATCGGGAGAATGCAGATCGCGCCATGAATTACAGTCGGTACTGATTGGGACTAACACACTTCGCTAAATCATAAGTATGGTCTTGCTTGTGATAACACACATCGTAAAACACGCCATGAAACAGAGACTCGAAACTAAGACGACGCAAGTACACCCGGGCATTCACAAAGGATCGATCAAACCTACTTGCATATCTTGCAATAATGGCTGCAAAGCAAAAACCACTCTTGTGTGCGGCTAACCTATGATGGAGAGAGATAGCTCACAAATCTTCCATAGAGTTAACTAATTTCAACAAAGATTCGATTGTAAATACGATAAACTACTGTACTAGCTATCATATCGGCAAACACCCTCCCGTCTTACCTGCGCCTCCTTGCAGCAACTTCTACACACCGACGCAAGACAACCGGCGAGCTATGTACCGTTCTGTAAGCACCGATAGACAAACAGCCACTAAACCACTTACCCATTGGCGAGCAGAATGCACGCTGTCCAGGCGTTGGCCTATGCAGAGCGTGAACATGTTAACTCGAGAACCATTGAGCCCCTTATGCCATGGCTGGATAAGAGGTACTGTCCCCACAGCTTTAGTCGGTGATCTGAGCAAAAAAAAATCAACGCAGTGCCGCAGAAAGTCACAGCGTCACGTACCCGTTTGCCATGCCAGGGGACCTCGTTGGACATGGCTGAGGAATCCTGGCTATTGGAAGGGAAGCAGTAACACCAAAACTGCCCATACGGGAGACGCAGCCCCTTGCAACCCTGAACCAACCCTGAAATACTGAGGAAAGCAACGCTGAGGGCGATGGACAAAGGGTCAAACTGCATCAGCACATCCTTCGACTTGCCACCCGTAACGGCAAGGACACCCGCAGGCAGCCAGGAAGAGTGCCATCCTTGATGGAACAAAAATGCGTGCCTGAGAAACATATATAAGGGGTTCGAAATACGTGACACACCGATAATGAAAGCGCCAGCCCACTATCGAGAATACTATGGACATACTAGTAAGTGAGCATTAACAACAGGACGACAGTGACATGGCTCATAGACACTCGCCTTAACTTGAAAGCTGAGGTACGTGAGCACGGCGAAATGTAAGAACGGCATTAAAAGGAGTGGAAAAGCAAGCGAAGTACCATGACTATGCAGAAAGGATGGAAAAGAAAAGAGGAGGAGACGAAGGTGCAGGAAGAAAGGTCGACACTTATATGGCCCAGGAAGCCCTGTGCACAACTGCGGAAACACGAGATTAAGGACATGGTTCCAGAGCCTTCTAAATAACAAATGTCGCAAGATTGGAAAAACACAGATTGGAAAAGTCGACGTGAACGAAAGGAATGGGGACCGAACCCAGTAGAGACGCGAGAAGCCGAATTATTGGAGATACTTAGGGGCAGATATGACAAATTGAGGAGCAAAACAAACATGTACATACGAAATCCGGGCAGAAGATTGAAGATACGAGTTATCGAAGTGGTGCACCTATATAGCGATATTCCACTGAGTAGGTGCGCTGACCGCGCGTCGAGCCCCAACAAAAGCACTCAATATCTTGACTCAATACAGTCCAGTTGAATGATGTTTTGAACAGTGCCTGTTCGATTCGAATGTGGGTGATAAATACAAGTTATGCGGTTCTATGTCTTCATCTAATACTACGAGATCCCAATAAACATGAAACAATGCCGCACACATCGCTTAGCCGATGTTCATCTCAAGGCCGAGGTTGACGTGCACGGCCTTCACAGTGTAGTAGCTAGAAACAGGACGAATCAGAATGGAAGTAGACACGGCGCATAGCAAGAGGGACTGACCTGCGGAGGGCGTACTCGCCAAGCTCACGACCAATACCACTTTTCTTGATACCACCGAATGGCACCTGGCACTCAGGCGACACATTGCAGTTGATGAACGTCATACCCGCCTGCATCTGGTGCGCAGTCTCAATCGCCTTCGTGATGTTCTCCGAGAAGATCGCCGCCGACAGACCATACTCCGTGTCGTTGCCCTGACGGATCGCGTCCGCCTGGTCCTTGAACTTCAGCACAACAGCGACGGGACCGAAGATCTCCTCCTTGACCACCCGCATGTTAGGGTTGACGTCCGTGAACACGGTGGGCTCGATGAAGTAGCCTTCAGTGCCGATCCGGTTGCCACCGACGGCGACCGTCGCACCCTCGTCCTTGCCAGACTGGATGTAGCCCATGATGCGCTGCAGGACGTGTCGTCAGCGTCGGAGTTGCGTGCGCGAGCAAGAGTAAACTCACGTCAAAGTGCTGCTGCGAAGCCTGAGGTCCGTGCCAGATCGACTCGCCGAACGGATCACCAGCCTTGATCGACCGCACCACCTGCGTGAACCGTGCGATGAACTTCTCGTAGATGCTCTCCTGCACGAAGATACGCGACCCAGCACAGCAGACCTGGCCCTGACTCCAGCTGTGACGATCATAGTCAGTCCCACTGTCTGAGCGAAGAGAAACTAGAGAAACTCACAAGACACCGAATGCGGCCCAGTTCGCAGCCTTGTCGATGTCGGCATCCTCGAGGACAATGCACGGTCCCTTGCCACCGAGCTCGAGAGTCACGTCCTTGATGTTGCTGTTCGCAGCATTCTCCATCACCTTGCCACCCGTGAACGTCGATCCAGTGAACGACACCATCTCAATCCCATTGTGCGCCGTGATCGCAGTGCCAACGGTGTGGCCGTAGCCAGTCACCATGTTCACAACACCAGCAGGGAACCCAGCCTCGACAATCAGCTCGCACATCCGGATGCACGACAGCGGCGCCACCTCAGCAGGCTTGATCACAGCCGTGTTACCCGTCGCAAGAGCAGGGCCCAGCTTCCAGCACATGATCAGGAGAGGAAAGTTCCATGGCAGGATCTGCCCGACGACACCAATCGGCTCGTGGCGCGTGTACGCCAGCTTCGCCTCCGTCGTCTCGATCACCTGGCCCAGGATCTTGTCTGCCCACCCGGCGTAGTACCGGATCGTCGCGATCGCCGCAGCGACATCCGCGTTTTTAGCCCAGTTGAACGTCTTTCCTGCATCGTCTGTTAGATACGAGGCTCGCACAAAGGTAGACCAGAGTCACGTACCGACGTCAACGGCCTCGAGAGCAGAAAGCTCATCGTGGTGCTCCTCCATCAAGTTCGCGAGCTTGTTCATCAGGAGCGAACGCTTGGCACCAGGGCACTTCAGGCCCCAAGTCGTCGCCAACGCTGCCTTCGCTGCCTGCACAGCGGTGTCGACATCCTGGGCAGTACCCTCAGAGATCTGAGTCAGGACCCCACCCGTCACAGGGTTCATGATGCTATGGTCACGAGTCAGTTATTGCATCAGAGAATAAGCAGAGAACAGACGCACTCGATGGTCGTGCCCTCAGAGCCATCCCGGAACTCGTTGTTGATAAAGACACCGGTCTTGAAAGAGGTCTTTCCGGTGTAGACCTTGGAGCTGAAGTCGTAACTGAAGGAAGTGCCGGGCATGATGGAGAAGATGTAGAAGTGTGAAGAGGTTGGATGAGATATCGGTCTAGCTCTTTCAGCCAGTGCTTATATACGCCAGTAACGTAGGCCATAACATGTCTCCCCGGTGAAAATGGGCAAGTGTACGAAGAGTTGTTTGCGGGTTGCGTCCGTGCCCAGTGTGTCCTGACGCGGCCGGACTCTGGGTCTTGGTTGGGGATGCGCGTTTGATGCGCTTCATCCATGACGCGCACGAAACTCCCACGGTCTGCAATGTGCACCATACACTTGAGAGCGTCCGTACGGTTCACTTATCAGATACTTTCCCCGACAGGCACCTATGTCGCGACCGTGTTTCATGACCGAGGAGCAAGCAAGCATTCCGAAGTACGCCCAGTCTCTTATGGGCCCACGGCATCGATCTAGAGACTGAGCAAGTTATCGAGCGCCGACCCCAAGGCAATTGCAACATTGGGCATTTTGGCTATGATCAGCTCAATATGAGTTCCGTATAGTGGATAATGCTATGGAGGATGGCTGACGAGGATAACACTCGTACCAGGATGACAAAGTGAAATGCGATACCGACGCGGACCGAGGCGTGGCCGAGACGCGGGCGACGTTCATATCGAGGCCGTTCATGAAAGCTGCAAACGGATGCCCCTTGGGGAAGGCCGCCGCAATGCGCTCGAAGGGCGTTGTGAAAGCTTACTCGGTCGTTGCGGCCCACATTTAAGATGCGATTGGCCCCTGACACTGTCCTTGCAACCTTTGTCCTTCCTCTCCGCCCATAACTCTACTTGCCATAATGCCGCTCTGCACTTTCATCACCAACGTCAAGGTAGGCTTCATGTCTTATTCCTAAGCTTTCTGTCACTAATTTAACTGACGTGTTTCTTACAGATTGAGGACACCCGCAAGTTTGCGGTCGAGCTCACTGAAGTACGCGCATCGTCTCCTGCTCGGACGCATAATGTGGTGACGATCTGACGCCATCATCCCAGTTCATCTCCCAGCAGGTCGAGAAGCCTGTGGCATTCATCAGCATGCACATCAAGTATGACCCCGACTTCTACTTCGCCGGGTCATTCGACGAGCCCGCGTGCAGGCTGCACGTTGTACGTCCATTGTTTGATGGCATATTCATAGCATCCTGACCAGCTCTTAACTTCATGCTACGCGGGATGCGCTTCGAACTCTGATCGTGACTACGAATTCGCTACTCGCTATAGGACAACCTGTGGAACAACACGCCTGAGGCCGCGATCAAATGGTCCGCCGCATACGCATCCTTCTTCCAGACCAAGCTTGGCATCGCCCAGGACCGGTACCATGTGTACGTTTTGAGCTTCCCTGATCTATCTCCCTTGTTCTGCTCTGTAATCACTTGCTGACGTTGGCGTTCTCTCCCGCAACTCCCCTCGCGCGTGCAAACAGCGCATTCGAGGACAGCGGCCCGGACTACATTGGGTGAGTTGTTCTTCCGAACTCCTAGTACGATGCCGGCTTGCTAAACGATTGGTTGCTCTATAGCGCATTCGGCAGCACCGCTGAAGCCAACAGGCTCGCGGCGTTGAAGCAAGGCCAGTGATTGCGACACAAAGCTGCTTGCCGTTTCGGAGAGGGAGAGGTTATATTGAGATGTGCTGTAGATCTAGAGGTTACCGAAATGTATTTAATGCCAGCTTACGATATGCAGGACAATCTTTCAATCATGTGGGTCTTGGAGAATGGGCAGCTTGTTCGCGCTCCTGAACGGATAGGGGCTATTTACTCGGTCACTATTCCCAGGCCACAAAGTAAATATTTCTGTCTCGCGCGACGCGATCCAAGGTTTTTGCCTTCACCACTATGGCTCTACTGCTGCGTCCTTCCTGTTTTCCTATTGTAGTCGCTTATAGATCGAAGACGTGTATCACCGGAAGATATCCAAGGCGCTCATAGCTCGCAGTAACAGTCCATGGCTGCGCACAGCCGTAGAGGTCGCATCTGCCTTCAAAGTGGGCAAGATGTCCTCTGGTTCTCTGGAGCGCGGATCGAAAATTGCAACCAACAGGGATATCAGAGCTGCCAACTTGAGCGCACGATTTTACAGAGCTCAAAGGTGAGGTTACTACAGGTTAGGAGTCGCTCCTATGCACGCGTATCAACCTTCTTCAGCTACTCAAGCAGTTGATGTCACCTCCTTTTTCGGGTGTTCTGACCATCTCACGCTTCCTCCTATTTTTTTCCGTATGCTCTTGGACCTCTTCCACCATCCAATGCTCTATCTAAGTCAGCTGAGAATGTCAGCGAGTTCGAGCCACGGCATTGGAGCGAGGTGTAAAGGTCGAGTCGGAACAGGGGCTACTGATATGCAGCAACTCCTGCACAAGGCTGAGGAACAGCTCACGCTTTTGATAACACTGTCATGGAAGAGAAGTCGCTGATGGCGAGGGATAGTGCTGTGCAGAGGGTTCAGAATGTGAGTAGCTAAATTTCTTCTAGGGATATTTCTCCCTTACCAATTTTGTCTAACATTAGGTTGATAACGCGAGGATAAAAACATAAGTACCTGGGTCCCATAAGGACACTTGTCGAGTACATTCGGAGCGAGTATTCCCAACATTTCCTGTTCTCGGATTGAGACTACCCTTATCCCAAATGACTGTCTCGAATATTGTCGCGCCATACCAATCGGTCGAAACTCTCATCAAATCCCTCGGAGCAGTATCCATGGCTTTTATGCCTTACAGACTCGGACGGACACGGCTGATGACAGTCAGGGTGAAGCCGATGATACAGCCAATGTCACCTCCAGTTCTTTCGTATGGAAGCAACGTCTCGGCCATGCCCTATCAGACCCACGGTTTTTGGCACCCCTGAGTATAGCCAAAGCTGGAGCTGGAAACGGTCAAGACCCGTGCCGCTAGTGTTTTCTTTCATTCTTCGTTAGCTTGCGACATGGTCAAAGTCCACACCCCACTTCTACTTTTCACCAACGCTTCCATCGCATACCGCGTCACCAGAGCCTCAACAGAGCCCCTCTCTCGTCTCAGCACGAGCTGAACCGCGCGATCCAGCGCTTATCCAACGTACAAGCTCGTTTCCGAGCTTTCGATAGGTGCTCTCCATAGCCTTGCTAGTCATCTTCTCGCTGTTCATCCTCCGATTGGAGCGTGCCTATCTTTCTGCCGATAAACGGGTTCTGGGGCGACATGCAGGAATACGCATATCAGAGCCAACAAATGAGCTTATTCCAGACGATGTCGTAATATTCTGAATAGCGTGGTAAACCATCAGACGACTTGAAAAATGGAGGCAAAGGGCCTCCAGGATATCGGTGGAGAACGTAGGATATTACTTCAAGTCTTCAGCACCGTCCTTCCCATTCTCGTATGAGGACGAGGTTGCACTATGTGTCGGGTACGGTGGAGATGGCCTTGACGGCGATATCCGTTTTTTTTCTGGGACGACAAGAACATAGAAGAAGAAATTGAGAAGAATAGCAGCATCGGAGGCCAAGGTCCGATAAAGCAAACGGCGAAAGACATGAAGGCGGACTGCGTCAGGACGAGCCTGATGACCTTGTTTCACACCAATCACCATTTCGCCCAGCATAGTTTCGTACCCAATCCGTGACACCCTCACCCGGTTCCTAGCAGAAACGTAGGGAAAGCTGGAATTACCGTACGCAAAGAAAGTCTGCATCTCCCAAGTCACCTTGGGGTAGTGCATCTATCTCCGTGCCCGCTCCAGTGGGCATGCGCGTCGATGAAGCTGAAGCCTAGGATGGCGTGGCCTGAAAAGTAAACGGGATATGTGATCAGCAACTGTCCCTACACAACACAGAGTGACAGTCGCAAAAAGTGGCACACCTCCATGCGCCTCAACAACGGCAGCACCGAGTGGCACAACCGTCTCATCTACCACAGCCTCCCTGCACCACTATGATCCCATCGTAAATTTAGGTCCTGCGCGTGCGCGCGATGTCGCAATATCAAAATCGTCGCATTCTTGGTCGTATTGCGTATGGAAATCGCGTCCGCAACATTGCCATTCGCGTGTGATAACGCACGCGTCGAGCTTGAGTCCCGCGATTTCCGTTGAGTAGCTACACGTCCAGCTGCTCCTTCATGCGCCCGATCCCACATGTCGGCAAGTTGTCATGTGCACCGCGTCCCAAGCATGAGGGATGTATCGATGCTGTGATCGTAGACTCTCGTCAACATCGCAGGTGTGCCTGAAATTTGAGGCGCGTCCGTTTACATGTTTACATAAGGCACCTCGTGTTGACGGGCCGATCTCAGCAGAGTCATACTGCCGTGTAAGCGAGCAACAACAACACAGGGCTCGCTCTTGGAAGATTGCTTGTTTTCGAACCAATGTCAACACGATACAGCCTTTGGCTGCGGATGTTTATTTCGACGGGACGGCTGTCCAGTGTCTTCCGCCTTTCTTCTACAGGGAACTAGTTTCATGAGCGCACACCAATGACTGGTGGTCTCACCGACGACGATGCCATGCTACATCCGATATACCTGACATTGGTACGATGCATATGAGATGTGATAGGCCATCTAACAACATAAAACTTTTCTCGTATCCTTACGCTTCTCTGGATACTGATAATATTTCAGGTCATTTGCATCGACGTATCGACAATTCGAGTTCGGATGACAAGACAAACGCGTCGCCGCACAACAGCGCGCAACACTTCTCAAGAAGTCTCCGAGCCTGTTCTCTCGACAACCATCAAAGACTAAAGAGTCTAGGCCTGTCAAAATCAAGAAAGCTTCACGGCACGGTCCTGCTCCGCCGTGCTCCTGTTGGAACCGGGACGGTGAGGCTGTGGCGGAACTCCCTCGTCGTTATCCCCGAAAATGGACTCCAGCTTCTGTCGTGATGGTATGTCATCTTCCCAAGTCTTCAGTAAAAATACCTACTGTACCAACGGTGCTTGACAGCGCGTCAGCTCTCCAAGGTGACGAGACCGAGCATGCAACCGCGTTTAACCATCAACTTCTGAACGCCTGACCGAGATCAGAGTTGACGCCAGCTGCGCCAGCGGTCTGTCGCCAGCGAGTGGGCTCGATAGGACCTGATAGGACTCGATCCCGTCAGAACTCCGACGCCACGTTCCTTAGGGCTTTCAAATTGTGTGGCGCGATTGTCGCAGACCGCTTGGAAGATCAAGTTTCTTAGGGACTCCGGACATCGGTGGCGCGTGACAAAGTATCTTTGTTTCCGCCTTCTTCGCAGAGCTGCCAGCAGGCAACTTAAAGATGCAGATACTCGGCTACGCTCGCAATATGCTCGGGCAATTAGCCAAGCTCTTGACGTCACCACCTCGTTTACTGAGCCTCGAGGCTCTCACCTCTGTTGAGGTGTGACAGTACGTTCCTCGTTGAGACGTTGTGTCGAGAGGTAACGCCGTTGGCTGATTACTGTACAGTGTTGGAGCGCCCCGGGAAACTCGGGACATGGAGGATCAAGAATACCCATGTGTTTGTGAGGGTGTGGTTTGTCGTTGTCCTACTCGGTAGGCAATGCGTTCCTGACCGTTTGCGATATGTTAGACATTCACTCTAAGAGTTGCTGGCAAAACTCGATCATCTATCCCGATGATGGTAGCGTGCCTTCCTATACTTCACCGGGACGGGAGTTGAGTGCTGCCAGTGTTCTACCCAAGACACGTTTTGCAAAGCTCTCCCGCCATAGGAGTAGACGGGGGTGCCGCGCGATCACAACCAAGCGATTAACGTTATCACCGAGCCCAACATTACGAACCCACGGGCCGCCAGGATCATTTTCGTGGGTGCTTTGTATATGGCCAGATTAATGACAGCCGAGGACAAGACAGCCGCTGAAAACAGGACCCCTAGATGCCCCCATAGAAGTCTGAGGTTAGAACCCAGGGTCGAGGCCAATTTTTTGGCTAGATGTTAGGTGTAGAACGCACGGCGAGTAGGCCTCGCAGGTCGATGTCAGAGCAACAAGTGCCCGGGGCAAGGGTGGCCTTGAACCTCGGACTCCCATAGGGGCACTTGGGGGTCCTCGGAAAACGAGGTAATGCAAACCTCATTTCTTCAATCATCACGTACGGGGCCAGTAAACCCATGCAATGAATGAATCGGGCTATCGGATCTCCAGTCGTCTTCTCGTCCATGGTGATTGAGAACCACTTGGAGTTTACGGTGTATTGTACCATGCTGGGGGAGCACGAGTCGACCTAGTCTGCCTCCTGCCTGGATACCATTTAGGAATCACCGCTTTTGAACTGAGGCACTTAAATAAGCGAAGCGATCGATCCGATAACTTAGCTTTATGCTTCCTTCTGTGATGTCCTCCGAGCTATCCTTGACGTTCTCTATCTCTGAACTCCTTCGCTTCTGCGTATCTTTCGGGTCTGCTTATGAACCATCCAGCCTTCGACTGGAGCCAGCACCGATTGACCTCAGCTACCTCGCTTCCCCTGAGCTCGATGCCTTGCCCCTAGCAATCAAGATAGAGACCTTGATGGTCGACGGACAGCGAAGGCTTCGCGCCCGTGCGGTGCAGAAGGAAGAGGCTATCCCGTGCAAGAGATCTTTGCCTGCCCCTATGCCTCCTCAATATACTCAACCTTCAACGTCCTTCCTTGACGCTTGGGCCACTCCTTCAACATCGAATTCGACCACGTACACCCCACCGCAGCCTCAGCTCGATGACCTGAGATTCCAGATCGCTCCCCAGCAGACAGGTACGTCTGAGCCATTGTATGCCATCTGCTCCTGGAGGTTGACGGGTCCTCTTCAATAGATATATTCTCATGTCCTGAGATGTTCTTTGACGTCGCTGACATGTTTTCTGAACCCCCGGCCCCGTATCTGTCTGGAATAACGACTGCGCACGATTATGCATCCGGTGCGCAGCTCCCACATCCACACCGATGAGTATCGTCCAGGCTGACACAACTGAATTAGACCCACCTGAAGCTCACTGTGATCCCCTGACTGACGCTTTGAAACTGCCTGATTATTCCAATGGTCGCACTACCATCTTTGCCGAGAGTCCATCACGCTGACGTCATGCCGTAGAATCCTCGGATCATGGACTAGTTGTTCACATTCCAGAACACGACCCATCGGCGGACTGTACCTCACCTCCCGGCTCTGAGCTCGAGTCGTCCGCATCCAGTTCAACCAGCTGTTACAATGGCGAATCGGCGGAAACTCACAATGAAATATCTCAACCAGCGGGGCCCAAACGTCGGCCACTCCGTTTTCCCTGTCTGCACGACGGATGTCCTCGCAAGTTCTCAAGCGAGGTGCGCCGCCCTATCGTCTCCGTCTAACACATGATATATCTCATGATTTCATTTAACATTTCAGTACACCCTCAATCTCCACATGACGACGCACCAATACAGGAACAAGCCCAAAATTCGTCATCCATGCGAAATGGGCTGCGCCGAGACCTTTTCACGCCAGCATGACCGCCTTCGACATGAGGTTGCTAAGCACGGCAGGATGTGTCAATGGTCCTGCAGCCGCTGTAGACGCGTTTTCTCGAGGCAGTCCACTCGAGACAAACACCGTTGCTCCGATGTTGCTAGTCGCGTTGTTGAGCAGACGTAATAGAACATCATTGTTATCCGATGTTCGGCTTTGCATAGCGTTGTCCGCTTCGACGTCCGAAAGTTACGGCGAGGGAGAACTGTAAGGACCAGTCGCGGGTGCAGTGCTATGTCAATTGAATAGCAGTAATGAGTTCAGTGAGAGGGCCGCCATTCCAGAAGCGTGTCATGAGAGACATGCAGTGAGGCGGTGTACTCCATGCAAAATGCATTGTCTCACCTAATATAGCTCCCGGTTGAATGTGAGCAGAGGGTTCGTACACCCTCCGGTAGCGCCATGAGCATGCTACGATCAACCACCATGGCATTGACATAGAAATAGACGCACAAAGTCGTTGACAGAGGGCCTGGGGTCGTTCTTTACTGTAGCCAAGGAAGGGGGTATAACAGCAGTTTCCCGCTCGCATCAAGGAGATCGAGACGGTCCTTGAGCTGCCGGTCTTAGCATCGGCCTTTGTTGAGTTGCCGAGTATATGCGCGACCGCGAGCCTGCAGATAGCCTGCAAGTCGCAGTTCGACAGACTGCTGGACGGTGTCTATGATCACATCGATGCGGGAAACAACTTTCGTCGAGCGTCCGTGCGGCTCTGCTTGTATATTTGTTATGAGTTAGTACAAGAGAGCAAACATGTAAGGCAGCTCACCTTCCAAAAACCCCAGTCCCTCACGAGTCTCTGGTGCGTTCACGACAGCAGAAGGGGAGATGACCAAAGGAATTCGGGAATTCGAGAAAAGTTCTGGGGGAGGAGAGAGGAGCACGGCAGAGGGAGAAGCAAGATGACCGGGAGAGGAGTACTGAGGGAGTAGTCTCTGGGAAAAGGGATAAAGATGAAGCAGGCGGTAAAGCTTTAAAGCGAGGCCCTACGGTACCAACCCTAGCTGTCCGAACGATGTCCGGGAAATCAAAACTGCGTGTGCCTGACGGCGCCTTTCTATTATCTGTGCCGGAACTAGTGCTGGGAGCGTTTTCTCTGAGCTGAGAATGGCTGAGGTTGGACCGACGGAAGGCGAAACCATCCGTGCAGGCGCAGCAGCTCCTGAGGTTATCTGACACTGCCAGCGCTCTTCTTCCATGTCGCGCTTTTCATGGCGCATGTACGCCGCAGCCATTCGGACCCCACCTGTACGACAGAGATAACAGAGGTTGTCGGCGTGTTATTGCAGCGCATGAAATTAGGAAACGCGATGTCAAAATGACGTGCATGCTTATCGTTTTTAACGTGTATGCGAGCTGAACGAGTGCCAGAAGAGCGACAAGCGAAGACGTGCGCTGGTAAATATTGACGCGTAGTATGATGGTGGACGCGTCGCTACTAACTTCGTAGTCAGAGTCTTGAGTAGAGTGAGCTGAGTGCATAAGAATGAACACGTCGGGCGCGGCTGGCTCATCGGAAACTCTTGATGAAAATGTGGAAAGGACACTATCTCGACAAAGAATACTGGGGTTAACGGATGGGGCTAGGGTTGGGCGAGAATCCAACCGCCGACACCAGGGCCAGATTTGGGGCAAATGCCGAGAGTAAAATTCAGCCACAGAAAAGGACCTGAAAATCCATCGGAAATCAATACTAAGAGTACGTATTCTATCGTCTTTTCGGTGGGAGAAAGGTGTTTACTGCCCTTTTTGAGCGGAGAAGCCTCCGGTTGGGCACGAATATCGCCAGAAAAGTTACAATTTTGGCCTGTTTTTCTCTTTCTAAGGAATGCTAAGGGGGAATCTTTAATTTTCAGTGGAATCTCGAATACTTTTCGTATGATCCGCGGCTGATTCCTGCGCGCCAGAATCTGCAATGGAGTGGGGGATAAAATTCTGAAGATAGCCTTTCTTTGCGGGCCACACACTATCTGATATCAGAGATCTAGATGTCTGTTGACGATTTCATCGTGCATGCAAGTTCGAATGCGGTCGCGGCAAGCTACCTCAAGGAGTAAGAATATTCCGCCGCCGGGCCAAAGATCTATTCTACGAATTAGTTCGGTAAGTCGAATGCGGCCTGTCAAAACTCGGACAAGAGACCAGCACCCTCGACTCTGATACGCCAATGGAGGACCATGACATAACCAGCACTACCGGCTTCCTTTTCACACAACAGTTCCTATGGAAGACGTCCTGCACCTTACTAAGCCTCCAAAGCCACTTGCGCCTATATAAAGGTCCGAAGTGCCCAAATCGAACTCAAACGTCCCTGCTCTTGATTCGCATCCGCCAGGAAAATGACCTTCCCTACTCGCAAAATCGGCACTGACGATGTCTCTGCCATCGGATTCGGTGCGATGGGCATCTCTGCCTACTACGGCGCCTTTGGGTCTGACGAGGAACGCTTCGAGGTGAGTATCATCTTCAGTGCGATATCGCGCCGAGATCAACGCTGATCGCTGTGGCTTAATCTATAGATCCTCGATGCCGCATACGAGCGTGGGTGCAGGTTCTGGGATACCGCCAACATCTACGGTGACAGCGAAGATCTGATCGGCAAGTGGTGCGTTCAGTCATTCAACTCTTAGGCAGTATAGACCCATCATTGTTGATGTATCAATGCGTTTGATAGGTTCAAGCGCACTGGCAAGCGCAACGACATCTTCCTTGCCACCAAATTTGGTATCAGCCGCGAGACTGCCAGGGGCGTTGACGGCACCCCCGAGTCTTGCCAACGCAACTTCGCTCGATCGCTCGAGCGTCTTGGCGTCGACACGATCGACTTGTACTACCTCCACAGGCCCGACTCTGAGGTACCTATCGAAGAGACGGTGGCCGAGATGGCAAAGCTGGTCAAGTGAGTCACTGCTGGATTTTGGTTCTTCGTCGCAGTTATCTGACATACACGGTCGCGCATCACAGGGCTGGCAAAGTCAAGTACCTCGGTCTGTCTGAGTGTACTGCCAACACCCTTCGCCGTGCGCACAAGGTGCACCCGATCGCTGCGCTCCAGGTCGAATACTCGCCGTTCACGCTCGACATTGAGGGCGAGCTCAATTTGCTCAAGACCGCACGTGAGCTCGGAGTGAAGGTTATTGCCTACTCTCCACTCGGGCGTGGCCTGATCACTGGTCAATACGTGAGTACATCGTGTTCTCCTATCACAACGTCCATTGACTGATCCTGTGATCACTCAGAAATCGCCAGACGACTTCGAGGCCGATGACTTCCGCCGCAAGATCCCAAGGTACTCGAAGGAGAACTTCCCGAACATCCTCAAGTTGGCCGATGGCCTCAAGAAGGTTGGCGACGCGCACAGCGCTACCGCAGGTCAGGTGGCCCTCGCGTGGCTTCTGGCGCAGGGAGACGATGTCATCCCCATCCCTGGAACTAAGAAGATCAAGGTACGCCAGCTCATATGAATGATGCAGGATAGTTATTTGACCAGATCCGCTTAGTACCTCAACGAGAACCTCGATGCTGTGAATGTCAAGCTGACCGCTGAGGATGTCAAGGAAGTGCGAACATACGCCGAGAAAACTGACCATGTTAACGGCTTGCGTTACCCCGAGTTCGGGTGGAAAACGCTGTACCAGGAGACGCCGGAACAGAAGCTGTAAGATGTAGGTTGCATCGATAAGCAAAGTAGTTACTTTTTGACGGAATGTATCATGACATGCCCAGTGTACGAATACCATCATGAGAATTGGAGTGTCTTTGCCTGCCTACAAAACGAAACCTTGAGAGTGGCGTCGATTATAGGTTCACAAGGACGTCAACTTAGACCTACTCCTCAATTCATCTCAGAGATAATACGCTCCTCGATTCGTCCCTCCCCGCCCCGAATTGCACATGTTCCTCCAGACACCTGTTCGAGTCCGCCGACCACACCGTATCGGTATCGACATCGAGATCGTGAAAACGTCAACAAGTTGCATCATGATACGGACGAGTAGGAGAGCCGCTCCGCCCGTGCGTTGGTTCAACTGATTCGAGTCCAGCAGGGAAGGGCTTTGAATACGTCTACGGCTGCTGGTGACACTCGGGCTGAAGCGGTTCACGCTGTGGCAGGTGCGAGCGCGATAGGGGTTGCATCTTACGCCAACGGTGTCCGTCGCAGGGCGGAGTGTCTTCAAGCACTTGCATCAGGAACGCGAAATATGCTCGTATTGAGGCCCTCGCTACATGGTCCCATATGGGCTGAGCGAGCGACTCAGCGACTCCTAATTGGCATAGTTTGCCGTATACGATGTTACACTAGCTGGGGTTGTGTATGCAGAAGTAGCATACAGCGTGCAAAGAACTGCAGTCCCCGTTCACCGGAGTATATGCTCGGATCAAGCGCGATACCGTGACGTGTTGGTGACTATCAGCTGAATGAGCGGGGTTAGGGATGATCATGAATACGAGCGTACGGAGGGATAATGATGTTCGCCTTGAGCCTAGAACCGTTATCCGTTATTCAATGAGAAGATGCTCTCCTTAGAGCGAGTGGGCTCGTCCCAGGTGGCCTTGATATGCTCGTCGATGCTCAGATCGCTGATGTCAATGTCGAGAACTGTCAAGCAGTACATCAGCCACCGGGCCAATCAAGGAAACAACAAGTCAGGAGGTAACCTTTTCGATGTACATGGAGCAAGATTGGGTATAAGGTTAAGGACGTCCAGGTGGTAGCTCCTGTTGACTCGCTTAAGACTCCACAAAGCCTTGCGCGCGGCGAACGGTCGATGGTTTGGGGGAAGGTCTAGGGTAGGGTTTAGAAAAGGGTGACAGATGAATGGCAGGTAAGTGAGTCATGAAAAGAAGGAGCCTGAAGCCGTGGACGTACGAAGACTAAGTGAGTGGGGGAGATGGAGGGAACTCGTTGCGCAAAAGTCGTTGCGAATCAGGCTACTGATGAGTCCCGTGCAGTGATTCCACCCAGTCATCCGCGTCGCAAGCCCTTCATTTTTCCATCCATGACGTTTGCCATGGGTCGGTGCACAGGTGGAGACCGAAGGGAAAAGAGCGAGATGTGGCTCGTACCTCCGCTCTCGCTGGATCGGCGAATGCGCCATTAGCACCGCATACATACAAAGATTAAAGAGAAACGCACTTTGAGACACGAACCTACTATCCGTGTTCTCTTACATAGTGGCAGAACCACCCGCATCTGCAACCTGCACCTCCATAAAGCCCGCCGCCGCCTTTCCCATACGATGGTTCCCTAACGCCACTCCTAGGCGAATCAGGTAGTGGAATCGTCTCTATGGGCCTCGGAGTTTCCTCGTCTTTGGCATACCCAAAATGTAGGCAATATCACCGGAAACCGACGATGGCAATGCATACGAACTCGTCGCGGCGGACATATTGGCCCAGAGGTCCCCAAGCATTGTTACCGGTTTTTACTGTCGAAGTATCTCGCGGTATTACGAGAAGAGCACTTTATACTGGGGAGCGCTCGCCGTCTCAGCTGTTCTGGGAGTGGGGTGCGTTCGGAACCGCCTAGACGTTGTGCATAGGGATGTCACGGTAGAACAGCACAAGTTCGGATAAAAGATGTGATCATGTTCCATGGCTCGAGCGGCACAACCCAGCTAGCTGAGAAGGCAAAACGCTCAGTGTTCTGAGCAGCGAGATGACGATGTTCCAAAAGAGTGACCATGAACGGGTGACGGCGGTGGACGAAGAGAGGCTCGGAGGAGCGCACCAAGAACGCGCTCCAAGCAACGTCGACACTCGGCTATTTCCCCGCGAACCAGATGCTGGAAATTAGCCCCTGTCCCGCGCTCTCACTTTGTTTTTCACCACATCTTCCCTCAAAACGCAATCAAACACAATCAGACCAAGGATCAGCATGCATTCCTGCCTCGAAATACATGAACTTGTCAATCACATCATGTCGCATGTTGAAGGCAACGATTCCCTCGCCAGGCTCGCTCGAGTGTGCACGTCGTTCCAGGACCCGGCGCTGGATGCGCTGTACGCCAATGTTGAATGCTTCGTCGAGTTCTTCGCGTCTCTACCCAATGACGTGTGTCTCTTGAAGGAACTTACCGCTGGAAAACATCAGAAATATATGCCATTTGCGGATTTTACTCGGAAGAAGCTAGTAGGTTTCACGCATAATCTTAGCTTTGCCGCGGTCTCTCAGCGAACATGCATATGCTCAGATTTTCAAACGAGAAATCTCTGCGTCTGAGTGGAGCGCCTTGATAATGCGGGCTGCACGAGTAAAGCACATTCGTCAAAGTATCAATGAACTGGATTCGTGCAGAGTGGTGCCCTCGATGGACTTCGCGGATGCCCTGAACAAATGTCCTGTGTCTGTCCTTTTTCCTAATCTCCGCACGTTGTACTTCACTGTACCCTTTGGGCCACTCAACGCATGTCTACTATTTGGTCCACAGCTTCGGTATTTGTGCGTAAAGGATGCTGCACACGAGCTATTTGACATGCTTCCAAACCTGCCAATGCTGTGTCCCCTGATCGAAACATTTTATACAACATCGACTCTATCTAACAAGTCTTCTGATCTTTCACGAGTCTCAAACTCTATTGCACAGTGGCAACATCTCAAATCCATCTCAATCGGTTCCGTCACAGAACTCATCTGAACCCATTTTGCTTCTCTCCAGCTGTGTAAAAACCTTCAGTTTCAAGTAACTGCGGATTCACCTTGGCTCAAAATGACGGGGACTCTCCAAATACGCGCCCTGGGACATCTTACTATCCTTGGTGATAATCTCCAGACATGTGCAGAAGCACTTGCTGCGCTATTTAGTCCTCCTCGAAACGGCCAAGCAACCCCGGCCATAGTTACCAAGCTGAATGTGAGCGGAAGGTCACCGTCTCTCACCGCAATCCGTACTGCCATTGCGACATATATTTCCTCAGAGCATTAACCAGTCTCTCTATCACGTTCCTCAACGGTAGCGAAGCTGGTTCGTCCATCGATCTTGACGACATCATCAGTGGCCTATCCTGCTTCTCTCGACTGAAGAGGGTCGTATATCACACTCAGTTCAACAGTCGTTACCATTGTCTCGCAACAGCTTCCAAGGTGGTCGCCGCTACTTCCCATTGGCCACTTCTCGAAGAATGTTCCATACAAGCCTCCGTTACTCCGCCCCTCTCCCTTGTGGATCTAATGACAATCCTTCGGCGGTGCCCGTATCTTCGTAGACTGGGGACTGGCCTCTGCATCTCCGTCAGCTCGCAAGACGTTGCCACCGTCTTGGCTGCCCCAGAGCTGAGAGCGCGTAACAATCTCATCTCAGCTATGGGGTTTAAGATCGCGCCAGATTCTACTACATTCGATTCCGGAACCCTCACCTCTCTTCTACAAGAGACAATGCCACAGCTTACTCAAATTTATGATTTCGGTGTCTATGCAGCATCGGACTGGCATGTCCGCTTTTGGGACGAGGTTCGCAACGGTCTGAAAACGAAGTCGCAGGGCATTTAACTGCACTGATCTTCTTGCAGTGACATATGCCTTTCGAAATGGCAATCCAGCTTGTTTTCATATTATCACCGTACTGACAAGGGCCATTATAAATATCCTCGACTATCCATACGGACTTTATACAGATTTTTCATACCAGCGCTGGAAATCTAACGGTTGCCGCTTAGACACAGTAGCAACTATAAGACGCACCGAGCATGACGCGATTAGATGAGCGGATGACGGTCAGCTCTCAGCACCATGCCTTGGTTCTACACTCTTCGGTGCTCATATACATACTTCCACCACTAAAAGATGAATGTGTCGAGAGGCGCTACTAAGTAGAACTCATTTCAGACGCGAGCAGCTTAGTCTGCTCATCCCCGAGTCTTATAGTTCAAAGCATGTAAGGCTCTACGCGGATGCTCGCGACAGTCCCAGCAACGGTCTGGAATGTCATGCTGCTGTTCTGCAGCGTAGCGACAGTATCTCAGGTTTCATGCAACGGAAGACAATTTTGTTGTGTCGGTACTTAGCCACAGACATATTCTCGTGTTCGTGCCATGGTATGCTAACGGATATGATGGGACAAAACGGATATGATTGAGTGTGACAAGATGCATATGATGAAGATAAATTACAAAGTATCTGTTCTATCGCAAGAAAATATGTCTAATGCTGTGATCGTCGAACCTAATGTTACATATCAAACTCAAGCCTTCGTGGTCTCCTCAGCAAACGGCCAGTCGGTGTAGCCTTCTGCCGTGTGGCTTCCAGGAACATAGTACTTGGTCCGGTCGGGAGGCGTCAGGGGAAGGTCTTCGAGAAGACGGCGCGGGAGATCGGGCTGGAGATGCCAACAGTGAGTACAACCGACGAATGTCAGTGAGCTCGCTTATAACTCACGTTGGAGATGTAGTTGCGTCCAAAGGCGATCAGAACACCCTTCTCCTCAGCAGTCTTGAGTGCCGACTCGCGCGTGTACCCGCCGGCGACGATGAAGGGGCTGTCGCCCCAGATCTCACGGATAAACTCGTTCGAGCCGGTCGCGTCCTCGACGTCCTCGTTTCCGTTCATGCGCGGCTCGACGACGTGCATGTAGGAGAGGTTGAGCTTCTTGAGCTCCTTCACGTAGTAGGTGTAGGTGGGGACAGGGTCCTTCATCCGCATGTCTACACGTCACATCGTCAGATCCGATCAAGTATGAAGCGCATCCAACGAGAGGACTAACCTTGGAACTCGCTCCATGCGCTCAAACGGATACCGACTCTGGATGCACCGATGGCCTTGACGACGGCAGCGGCGACCTCAAGGCCGAAACGCGACCGGTTCTCGATGCTGCCGCCGTACTCGTCCGTGCGGTTGTTGCTGACGTCCTGGAGGAACTGGTCGATGAGGTAGCCGTGCGCGCTGTGGATCTCGACACCGTCGAAGCCAGCCTTGATCGCGTTCTCCGCAGCGGTAGCATAGAGCTGGACGTGCTCCTTGACCTCGGCGAGCGTCATGGGGCGGGGGTTGGGGTGGCCCTCCTCGGCGTAGGCCTTCATGGGGATATCGGAAGCGGCGGTGAACTCGAAGCCCTCAGACGCGAGGAACTTGGGGTCGGCCGTGCGACCGAGCGACCACATCTGAAGGTAGATGTAGGAGCCCTTGGCGTGGATGGCGTCGGTGACCTGATCAAGTTATAATGTAAGCGACGAGGGGTTTGTGGTTTTGAATAGTCTACGCACCTTCTTCCATCCTTCGATGTGTGCGTCGGTATAGATACCTGGCACGTTGGCGTAGCCGCCACCAACCGCACAAGCGAACGTCGCCTCGGCGATCATAAGTGTGCCGGGCATGCTGGCGCGTTGGGCATAGTATTCAGCGGCGAGCGGCCCAGGGGTGTGGTCGTCATAACCACGGAACCGCGTCAGCGGGGCAAGGACAACGCGGTGCTTGAGGTCGACTTCGCCAACACGGAAAGGCGAGAAGAGGGCGGGGGTCTTTTCGATGGCCATTGTAGAAGGTGATGTGGAGGAGATGAAGAGACGAGGGGAGTGAAGTTTTGACGGTGAGGGGATGAGTTCGTCAACACCATCGTGCTTGGCTGTTTTATATTGAGGATGTCAGTGGTAGATGAAAACAAACGACTTTGGCTGTCAGCATCTCGAGCAGCTTCTGAGACAGCGAAGACCATCACCCTCCTTGGGGAAAATTGTTGTGGCTGGTTTACGGACAACGGAGTGGTTGGCACAACAGACGCTACTGCTCGCGACCTGCGGGACGGCCGCATAGGTATCCTCGGGGCAAGTGTCGATTTATAAGACACGTTCAAGAGCTTGAAAGTAATGCCTGGTGGTGACTCCGAGGGCCAGATCTGTCGCGCTCCGAGCATGCCTGCTAGCGCTGAGAAGGGAAGGTGCGGCCGTGAATCAAGCTGTGTTCGCGCGAATCGGGCGTCGCGCACGCTTTATTGCCGCCATTCTTCAGGACATGTCAAGACGATGGTTTCCCTTTCTCACCAACGTCAGACCCGCGCATAGGCCCAGGCATCGCACGGGTCGATTTAATACGTCAACTTGTCTAAGCCTGTGAAACGAGACTTTGCGAGATACGAGGCCTCCGGCTTCTCTGTAGTAGGTCATGGTGCGGCCGCGCGGGTGTCACTTATCAATTACTAAGCGAATAGAGTGTCTGGGCGTCGCATCCACACAGTGGCGGGATCTACGTTGGTCAATCCTTGTTATCGAGCGATCGCTGATGTGCGTGGCGGGTTGTCCGAATGGTTCGGAGGCCCACCTACCAAGGATGCATGCTGCATTAGGTACACCCGATGGTGCATGTCGCACGTTGTCAGAGAGCTAGCCCACTTCACAGTGAGCAAACGAGCGTAGCGACTTCAAAGTCATCTGGTTGCTTAAGTGGAGATTGCTCAGCTTCAAGACAAGCTGAAGTGCAAACAATAAGTGACTGCGAGCTGTCTTGGCGGGTGCTGTGTACATTTGAGAGCGTGTGAATTTCGCGGATGCTCTTGCGCATCATGGAGTAAGAGCATCCTCGAGGGCTCAACTAACACCCAGTAGAGACCGGCCGCGTCTGGACAACCCATTTTCACTGAACGCACGCTCCTATACCGCAAATGACTTTCGTCCACTTGCCCATCTTCGTCGGGGAGACATGTTGTGGTCTACCGGACTGGCGTATATAAGCCCTCATCGAAGGAGCTGAAACGGCATCTCATCCAACCTCTTCACACTTCTACACTTTCTCCATCATGCCCGGCACCTCTTTCAGTTACGATTTCAGCTCCAAGGTCTACACCGGAAAGACCTCTTTCAAGACCGGTGTGTTCATCAACAACGAATTCCGGGATGGCTCTGAGGGCACGACCATCGAGTGCGTCTGTTCTCTGCTTATTCTCTGATGCAATAACTGACTCGTGACCATAGCATCATGAACCCTGTGACGGGTGGGGTCCTGACGAAGATCTCTGAGGGTACGGCCCAGGATGTCGACACTGCTGTGCAGGCAGCGAAGGCTGCGTTGGCGACGACTTGGGGCCTGAAGTGCCCTGGTGCGAAGCGGTCGCTCCTGATGAACAAGCTCGCGAACTTGATGGAGGAGCACCACGATGAGCTTTCTGCTCTCGAGGCCGTTGACGTCGGTATGTGACTCCGGTCTATCTTTGTGCGAGACTCGCATTTAACAGACGATGCAGGAAAGACGTTCAACTGGGCTAAAAACGCGGATGTCGCTGCGGCGATCGCGACGATCCGGTACTACGCCGGGTGGGCAGACAAGATCCTGGGCCAGGTGATCGAGACGACGGAGGCGAAGCTCGCGTACACGCGCCACGAGCCGATTGGTGTCGTTGGACAGATCTTGCCATGGAACTTCCCTCTCCTGATCATGTGCTGGAAGCTGGGCCCTGCTCTTGCGACGGGTAACACGGCGGTGATCAAGCCTGCTGAGGTGGCGCCGCTGTCGTGCATCCGGATGTGCGAGCTGATTGTCGAGGCTGGGTTCCCTGCTGGTGTTGTGAACATGGTGACTGGCTACGGCCACACCGTTGGCACTGCGATCACGGCGCACAACGGGATTGAGATGGTGTCGTTCACTGGTTCGACGTTCACGGGTGGCAAGGTGATGGAGAATGCTGCGAACAGCAACATCAAGGATGTGACTCTCGAGCTCGGTGGCAAGGGACCATGCATTGTCCTCGAGGATGCTGATATCGACAAGGCTGCGAACTGGGCTGCATTCGGTGTCTTGTGAGTTTCTCTTGTCTCTCTTTGCTCAGACAGTGGGACTGACTCTGATCGTCATAGCTGGAGTCAGGGTCAGGTCTGCTGCGCTGGGTCGCGTATCTTCGTGCAGGAGAGCATCTACGAGAAGTTCATCGCACGGTTCACGCAAGTGGTGCGGTCGATCAAGGCTGGTGATCCGTTCGGCGAGTCGATCTGGCACGGACCTCAGGCTTCGCAGCAGCACTTTGACGTGAGTACACTCTTGCTTACGCGCATATAGTCCCGTTGCTGACGACAGTTTTTTTTTCAGCGCATCATGGGCTACATCCAGTCCGGCAAGGATGAGGGTGCGACGGTCGCCGTCGGTGGCAACCGGATCGGCACTGAGGGCTACTTCATCGAGCCCACCGTGTTCACGGACGTCAACCCCGACATGCGGGTGGTCAAGGAGGAGATCTTCGGCCCCGTCGCTGTTGTGCTGAAGTTCAAGGACCAGGCGGACGCGATCCGTCAGGGCAACGACACGGAGTACGGTCTGTCGGCTGCGATCTTCTCGGAGAACATCACGAAGGCGATCGAGACTGCGCACCAGATGCAGGCGGGTATGACGTTCATCAACTGCAATGTGTCGCCTGAGTGCCAGGTGCCATTCGGTGGTATCAAGAAGAGTGGTATTGGTCGTGAGCTCGGCGAGTACGCGCTCCGCAGGTCAGTACCTCTTCATATGCGCAATATGTTTTTATATTCTGACCCGCCTTGTTCTTAGCTACTACACTGTGAAGGCCGTGCACGTCAACCTCGGCCTCGAGATGAACATCGGCTAAACATTGCATGGGCATTTTCGGGTGTTTTGTTAGGATCACGTACCATTAGATGAAGTTATAGAACTGCATATTGTATTTAACGCACACATTCCAATAGAACAGCTACTGTTCATTCTTCACCACGCTATTCTGTGATACGAGAGACCGGGGAGGCGTCTCCTCGAGGTCGACGCGTGTTAGGTGCATGCACCAGAACATTTACGTGGTCTCAATGAACCTACTCAGTGGAATATCGCTGCCTAGGCGCACTACTTCGATGTTGCTGTAGTATTCAGCACGCTGGCGTTCGTGGAACGGCTGTGATAGACGCACTTCCGTTAAGCTCTTTGTGTCTCGCTCGGAACTCGCATACCTGCTCTGAAGTGCACAAGCGCCGCATTTTCAGGTTTTTTTTTGGACAGGAACTCAATGCGACGGATCCAATTTATGAGGCTCAATATCTTTAGCAACCCAGACGAACAGTAAGTCGTTACAAGTGAACCTTGTGGTAATAGCGCGTCGAAATGAAAGGGCTTTACGAGGGCTAATACGATATCCCTTCTATTCATCCCCAAAACGTTCTAGCGCCAGGGCGAGAACATCGGCATCGGCGCTCCATGGGAGTGAGCGCCCACAGAGAAGCCAATGCGACAAGGTCCGCAGCTCTTAGCCGCCCATCGCCCGTCGACGCTTATGTCGCTCCCTCACCGGAACGTCGGCGTAGACAATAAAGGCGACGGCATGCCACTCGGCTTTCTCAAGAACCTTCGTCCAGCCGGTCGTCTGCGTCTCGCGAGTACTATTAGACCAAAGTTGGATGCTTCTTTTCTTGGTTTGACAGACACGCACCTTGAACGGCCTTGGATCATACCATGGTAGGTCGTGGACTATATTATCCCGGTTTGCGAGTCCTTGTTGGTCTTTCCTCGACCCTGCACACCGCGTGTCTCTGCTCTCTTAAGAGCGGCCAAAATACAGCTCACCTTCGTCTACCCTCCTCTCCATCACTCACATCTCGCCATGTCCCGTGCTCTTCCCTCCCCGTACAACCCCGTGGGCATGCCCGCCAACGCCGTCGCCATCGTTTCGCTCGAGCAGCTTAAGGGGTCTCAGGCGACGTTTCCACCGAAGCGAATCGACCTCGCGTCAAGCGAGTGCTGGAGCGCCATCCTAGGCAGAGCGAGCGGTCCTACTCCGTCTGGCGATGCGCCCACCTGCAAACCCAGTAATGGGTTGTTTCCTAGCATTGCTGTTGACAAAGAGGCTGGGAGCCAGTCAGTATATCCCAGGCATGCAGAGCTGGTATTCGACCCAGCGAGAAGTCAGGTGAGTGTCGTCCTTCTATGACATCGAAACATGTGACGAGAAACTTTCGTACTAGGTCATGCTCAGGAACTTGGATAACCACAGGGGTAACATCGTGTTCCGCGGTGTACCCCGTCACAGTGAAGAATTATTCACGGCAATAGAGTACGACGCGGAGACAATGCCCAGGGGCATCGAGGCATATGTGCTTGAGAACCCGGGCGATGAGATGGCGCTCAAGACCGGAGACGTGATCGTACGTGCTTGCCTTCACGGCGACATGGCTAGCGCTGATTGCATGAGTACAGCAACTGGGATACAAGATGACGGAGCCTACATCTAAACAAGCCGTAGGGACTAGTTTCCCCATCTTCGCCCGAGTAAGTTTGACGGTCACGGCGGAAAGTAGGCGCGACTCCATCGAACCGGCCAGAAGAGATTCTATCCTGCTTATCCAGCCGAACCTCTTTATGTAGCTTCTCGTATCGATTGCCATGTAGCCGCGCAACTTATCAGAGGGAAATCGCACATTCATCTTCTCCCTTTGGGCAACCGACTACGAGGCCAATGACTGCGGCCGAAAACCGTAAACGCCAATGACCTCGGCAGATCACTTCCGAAAGCCACCGCGAGATTGCTGTACCTTGCAGAACCTCTTTCTTGATGATAGAAACGAAAGGAAGGAAATAGAAGACGGCAGAAAGGACTTCACGACATCCCTTGCACCCATTGGTACGAGGGGTACACTCGTGACATTTAATCGACGTTGAAAAGAACTCAGTGCTTTGAAGCACCCCGAGCGATAGGACGCGTTAGTTTCGATTGGCGGGTCTAACTTTACTTGAAGATGGCACTCCGTAGGTCAGCGAGATTCACTCCGGTTCGATATAGATAATTCTTGTTCTATAAGCCTGGATGCAGGACACGCTAGAGGAGCGCCTTGTGACTGGTACCATATCGCCGTAATAAAAAGCCTGCCATATCCTCCGCTGCGGACAAGGCGCATACCGTCAGCACCATGAAAAGCGAAGGGATCCTGAATTAGCTCACCAAGCTCCAATGGCCGCTCCTGAACGATCTATAATGGCAGGGGCTCTCAGTGAATCTGGCTGCAGAGAGTATGATCGGACACATACGAGATGCCCCGCTCCCTTGATATCTACGTTCGAAGCATTCGCCAGCCGAAGCCACGCGCGCACAGCAAATGCCTCGGGACCTCCGAGCCTACAGACCAGCGCAACTCAAAAGTCAGCATCCGGCAACAGATGATCCATCCCGAAAGACAAGCAGACAGCGTACCCGTTCGACGTCACTTCGCCCCTGTCCTTGTCCGGCGCGACGAATCTCAGCTCGATGCGCTCATCCAGCTCGCGGAGCTGCTCCCATGCCTCGGCGGCGACACGCACGTTGAGAAAGAGCACGGCTTCGTGCATGCCCGACATCTTGAGGCTTACGCCGCCTTCCTTCGCCGAGGGGGCGGTTCCGTACTCGACATAGGCAGCGAGGACGTCGGGGTGCCATATGCTGAAAAACGGGGATTGTTTGAGGAGCTTGTGGGCTTCTTCTCTAGGGGTACGAGCGGGTGTATGGTGAGTACACGTATATAGACAAAGAACTTGAAGAGGGAGAGATACCGAGTTGGCCAGTTGGTACGGCGCGAAATGGCCCCCGTCACAGTGCCCGTGTTGAACACGGGGTTGAACTTGGTGTTCTGGATGATGACAGGATCGATGAGGATCAGAGCGTCGAACAGGGCAGGGAACTCCTTGGCGACAAGTGTGCTGAAAGGAACGCGTTTCAGTTACAGTGATATACGCAAGTGGTAGGGCTTACGATGTGGCCCCTCCGAACGAGTGCCCGGCAACGACAAGAGTACGCCTTGATAATCCTGACTCTTTACGGGACCTGGTGACCTGTTCGCTCAGACGCGGAAGGTGTGTCGAGAGTTCTGCGTCTGCGCCATCTGGGAGATATGAGAGGAAGAACTGTGCCATATCCCGCGCATTGTCCGCCCAGTCGACTTCATCGCGTCAAACAGTCAAGTTCGCACCATGTGGAAAGGGATAAGATGATCACTCACACAGTCCGCCGAGGACTCCGTCGTTGAGCAGGCCCGAGTCTCCATGCTGCGCTGCCTCCCACGCCCATACCTCGTCGATGAGTTCTCCAGCTGGGCTCGTCAGTAATGCACGTAGCGCAACCTCCCATGTCTAAAGCAGCAGCGAAGTGAGATCAATCGCATCTGGAGAATGACACAATATATGCACCTCCTTCGGGAAACCGTTCGCATGGGCCAAGAACAAAGTCAGACTCTTGCCCTCCTTCCCTCTCCTCACCAGTCTCTTCCTCCTGAACCGATTGATCACACACCACACCACATCCTTCTCGCCCTGAGTACCTTGTGCGACCTGTTCCCCACGCTCGTGCCTCGCCTGCAAGCCTATCATCTCCATCGTGAGCTCCTTCACGCGCCCCTTGCGCTCTGCTGAGTTTCCCGTGAAAGGCGGCGACGTCGGGAGTGGGACGTCGGGGGAGACACGCGGGTATGCGCCCGGAACGACATGCGTGGTAAGGGTAAATTCATCCGTGAAGGTTGGATCGCGCGGTGGTGAAGGAAGTTGTGGGAATATGGTTGATTTCGAGGAGAGGGCCGGGTGGGGTAGGAGAGATAGCCATGGGCGCGGGTGAACCGGGACGAAAGTTGGTGTCGGGGTGTATGGGTAGGCGTTAGGAGGTGGTGGTGGTGGAAGAATCATTCTGTCACACGTTCTCAGGATCATGAAGTCCATCCAAGTGAAAAGTGATTATGAGTGGGTGCATACCTTCGTCCCGCTCGCTAGGCCAGCTGGTTGCGTGTAGGAGCGTGCAGAAGAGCACACTGGCAATGCTGGCCGGTCGCTGTCGCATGATTAGATGCGGGGACCGGGGAAGCCGGGGTGGTCGACGATGCTCCTCACACGCTCACAACTCGACTCGCAACCTTGTCTTACATATGTAGTTTGATATGCTAACCCGGATCCCTTGACATGACTTAGCTTCTAGCACGTTCAACTGGCAGCGGGCCTCTTGTCATGTACCTCCACGCATATCTCCCCCACTTTCCATCCCCATCCTTCCTCACTGAGCCCTCAAGGCCTCATAAGCGCCGAGCCAACGTCCTTGCCCGCGCACCTCGAGGCCATCTCTTGATGTCCACCATCTGAGCAATCACTCTTAGAGAACGCACCTCCCAACATCTCTCTGATCTCTAAGGTTTCATCACGATGGTCCTAATCTGAAGATTAAACAAGTCGTTCCAGCGAGAGCGGAAACTTCATGTTAGCATTACGACGGTGGCGGTGCTGAAAGAGATGGTACAGGGGTTTTACAAAAAGACGCATTTCCTCAGGCTCCTAGCTCAGCGGAGGCTAATCTCAATTCGTGGAGGGTACTCTCACCCTTCCTCATTCCATGATTGCCTCGTTATGATAGCATTTTCCACAGTATCAGATTAATCAAAACCATGTCAGCTCCAGATTCAACCTCCCAATCAAAGGCTATCATCACGCCGAGCACTATATTTTCTGGGCATATCCACGGGCGCAACATGTTCACCTGTATCAATGCTGGCCCCGCACGCCGGGAAGGGGGAAGCAAATTTCCGGAAAACCTAAACTCGATCTGAACTATTGAACCGAGCTGGCGGCACTGGAACGTCGCGAAGGTGAAATCACGGCACCGCATACATCAGCATGGTGTGGAGTCTTCCTGCGCGATATACAGAGGCATAATAGCTTCTTTCCCGGTCAAAGATGATATAACAGAGTCACGAGTGTATGTAACGTGCGGCCAATTTAGAGTAGTCGCGCAAGTTCCTGTGTCTGGAATGGTAGAACATCGTTGAGATGCCTTGGTTCAAGTAAGTTGGCGATCCGCGGAGGCCGTAACTTTCGGAGGAGGGTTGCTAACACGAGCTGCTGCACTAGCACAAATATTGAGACCAGTGTAGTCGTAGGCACTGCCATTTTCTCATCCCTAGAGGCATATAATTGTATTGACAGCTGGGCTTATACGATAGCCTTGTTCCCCGGAAGATGACTATGCTTCACAAGGCACAAACGGACATGACGGGCACACGCAGTATGACCCGACAGAGCAAACAATCGATTTTTATTTCATTCAGGGATCGTCAGAATACAGTACAGGTCTACCAGCAAATAAAAGAACACAACGTGGCAACAAGCGGCTGAGCAAGCGATAGAAATGCTTAGTGAAAACCGTTCATACGCACCGATCAAGAGCATTAGAACATCGATCGAGGACCAAAAGGTCCTTCACGCGGCCTGGCGGTACCGACTCTGACGGAGTTGGCCCGCACTGAGTCGTTCGGGTTTTCGAGGATCGAAACGCGCCAATATAACGCCCACACAGCCCAAGCCATCAACCCTTCAAAAGCAAAGAAGCAGCACATTCACTGGACAGGGTTGGCCACGCGATCGACGGCGACCTGCGCACCGACGACAACGACCTGCGCTGCGCTCTCGTAGTGCACACAAAGCGATGAAAAGTCAGGGGGCGTAGTAGACACCGCTCGTACTAATGAAATCACTAACCCGGGCAATATCCGTACAGCCCTGTGAGGATCAAGCAAGTGAGGAGGACGCATGCAATGAGCCAAGGTTTCGCAAAGCTCTGGTTTGGCGCCTTAGTGAAGCTTCCGCGCATTCCGCGTGCTAACTTAGTACTTCCCACTGTGGCGACCCCGAAACTGTCGCCCACTTCCTCCTTCGATGCCCACAGTATAGGGTCCAACGCGACCGCTTAGCCAGTCACTTCCGTTGGCGCCGTCTGCCTCCGATGGGTGACCTACTCGGGAACCCAGTGTACCAACGACACCTCCTAGACTTTGTCCGCGACACCGGTCGCTTCGCCTCCACGGCTCGTCCTCCAGCCAACGGTCTGCCCCGCCTGCCTGCCTAATCCCACCTGCCCACACGTCAGGTACGTCTGCATCTTACTCATACCTTAGTCTCTGTTATCGTCTCTTCATTTCTTTATTCCCCCTTTCCACCATGCCCTGCCGCTTTGAACTAAAACATGACCACGCTCAAAAACGAACACCACACGACAAGCACATAGCCCTCTTCATTTCTCCATTTCTTTCTTTCTTTCTTTACCAATAACACAACGACAACAAACAATGACTACCGAACACATACCACGACTTCTACACGTCTCGAACCCACTTCTCCTCCTATCCTCATTTCCTCACTTTCTCTCCTCATTCCCCCCTCGCACATTGGCTATACCATAAAACCGTCATATCATACAATACGAACACAGCCCATAATACTCCCACTCTACCCTTTCTGCCCTTACAGGGCCATTGCTTTCAGTCTCACACCCCGGTGGCCCGGACCCTTGATTACCCGCACGATACTTAGATACTCAACTAGTCTACCATAGGGCGAAGCCCTGCAAGACAATAAACTCACTCTGATTTTAAAAAAAACTTAGTACTTAAGACCGAGAGGCTGAGAGGAAGAGTTGACGGAGAATGACGGAAAAGTGCATAAACTGAGAGAAGGCTCTGGTGATGTCCTGCGTAAATTACACCAAGGAGCTAACTACGCCCATCAAGTTTGGAGGACGAGAGCAAGAGCACGATGACCGATCGAGGAATCTGCACAATTGAATGGCAGCAGCGACGTAGGCGGCACAGGGTGGAAGACAAGGGTCGGCATCTGTAGACGACGTGGCTGTTGAGGCGATGCGCACTCACCTTGAGAACCTGTACATGTTTGAACCGCGAGACAGCAGTCCCTGTAGTCCGTACAAAATGAATTAATGATGATGGGCGTCGGGAGCACGAAACCAAGTTCTCAGCGGGCTCGGCGGGCTTTCGGTCGGGGTTGAAAAAAGTGCCGAGCTCCGGTGCCGAACGCTTTGTCGCGCACGATAACGAGACAGTGATGTGTAGACGTGGATTCGCTGACACCAACGCCCAGCACGCACCGCTTCATAATGCAAGATGACTTACCCCTCACACTAACGTTATTCCTCGAAGGTCGCTAAAATACGCCGCCATATTTTCCGTGAGCATCGTTCTCTACAGCTTGACTCAGTATCTCTCTGAGGTGTACATGGGTGCAAGAGGTGCAAGGCGCCGCGGTCGCATCATCAGACGAACTGTCATACTTTTGTGGAAAAAACACGAGCTTCATAAGTAGACCGATATATTTCCTCCAACGCACATCTAACAAAGATTTTGTTTGTCATAATGGATGGCATCCTGTGGCATCCATCCCCCTCCACTCGATTGAGATTGAACCGCATGATACGACGAACATTTCTTGATCGTCATCACTCCAACCCGCCATAACAAACTTAGGTTCATATCACAAGCTTGTAGACAGTGCCCGTTTCAATCAATGGAGAATGTTTGCGAGAAACGACTGGTGTTCTACGGTGCCGGACGAAACGGTTGGTCTACTGGTGAAAAGACCTTCGAAGGCGCACACTCAAGAGACGGTCAGTAAATATCAATGACAACGTCAACCTTGGGGTTGTTTGTGACTTCCGACGACAGAAGTCTCCGCATCGTTTTGCCTTTTGAATGAACCAAAGAGTTATATTTAATCACCACACGGGAAAGTCGTCTGTGTCGCTCATATCTGGGCTCACCGGTGCCTCCTCTGTTGTTCATGTCAATTCCAAATTTCGGGAATGCACATTTGGAGGGGCACGATTACTACCAAGTTCTGCCAGAAAATTTCAGGCTTCTCGCTATGTGATTTTTTAGGCCAAGGAATGCTTATGTATTATTCAATGCAGTGATTCTGCGAAGACAAGTACATTACGTTCCGAAGCGTGGAGTGCGCCTACGCCGCAGGGCGCTCGCACCATGCAAGAATTTGTCAGAAAATGAAACGTGGCTGTGAGTGCCGGGACCGGAAGCATGCTATGTGCTTCTGACGTTGGACGTTACGGAGGGCATTAATCTGCAATGCCTGGACGGATATTACATCCCTCTTTATTCCGACGTACCTTGAGCCCGAGTAAGAATTGGTCAAGACGGAGCGGCTGTTTCGGGACCCTGGCACGGTGAGCTCCGTTCGCTTGTTGACAGATGTAGACACACGACGGGCTCTCAAGCCACAATCAATAACTTGTGCTCGTGTAGCCTCGAGTCATATGTAAATCTTCGGCCTTCTTATTTTTGCTTCCTGTCTGCTAATGATTCGCGTGTGGATGATGGTCATAAGAAACTCTAGGATAGTCTAGAATGACAATAACTTAAGGCACGGTGTGTCCACATCGTAATGAAGTGTGGTAGCCCTTAGTGCGGATCGTTAAGAGCAGCTTAGGGCCAACCAACGCTGTGATCACTGAACGTTCCTATTCATTCTCCGGCGCGACTTCCGATACTCAATATTAGTCATAGCAACGCAGGTTGGATACTTCGAAGACAAAACTGCTTAGATCGTGAAAGCTGCTCCCCTTGGACGATTGAATCGCGGGAGAGAGCGGGGGAGACGATGATGTATATCACGGTGAGCACACCCCATTTCCCCATGAATGATGAAAGGGCCAACCATGCTTTGGGGATCATCTGCCAATGGGCTCGTGAGATAGTGGGCTGGCTCATCCCGAGTATTATGTATCCTGTACAGTGAGCTGCGGCCAGCTTTATTCACGAGGAAGATGTGTCTTGCGTTGGATCAATGAATGTCATGAAGTGGAGTGGCTCACAGGTAAAGCAGGTATTGATTGACACACACACACACATTTCAAACTGTGAAGGGCGTGATAGGTAATGAGCACAGAGCAAGTACTTATGGCCTGCAAAAGCCTGAAGTTCCGAACGCTCAACCACGAGCAGAAGCGTGCCGCCGGGCTTCTTACCTAGACCCGCCTGCCCGCAAGACAAATGGCCAAGGAAAGAGCGCGGCAGGTTCCAATCGTTCATCTTGCGTTGATGTCGAGTTCTCTTTCCGAGTCGCTGCATAAGTAACCCACATTGACATAACCGCGGTTGATGACGGAAGGTCTCTTATGATCCAATCGAGATCATTCCGATCCTGAACGTTGACGGCTGTCAGAACGCTTCTAATGAGACCGCGGCCGCCGGCCATAGGCCGGACGTTCTTGCCTTTTTGTTTGCCATGCCCGCAATGGCTGCCAGCCGCCGCCTTCGTGTTCGCAGAACCTGTGCAGGCAACTTGTCTGAGATGCCTTGTTCTTGCTCGTTTGTCGGAGCGTGTCACGAAGCGTTGCAAGGTGTCTGCCTTGTTTGCAACGAGAATGTGGATGCAATAGTAGCCGCACGGGTGCAGATTAATTGGCCAAGCAACAAGAAGCACCAACAAGGCTAATGTTCGGGTTCAGAATCAAGTAGCTTACCTAGTTTGGAAGAACATAACACTGTAACCTTCCATAACAACTTCGCGTTTTGATGTTCTCAAGCACTGGCTGCAGTATGCGGCTAAGTGGCTCTAGGTAGTAACAGCAGAAATCGAACAAGCCAAGACCAAAGTGCTGGCCATGAAACCAGAGCATGTGCGTTGCTCGATGGGTTCTTGCAAAAAGGAGTTCGCGAACACCCTGCCAGGCTTCTGAAAACGTTCCAAGGTGTTCCTCAGTGGCCCAGCCGCTGTCGTCACTCGGTACCCAAGCATACACATTGAGCTTACCGAGTCCAATGCCGCACCGCCAGCGTTTGCGTTCTTTTGTCTCCGTCTGTACATTCACTCGCCTGACATTGGCGACCGGCCGATTCTCGCTTTGTAGCTCGCGTTGCCAGGCTCGTTTGCAACAATTCAAACCGACTCGTCCTCGGGTTTGGCAGTCTGGCACGTCTGGCCCGTCGGTCAATATACGGCAGCACAGGTTTCGGGAGGGGATGTCGACATGTAAACAGGCTCCACCACCAAGAGCCACCGAGTCGAGGGCTGCAAAGAGAACAAAAATTTGTCGTTCGCAGGCGGATGTGTACCTCTGGCAAGGCGTGTGAGTGGGTCGGCGTGTGTGTCCCGCAACAAGGCAACAGGCCAACAAGCAAATTGAACTCCCATCACAAGCACGATCAAGAGCCGCTTCCCCTATTTGGAGGTGACATTTCGCCTCGACGAGCCCCCTCCCGACCCTCGTCAACATGCAGAACGCCGGATTGATCTGTCCAGCCCCAGCATCATATTTAGTCTTTCATGTAGCCTCGTCGTTACCTGCCTTTCACCCTCCTTTTCCTTCCTAGTCTCTCCTCCGACAATTTCTCTTGTTTCAGGTCTGAAACGTTGCTTGAACGCTCTGTTCATTAGCTCTTGTGGCCACCGTGCAACCTTATCCGACATCGACCCACAGTAAGTCCTTCCTCGCGTACATATGTCGCCATGGCTCGCTAACATATCACCCCAGTAACACCTCCGCCATGTCGAAGACGCGTGTTAAAGAGGTCAACCTCACTCTGACCATCCCTCCCCCAATGTCATCTACCACCACCATCCGCATCGACCGTATTATGCCGACGCCACCGGCGAGCGCCCACCACACACCTTCGAGTAGTCTTGCATCCTCTTCTTCCACTCCCGTCGGCCCCGTGCTTTCGCGTGTCTCTTCTGCTTCGAGTCTCGCCAGCAACGGTCGGCGGCGGCCTCTGCCTCCTCCGCCCTCGGGAAAGAGCTCGCCTATACCCCAGGCTTCCCCACGTCCTCTCCCCACCCCTCCTATCTCAGGCAACAGCACCCCCGCTTTTTCGAGGCAGTCTTCCCATTCGCCAACCAACTCTATTTCGAGTAGGTCAAGTACCGCCAGCTCGATTCCCGAAAACTATAGCCCCTCTGCATCGAGCTCTAGCCGGCCAAGCACATCTGCTTCTGGCTCGAGCAAGTGCAGCAGGTCCGCCACCGCCGACTCGTTCGGCGCATCGTCGTCTAAGCCCCAGCACCGCCAACAACAACCTCAGCACCAGCTTAGCCCGTTGAGTATCCCCTTCCCCGTCAGAGCCCGCACGGTCTCCACGACGTCCAAGTTCTCGACGTCGACATCGCTCTCGCTCGCTATCCCGCCAACGCCACTAACGCCTTTGACGCCACCTCCCCCCTCACCGTTCACGACGAAGCGGAGGCGGCTCTCAAAGCTCCGGCGGCACTTTGGCGACGTGCCCCCGATCGAGCTCGTCTTTCCCGCCGGTAACCCGCCGAATGCCAAGTCTGCCGAGCTCGAGAAGATGAACCTCCGCCGGTTCAAGGACTCGCTCATCACTGTCGCGCGCACGATCGAGGTCGACACGCCCGAGGGGCCCGAGTCCGATGAGGACGAGGATGCGGTGGTCTGTCTCGAGGACGGAAAGTGCACGTTCGGCGAGGACGACGAAAGCAGCTGCGACAAGGACATCGATGCGATTATTCAGGAGCAGCTGTCTGGGAGGATCCGGGGTGTGCCCGTAGAGGATGAGGAGAAGTTCAAGTACATGGTGAGACGCTTCAGCAAGAAGTGGGTCACCGAGAAGAGTGGGAGGCGTCTCACGACGGATGACTACAGCGCGGTCCTGAAGAAGCTTCGGGAGCTCTGAGTACGGCGTACCGCACTTCCTTTTCTTCTTTCTTTTCTTCTCTCTGCATCATCCCTTGGGTATCTCTCATCCATCCTACGCATTTTTTTGGTCCGCTTGCATCTCATCGACGTCAACAAAAGCTCATAAGCTGTTATATCTGTACTAAATACCTGTTTTTTACTGCATGAGTTCCGTTTTTACTTCCATTATCTCAGCCAGCCTTTTTCAGACTGCCATAAACTTTCGTTAAGACTTGGCGCTCCCGCACAGCAGTACTGGTTCTGTGCATATATATCTTACTCCCTCATACGATATATAATTATTCTCCCAGCTCCGTACATTATAAGGACATTCAGCCAGTATCCTCGTGGGTTTTCATCTCATTCTCGTCACACTCGTTGTTCCCGCCTACAAAGCACGTAGCACGTACCTAGCCCCACACTTTCTCTGGCAAATGCAGTTGCTGAAGCTTGTCAGTTTCGCCCCCGTCCCGTCCATTCCTGAGGCATGAGTTCCGATCACAGGCGGTGCCGACGTCACCACTGTAGTGGTGCCTGAGCTGGCACGACGAGGCAAGTTTGCGGGCTTGGGCAAGCGTTTAATATCGGAACGCCACGGCCTACCATCCAGACCCACACTTGACCTTGAGATCGAGCGGATCACTTGAAGGCACGCAGTTTAACTCGGGGCAAGTGCATAGCATCCCAGGTACGAGCCAGCCCTTAGTACAACTCGCGCTCAGCTCCGATTTACTCTCGGACCTGACACGGATGTATACTTTGTTCCGATCTGTTCTGCGGGACAAAAGAAAAAGAGGAAACTGACTCGCTCTAGCACGTTTCGTCTTCCCAAGGCGTCGTTACGGGTCCGGGGCGGATCTGCCCTCCCAGTCGCCCACCCACACAATCGTATGAAATCACACGACACGTTATCACCGATCAACAAAATCAAGTCTCAACATCAAGGGGAGAGGGGAGGGGCCAAAAAATGATCTGAGCTGAGACACAAGGGATCAGAAATTTTACAGGGCGCCCAGTCACTGAGAGTTTGGGACCTTGAGAGGCTTGAGGAGCGGGGATCTCGGATTGACAACTAGGTTCTCCCCGCGAAAGTTTCTGCAAAGTTCTCTAACACCCCATTTCGGAGCGTCTGCCGTGAACTTGGAAATGGTAGCCATTAGAGCGGCCAAGCACAAACACAGCTACTTAGAAGGTGGGCGCAGAGTTAGACTTAGGTAAAAGTTACGGTACAGCGGACGGGACAGCGACGACAGGTTTGCGATGCACAATGCAGGGAGGTCGTAAGTTGAGTAGCTAGCTAGCACAGGCGGTGATGCGGATTCAGCAGGATGTAGAAGAGGGGTATTATGTACGAGCGCAGAAGAAGAAATATAAGACAACCATGAACAAAGACCCAAGAAAAGAAAAAAGGTCACAGAAGCAACAAGCCAAAGCAGCCGGACGTGCCAAGGAGCGCGAAGACGAATAATAATAATGTTACGAGTAATGGAGTCTAGTTGAGGTAGCCACGGCATTTGGCGGAGCCGCACAGACAAGGGATCTTGTCCTGCTCGATCGGGAAGTGGTAGTCTGTCGATAAATTTTGATCAGCATGTCGTTTGGCGACCAAGCCAGCAAAGTGAACACACCGTAGGTGATCTCGTCGCCCAACTCGATATCCTGCTTTGCGTAGATCACAATCTTCTTCTCCCCGCTGATCGTGATGATCCGCGCCGTGCAGTTAGGATCGCACGAGTGGTTGATCAGCCGACTACATACAAGCAAACATTCGTGAGCAAGAAAGAATAAACTGAAAAAAGACAACAGTACGCACCCGAGATTGCCCTTCTTCGTCGCATCGACCACAAGATCCTCGTCGATGCGGAACAAATAGCTGCTCCCGATACCCTGGCGCTCGTACGCCTTCTCGCGCTTGTCCGCGACCTGCGCGCGCACCACCTCCCCAACATACTCGATCACCATCTCGCCCCTTGAGACCCGCTCCATCGCGTACAGCCCCCAGTCGTGGATCGGCGAGCGCGCGAACCGCAGGTGCTTCTTGCGCGTCTGCAGCTGGTTGAACTTGACATTGAGGTCCGCCGCAGACGTCTCGCCCATCGAGAGCGCGACGGCGCGCTGCAGCTGCTGTGCCTCCTCGCGCCCCTGCTGGCGCCGCCGCGCGTTCGCACGGTTCGATCGCGAGGAGGTGACGTGCGTTGCTGGTGCGACGGTGGTGGCGGTGGCAGAGTCTTCGACGGTGTTCGTGCGCGGAGCGTACTGCGCAACATAGGCGGCCTTCTCGATGTGCGAGATCTTGTAGTACCCTTCGGTCCGCGCAGAGCCAGTGAGATGCTTCCTGGCCGACGACGCTGGCTCCAGCTCTGCTTCCAGCTCCGGTTCTGGAACAGGAATCTCGCCAGAGATAGCGAGCTTCGCAAAGTACAGGTCTTCGTCGTCCTCGCATATGCCCAGCGCGAATAGGTCGGGCGGAGGCGATGGCTCGCGACGGGCCTTGCGCACCGGCGAGATCGAACGCGAGAACGTAGGCGACACGTGGATATCTGTTGTCGCTGGAGCCTCGAACCCCACATCCATAGCAGTCACCGCCTCCTCCACAGCTGCATCCTTGCGTCCCTTCTTCTTCGCCGCTGCCTTCTTCTTCGCGGCTTTCTTGGGCTTCTCCTCGACGATGGCTGGGACGTCGACCTTGACCTTCTTCCGCAATGGCTCGTCATCCTCTTCGTCGTCATCCGAAACGGGTCGTTTCCGGTCCTCAATAGCGGCGATGACGATAGAAGTCGGCTCGGGCGTGAGCGGCTCCTCGTCTTCGGACTCGATCTCGTCCAAAACGACGCCACCCCTACGCAGCTTGGTGTCGATGACGGTCTTCTTCTGCTTCTTCTTCGGCGGCGCATCCTCCTCATCGATCTGCATATCCTCGTCGTCCAGCGGTGCTGGCGTCGCCTCTGGCTCCTCAGGCGCAGGCGTCAGCGTTATCACCGTCGTCGTCTCAACAGGGACCTTCGGTGCCTCCCGCTGGCGCTTGCGGAACGTCAAGCCCTTCAAGCCCTTCTTCTCCTGCGTGTGCTCCGCCGCGTCCTGCCCTTCCTTCCCTCCCTGCGCGCGCTCCTCCTGCAGTCTCGCCTTCTCCCGCACATACGTCTTGCGCACCAGCGGCCCAACAACGCGATCCGTAATATCCTTCTCCAGCAGCGCCCTCAGCTCGCTCTCCACCATCCTCGCAGCCTCCTCCAGCATCTCCTCCCTCGTCCAGCTCGCCTTGCCCACAGCAGGCGCCGGCGTAACCTGCGACGGCGGCTGCCCCACAACCAGCCCCACCGCCTGATGCACAAGCGTCGGCGCGCCCGACCCGCCAAGCACACGCGACGCACGGCGCGCCGTGTCCGCTCCATCGCTGAACGTCACGTACCACGCATGGCGGTCGCGCAGCACCCGGTCGACGGCAAACTCCGCAAAGAACTTGCGCACGTCGTCCTCGCGCACGGATCCGGGCCCGCCGTTGAGCTCGAGCTTGATGTGCTCCTTGCCGTTGCGCGCGAGCGCCTCGAGCACCGCTGCGTCCTGCTCGCGCTGCTGCTGCTGCCGCGCGGCTTTCCCGCCTGGCCGGCGCGAGATGGGCGACGGGGAGCGCGAGGGCGAGCGCACGCCGGCGCGGTGGCGGTTTCCGAGCGGGCGGGCGTGGATGGGCGTGGACGAGGACGATTTGGTGCGGAGGAGGTCGGTGGGGTCGTGAAGTGCGGACTGGGCGTCGTCGACGACAGCGTTTTTACGTGCCATCATCATCACGGGCGGGGGCCGCTCCTTGATGCGCATGACGGGGCGGTCGTGAAGACGGTCCCGCTCCCTGCCCCTCTCCCTATCCCTTTCCGCGTCCTTATCCCTCCCGTCCCTCATCCGTTCTCGCTCCCTCTCCCGTTCTCGTTCCCGATAGCTCGGTCGATGGGGTGGCGTCTGCCCAGTCCTTGGCTTCGCAGGCAGCGGGTGCATTCCGGGCCGCAGCGGAGGAGCGACCGTCGGACGCGTCTGCTGAGGCGTCTGCGACGACGAACTCGGCGCAGGCACAGGCGTAGCCGGGAGACCATCACGGCCAGCACCAACACCACCAGCCATACCCTTCGCGCGCCGCTCCCTCTCCTCCCTGTCCCTCTTCTTCCTATCCGCGATCTCCTTCAGCACCGCCTTCAGCCGCAAACCCTCTCCGTCGAAGACGATCTTGAGCTCTTCGCCCTCGAGCGCACCCGACACTGCACGCAGCTTCTTCCCGTCCATGCGCTCGACGCAGCGCTTGGCCTCTTCGTTCGTTTGATACTTGATCGTCGCGATGGGCAGCGACATGCCCGTCTCCATATCAAGCGGCCGGTCACACGACAGCACCGAGCCGTGCACCGCGAACTGCTGTCGGAGGTGCGGTATTGGAATCAAAGGGGGCACGTTCATAACGAGCACGGCGGTAGGCGGAGGAGGGCCGCACGAGTTAGAATCGTACTATAATAACATCAATAAAATCAAATGAGTATTCACAGAAAAACCAAACATAAAACAGCATCTGCGCACCTCATACAGAACCTCATAATAATTTTCTCGCACCGGCTTCTGCTTCCACGCCGCCGCCCTTCTCGGATCGCTCGGCACGCACTCCTCCTCTCCCTCGAACGTCTCGCCCTCATACCGAATAAGAAGTTCCTTGCCCTTCGCTTTGCCCTTGATGCGGGGATCCGAGACGTTGGGCCCAGGCGGGTGCGAGACGCGCACTTTCTCGATGAGCTCGCGAAATCGGCCGTCACGGTCCTTGTCTGTCGCGTAATCGTAGAGCACCTTGAAGTTCTTCCCTTGGGGATATTCGGACCGCTCGGGAGGCCATGACGGGAGGGGTGGAAGAGAATAAAGCTTGGGTGAGGGTGATCGAGGTGGTGGTGGTGGTGGTGGTGGTGGTGGAGATGGTGCTCGTGCGGTGGAGGCAGCAGGGATTGGGGGTAGCTTTGAAGAGGATGGCGTTGGACGCGATGAGGGGCCGGGAGAAGGAGGCCTGCGTGGTGGGGAATGAGCTGGTGGAGGTGGGGGACTTGGTGGACGAGCAGCTGGAGGGGGAGGGGGCGGTGAATCTGGTGGCGGTGGTGGAGGGGGTGATTGAAAGGGTGCTGGTGGTGGAGGCAAAGACGGTCCTGGGCGGTTCATCCGTACTTCGATGCCCACGCGTAAAGTTGGAGGGGGCGGCCCATGTGGTCGCGGTGGTGATGGAGGCGGCGTCGAGGAAGGTGGTGGAGGCGGCGGCGGGTCTGCTGGTGGCGGCGGAGGTAAAGACGAGGGCGGCGGGGGTGGTGGAGGCGGAGGATGCGACGGAGGAGGTGGAGGTGGTGGATGTGATGGAGGCGGGGGTGGTGGAGGATGTGACGGCGGCGGAGGGGGAGGGGGAGGAGCGTCTTCGGGTGGCGGTGGAGGCGGAGGCGGTTCAGATGGAGGCTCTGGGGGTGGCGGTCGCATTTCGGATTGGAAAGATTTTCGATTCGAGGGAAAAGAAAACTTGACAGGCTGGTGAGGCTTGACGCCACCGTCCAAGCTCGTCGCCGTCGCTGTCGATACGCCTGACGAAGATAGGGCAGACTGTCGCGTGGAAAGGCCATCGGAGCCATGTGAGTTAGGGTGCAGCGACCGAAACTGTGAAACAAGCGCGTGAGCTCAGCTATCCGAAAGCGCGCTCGCACGAAGGCCGAAGAAGGAAGGACGGAGCGGATACTCACAGCAGACGAACTTGACCAGGCTGGGTCGACCTGCTTGTCTCTAAGGACTGATCGTCCGTTGACGCCGTTCGGAACGATGGGCGTGCTGGTTGTGACAGACCCAGTTGTGGGATGGAGTGTGTGACCGTTCACGTAACTCTTCTGGGCGAGTTTGTCTGCTCGGGGTTGAGTGGGCACACCGTTGAGCATACGAGGCCCAGTGGGTGGTGGAGCGCCAATTTTACTGTTGGAAGGCCCGGCAGCCGAGGAAGAGAGCCCATTCGGGGGCTGGGAGACGGGGTGTGATGGAAGATGGGCGGCGTTGAGCAGCGCTCGCGGCCCTCGCGGAGGGGCCTTTCCCGACATTTTTCACCAGCTGCTCGAACACACGTCGAGTGAAGGCCAGTGCGACGAGATGAGGGGGTGATGTGGGCCCTTGGATGGGGAGAATGGGGTCTGTGAGATGCGCTCGGTGTTGTGGACGATGGTGAAGAGGCGACAAGGCAAAGCGTGGAACAAACACTGTCCAATTCCAGCCCAACAGGGGAACACACAAACTTCGCCCCCGGACTGCCATCACACCGACCCCATCCCGCCCTGCTCCTCACCTCTACTATCAATCTCGTCCTGATCATTCCACATCTCTATCGCTGAACATCGTTGGAGACGCTCTCAGGCTGTTCTAAGTAGATGTCGTTGTCTCGTGGATTGCAACCTCTCGCCCGCGCACCATGTCTCACATTTCTTGAATACAATAGCTGGCTCGACGACTTACAGTAGGCCATACTTTATCCCCCCTCGTATCCATGAAAACTTGAATATCAAAACCCTATCCTTCCTATCATCTCGCTCTCTTTCCCATCTGTTTGAGTCTACAACCTCTACCCGCCTTCGCCATGCCTTCCTAGCGCTAGGGCGCGTGCTTACCTGAGTCACAAGATTTGGAGACGGTTTGCGGTGCCTGCGATGCTTGCCATTGAACATGAGAGTAACAGGGCTGAAAGCTAATCCACCCCAACTCTCCACCCAGCCTCGAGGCTCCTCGCAGGTTTGTTTGGACGTGTTTGATTTAGACAATGATGCTAGACACGCGTAAATTGGGAGATAGAAACCTCTCTGACTTCCCCTCCTTTGTCGCACCCGTGAATGCATGTCCTAACACCAAAACTCGCTATTAGCTCCTATCCTGGGCTCAGCGTCAGAATCATCCAATGCACCAGACCCTCGTTCGTTGGTAACGATATACACAGTTCAGTGATCGCCGAGGATCGCCGTACCTTGCGGCAGTGCTGGCAGAATGTACTGTGCCTACTTGTGCGCGCTCATTGATCAAAGCCTGTATGTATTTCAGCCACGCCTGGTTGCGTCGATCACACCAAAGCATGCTCATTGACACAGCTATATCTTTTTTTCCATGTGCTCGCGTTACATGCCCGCTATGGTCGGGACATCACCCGGGCATCCGAGTCCTTGTAGGAGACTCTGAATCGTATATGTATTGGAGGACTTGGTTAGTTCAGCTTCTCCATTTCTCCCTTGTTTCGCGTCACTGAGTATTTTGCTGCCATGATTTCCTCAGCCACCCTCCTTACCGCCCTCTTCCTCTCCGCTACCTCTACCGCCACGGTCCTCCCACCCCGCGTCGCCGCTGTTAACCCAGTCGTTAGTGGCACACCCCAAGTTCTGGGCGTCGTGAGCGACCCTACGCTGGACCGAGACTCGTGCGGCTCATCCCTGATCGGCGGGAGAGTACTTTGGGCGTGTCGTGACACAGAGCCCGTCGGATCCGACGGTATCCCCACCCTTCCCGTCATCAGCAGCACCGCCAGCTGGAGCGACCTCGACTCGAGTGGGCTGCCCGTCCTCGACGGGAGCACCTACCCCATGTACGGGAACAACAACGAGGAGCCGTTCTACCCACTGCAGGCCGACGAGTGCGACGACAACTCGGCGGGCGGCTGCAGCGACGGCACGCGCTACGCCATCTGGCCGGACACCCCGCCGCTCGTCACCAACACCGCCGCAGACGGCACCGTCACGGCGTACACGTGGATCCGCAAGGCGCACATCACGGACAGTCTGACGGACCTCGCGCCCGACCCCGACACGTCGCTCTACAAGGTCGTGTACTCCCCCTCCGCAGCACACGACGCGCTGCCCGCCGTCACCATCGTCGACGAGGCGTTCTGGGCCGCCGACGAGCAGGTCCCGTACGGCGCGTACGGCAGCATCGTCTCCGCCGACGGCAGCACCGCGTACCTCTACGGAAAAGGAAGCTCGGGCACCATCGCGCTCGCCAAAGTGCCCGTCGGGAGCATCGAGGACAAGACCCAGTACCAGTTCTACGAGAACGGCAGCTGGACGCCGACCCCGCCGTCGCTCAACGCGAGCGACATCAACGTCCCGAACGCGTCCGCCGGCGGGCAGGGCACGTACTTCTTCTCGCCGCCGTGGGAGCGCTACGTGTGGATCGGGCAGGCGGGGATCAGCGTCTCGGCGGACTTCTTCGTCACGACGGCGCCGGCGCCCGAGGGCCCGTGGGCGGCGCCGGTGCAGTTCTATTCGGCGGAGAACGGGAACGCGACGCTGGGCGCGTATAGTCTGCAGGCGAACCCTGCGCTCGGCGGGTTCGAGGACGGCGCGAACGATGTGTATTTGACGTACACGAAGAACGATGTGATTAATGGTGTGGGCTTTTATAGCACGCCGTTGATCAAGGTGTCCTGGGAGTAAAGTGCCTGTCCGAGGGGAAAGGGATTGGGTGCAGGATGATGTGAGGTGACGTTGGTGGACTCGGGCTCATCGGGGCAGGTATTTACTTATGGGCTTTTCATTGGGCTTGTAGATAGCGTGTGTCTTTCATCATTGCTTTAGGTTTTTGGGTTTCTTGGGATCAATGCACGTTTTAGAGCTTGTTCCGTGGCATAGTACGGCAGCTGTGGAACGTAGTATATATAGCCGTATTCCAAATGGCCATGGTCAAGACTTGCTATGACTGTCGTGCATGTGCCACTGACGATGAGTGGGTGTGGCAAAAAAAAAAAAAATTGACCGACATCTTACAAGTATTCCCTCCCCCCGTGTTTTGACATGCCTCATCGTGACGCTACAGTTCGACCCTTTCTTTATCGAGTTTCTCGTAAGGCTTCGCCGCGTCGGTGCCAGTATATGCGGGATGTTGGAGCGTGAGTCCTTACCATTGTCGCTCTGGTATCCATCCCTGATGTTCCAAAAGCAACACGGCAGAAACGGATACCAGCCCGGCAATGAACGAAAACTCTGAAGAAGATGTGGAGATATGGGTGATGACTCAAGCGACGACCACCGTGGACCGAGGGAGGAGAAGCAAGCAAGCATGAAGTCGAAATCAGCTATTTGATGGGATAACGGACAAAATTGATACCCACCCCGCAAGCTGGCCGCTTGACCCCGGGCCCTGGATCGCGCGGTCCCCCATCGTCGTCCTCGCATCCATCTACTTATCATCGCCTCTCTCGTCCTGCGGCTGCCTCGCGCACCCCGACTTCCCCACCTCCTCTTTTCCCGCACCCGCACACTTTTCCGTTCCTCTCCTGCAAACGGCACCTTGTATATATATATGCGAAAGGCACCGCATCTGCAAACGGCGCCTCGCGCGGCGACCTCAACAGCGGCTTCCTCGACCAGATCCAAGCGCTCTGCTGGATGCAGACGTGCATCGCCAAAGTCGGCGGGGACCGCACGAGGGCGACGATCAACGGCGCGAGAGCGCGGGCGCGTCCGTCTGTCGCGCTGCGCATGACGATCGGTGTCGACGGGCGGCGGGAGGGGCTGGTTGGGCAGGGTTGTTTGGGCAGGGTATTGCGCAGAGCGTGTATCGGACGCAGTTGGCGGGGCCGCGGGCGCTTGTTGTGTGTGCTTTTCGTGCGTTATGTCTTTGCTGAGTGGGAGGGGTGGGGATGTGGGCAGCATCGGTTTGAGTTCTATGCGGAGCAGGCGGGGTGCGGGGGCGCGCGGACGAGGGAGGAGACTGTGGGGTCTTTGGGGAAGGCGGATATGGTGACGCTGGGGAAGGCGCAGGATGCGGCGAACGGGCTGTGGGTCTTCCGCTGTTTGTCGCTCGTTGCTGATCCGATACAACGCAACCCAGCCTGACTCGACTCGGTGTGGTCCTCTGAATCGGCACCAGCAATGGGAGTGGATACAAGCTGTTCGAGCCTGCGCTGGGCTTTCACAGACCACCCGAGCGCGCTGTTCCAGGCCGGGGACTTTGCAAAGGCGCCGCTCATCGTCGGGTGCGCTGCTCCCTTCCTCCCGCCGTTCCCTCCCTTATACGAATCTATGTTTACCTCAGTTCATAACCGTGTCCACACAATCGTGCCCTGCGAACTTATGCAATCAGCGCAACATCCAACGAAACACTCTCAAGCGGAACCGACATCCCCAGCGCGCTCAAGAGCTTCTTCCCCGCGATCACGGACGCAGACGTCGGCGCGATTGTCGCTGCGTACCCCGCCGACGACTTTACGGGTGCGGAACAGGTGATGCAGTTCGCGACGGGCGATGCGGAGTTGCGGTGTGGGGTGCGTTTTTTCCTTGTCTCTTCAATCGCGTTTTCTCCGTTGTCGCATCTCCATTGCTGTGGGAAATTTAAGTTTGGATTCAGCTGACATTGACCATGTGATATGATGCGGAATGCAGAGAGAGGTGATGAGCGGGGCGGCTGCGAAGAGCGAGGTGAAGACGTGGACGTATACGTACAACCAGGCGAACCCAACAGGCGGGTCGGATGCCGCTGGGCATGCTGCTGAGAACTGGATGGTGTTCCGCGGGTCGAACACCGGGTACGCGTCAAGCGCAAGTGTCGCCTGGACACAACAGTGACACTGGCTCGTTCCTTGTGATCCCGATCGTAACGTGAAGGGCGGACGGCACAGTGACAGTCACCCCGCAATCCCCCGTCGAGCTCGCATTCGCAGCGGAGCTGATCGCGTACCGGCTCTCGTTCGTGCGCGCGGGGGACTCGAACGCGTTTAAGCTCGCGATGTCGCCGCCGTGGGATGGGTACGGCGCCGACGGGTCGGGTGGGCAGGCAGTGCGGATAGAGATGCAGCAGGACTCGCGGAACGGCACGAGTGCGTCGGGGAGCTATACGGAGAGGCAGCTGGGGGAGGAGGGTGAGAGGTGTGTGTTGGTGGGTGGGATGGTTGAGGATTTGGAGAATTAGGGAGGTGGGGTGGAGGGAGTTCGAGGGAATATGGGCGGAGGGAACTTGAGGGAGTTTGGAGGAGGATGGGGTGGCAAGCTGAATTGAAGAATCTGTGGTGTCGCGTATTACCCTGGATGTGTCAATCATGCGTTCTCGCGCATTTATTCGTCAAAGTTACTCGCCCGTGACCGTGGCCGCAATATGGCAGTGATTTGACTAGAGATGGGGTGAGCGGTGGACCGCAAGGAGAACGCGGCGATCAGTGGATGAGCCATTCTGCTGACCGTGACCTCAACGAAGCAGGGGGAAATGAACGCCTTCTTAGTACGAGTACGCCGGAAGTTCAGTAGTGCAGCCAGAGAGTTCTAAAGATGGAGTGGGTGCTGAGCCCGTCGCCCTGATCTTCGAGTAATCGCCGAGGGAGGTTAGAGTGGCGATGGTACGCGCGTGAAGGTATGGCAGAAGGATGCAAATGCTTCCCGACGGAGGGGGTGAGTGTGTATTATGAAACGCTGACAATGTGACGGCATTCAAGAGAGCATTTGAGGGACGGAGGACCGACTGGCTGGGCATCGCAGTGGGTTTGTCGTGGAAGAAACGTGATCGCTTCCTGGCACGTATGACTTGTTATAGCAAGGAAGAAAGGATGGTTGCTGTCGATAGGGGATGGACTGTGGTATACCGGCGGCAATGGAGAGCTGGCGGCGGAATCGGCCGGCGTCTGGGAATCTAAGATTGCAATATCGAGCCATAATGATAGCTACAAGCCACATTCCGTCCTCCTCTTCGCTCCCCTTCCACCTCCTCTCCCCTCCATCCATCCATCCCCCCGTTTGTCCCGCTGAGAACGGTTGACTGGGAGCAGAGATGAGCTTGGCCGAGACGGTGTGGTGTGGGCAGCCACAATGTGACTTGTATGTAACGGTGTATGCGTGACGCGTGACGTGTCTGTTGAGTGGGGGTTGGGGGACGGGGAGAGAGGAATCCGCGACGACGTTGAGCGAGAGGCCAGCTGTCCCATCTCCCACTTCCGGGCCAGACCAGCCCGAGCACATCGCCCTTCCCCTTTCTTTATTCTTGTCCCCCCTCTCTTTCTCCCGCATATACTCGACGACTGCGGTGCACGCGGCTTCCCCTCGGCAGCCTGACGACGGCCTCCTCCTGGGACGGCCACACTCACATCCCCGTCCTCTGACACAACACATCAATCCAGACAAGTCAGTTCTCTGTCCCTCTACTACTCCCGTCCCCCGCTCCCCTCCCCGTTCCCCATATCCCGCATATACTCAATTGTCCCCCAGACACGTTTTTCCACAGCCCTGCTGTATTTTTTAACCGCTCGCATCCACCCCACTATCCAGACGCCCTTCTTCCTCCCGTGCGTCCGTCCCCTCTTCCCCTCCTCGTCTCTCCATCCCGTCTAGAACCACGCGTTTTTTTCGCGACACCCTCCCCTCGCTTCGGTCTGGCCCGTGATGACTAACACCGGCGTCTACCCACAGGTGAACCAACGACGAAGACGCTAGGCGTGCATATCTCGCCCCGTCCCCCCGATACCATCGCGCCATGTCGTTTATGGGCGGAGGAGGATCCGGCGGCATGAACATGAACCCCGGTATGAATATGAATATGGGCGGAGGCCAAGGTGCGCGCCGTCCATCCTACACCACGCATTGTTTTCTAATACTAACACGATGCGTGTGCATACAGGTATGAACATGAACGGCATCAACCAAGGCGGCGGAGGCGGCGGAGGATTCATCAATCCCGCCATGCTCGCTGCGTTCAAGCAGCAACAACAACAACAGAACCCCGGCGGGAGCCCGAACCCCAATCCTCCCGGCGGCACTATGGGCTTCTCGCCTGCCCAGCTCCAGGCTATGGGCATGAGCGGCATGGGCAACATCAGCGGTATGGGTGGTATGGGCCAGATGGGCGGTGGCGGCGGCGGCGGAGGGATGGGCGGCATGAGTCAAGGCCAGATGGGCAGCATCAACCCCGCACAACTCTCGCACGCGATGCAGATGCACGGCAGCGGCGGCGGCGGCGGTGGGGGGCAGGGCGGGCAGGGTATTTCCCAGGCACAGATGATGGCACTGCGGCAGGCGCAGATGCGCCAGCAGCAGCAGCAACACCAGCAACACCAGCAGCAGCAGCAGCAACATCAGAACCAGAACCAGAATCAGCAAGGCGGTGGCGCGCAGCACGCGCCGTTCGCTCCCGGTACACCCAGCAATGCGCATCATCATCAGCCTGGATCGTCCATCTCGCCGCAGCAGCTCATGGCTAGCGCCGGCTCCGGCGGCCAGGGCCAGGGTCAAGGCCAAGGCGGGGGCATGGGCGGTGGACTCAATCTCACGCCCGCGCAGCTGCTTCAGCAGCAGCAGACGGGTGGCGCGCAGCATGCTCAGCACGGCCAGGGGTCTATGGGCAGTATGGGCTCGATGGGTCCCATGGGTGGGATGGGCGGGATGGGTCAGGGTATGAGCGGGATGAACATGGGCGGCGGCGGCGGCGGTATGCAGGGTATGGGCCAGGGATCGGCTAGTACCGGTATGGGGATGGGCGGGATGGGAGGGATGGGTGGTATGGGCGGTATGTCGGGGATGGGCGGTATGCAGGGGATGGGAGGTATGGGCGGGATGAACATGGGGATGAATCCCAATTCTGGTGCCTCCGGGATGGGCCATATGGGCGGCTCGTTCGGCGGGATGGGCGGGCAAGGTCAAGGACAGCAAGGGAACCCCGGTCAAGGTCAAGGTCAAGGCGCGCAGGGTGGACAGGGACAAGGACAAGGCATGCCTGGCGGTGGCGGTGGAGGGTTCGCCGGGCTGAACCTCGCGAACCTGCCGCCGCACATCCTGCAGCGGCTGCAGCAGATGAACCCGGTGCAGCAGCAGCAGTTTCTCGCGCACCAGCAGCGGGCGATGATGCAGCAGCGCGAGCAGCAGGCTGCTGCCGCTGCTGCTGCGCTGGCGCAGGCGCAGGGACAAGGACAAGGTACGGTCTTTTTATTTTTATTTTTATTTGCCTTTGTCGGGATCGTGATGTACTGATGCTTTCGTCGTGGGCAGGTCAAGGACAGAGCCAGCAGCAGCAGCAGCACCCCGGTGCGCCGGCTACGCCTGCGCCTGGCCAGCAAGGACAGGGGCAGGGGCAGGGGCAGGGGCAGGGGCAGCCAGGTCGAGCGGGCGCGGGGACACCGCGTCCCCCGCTTATATCGTCGCAGTCGCAGCCGCTTCCCCAATCGCAGCCGCTTCCCCAATCGCAGGCTCAGGCTCAGCAGGGCGCACCGCAGCAGGGAGGAGGGGGAGGCGATCCGCGCCCGTCGTCGCGCGCGATTCAGAGGCCGGGTACGGCGAGCGGGGTGCATCCGTCTTCGGGCGGTGGTGGTGGTGGTGGTGGTGGTGGTGCGATGGGCAGTGTTAATCCGCAGATGAACGTCGGGTCGCCGCAGATGGGCGGGCAGGGGCAGAATCTGAATCCGCGGATGAATATGGGCGGGATGGGCAATATCGGAGGGATGGGCAATGTGGGCGGAGGGATGGGAGGTATGGGAGCGATGGGTGGTGCGATGGGTGGTGCGATGGGCGGGATGGGTGGTATGGCGATGAACATGGGCGCGATGAACATGAACATTAATCCGCAGATGAACATGGGCGGCAATATGGGCGTGCCCGCGCACGCGCACGCGGCGTCGATTTCTGTCCCGTCTACGCCGTCTGCGTCTGCCGGCCCCGGCCCCGGCCCCGGCCCCGTTTCTGCGGCGTCGCCGATGCCGATGCGCGGCGGGATGGGGTCGCCGATGCCGATGCCTGCTTCTGGTGGAGGGGGGACGAATACGAGGCCGTCGTCGAGGGCGCAGAGTGTGAGGCCGCAGAGCAGGCATCCGAGTCAGCCGCTGGCGGGTGTGGGTGGGGCGGTGGTGCATGGTGTGCATTCGCAAGGGCAAGGGCAGGCGCAAGGTCAAGGTCAAGGTCAAGGGCAGATGCAAGGACAAGGACAAGGGCAGGCGCAGCATTCGCCGCTTGTGCAGCAGCATGTTGGGCTTGGTCAGGCGCAGGGTCTGGTTCAAGGACAGGTGCAAGGACAAGCGCAGATGCAGGGACAAGGACAGGGAGGGCAGCAAGCGCCCGGAACGCCTGGGAGCCATCATCCGCAGATGAGCCCTGCCGGGTCGCCCCGGATCGGGGGCGGCATGGGTATGAACATGAACATGAACATGAACATGAACATGGGCATGGGCGGCATGCAGGGGATGAACGGCGCGCCCGGGCACGGTCATGGACATGGCTACGGCGGTCCTGTTCCTGGGCACGGGCCGGGGGCGGGGATGATGGGTCCGCCGGCGATGCCGCAGGGCAGGATGGGGATGGGGCCGCAGCCGGGTATGGGTGGGGTGTCTGGGCAGCAGGGGCATCCTCAGCAGGGGCATCCTCAGCAGCAGCAGCAGGGCCAGCAGCAGAGAGAGAGAGAGAGGTCGGCGAGTGTTGCGCCTGGGCGGGAGCAGGTGCGTGTCTTTCCTCCGCTTTTTTTTTTTTTTTGCGAGCGGATGACTGATTATTTGGTGGTGTGTTGGGTGTGGTTGCGTAGAGCGTCGGCGCGGACATGATGCCCCTGGCTATGGGTATGAACGGCGGTATGCCGTCTATCTCGGCGCCGCCGGGCATGCAGCGCCAGTCGTCGCAGGCGAGTCTTTCGGCGTCGCCTGCGCGGCCTGGGGCGCCTGTGGGTCTGCCCAACGTCAATGCCAATGTTGGTGTCGGTGTGCCCATGAGGAAGGACGGTACTCCTGTCCCCGGCGCGGTGCTCAACGGGATGCCCGGTGCGCATGCGCATGTGCAAGCGGGTGCGGGCGCGGGCGTTGCGGGTGTGAACGGCGCGGCGCAGCAGCAGCAGGGAGGTGGGGGGTCCAAGTTGCCGGCGCATTTGGCGAGCTTGGATCCAGCTGTGACGCGTATTACGTTCGTACCTGTTCCTGCGCCTGGAACCGAGGGCGACGTAGAGGAGGAGAAGGAGATCGATGGCGAAGACGGCAAGAACGAGGACGGCGTCAAGATCGAAGACAAGACCGACGAAGAGGAAGCGAAGAAGAAGAAAGAGGGAGACGATGACCATGATATGGACGCGGCGGACGCGGACGACGAGCAGGAGAAGGGCGAAGCCGATGAAGACGATACCGCCGACTCGAAGAAACCGAAGTCGCAGTCCAAGCTCAAAAAGCAGACCACCAAAAAACCATCCAGCAACCCGATTCCTCCCCTCACAGACACGCAGGTCGCGGAGATGCAGGCGTTCATGGCGAGCGATGGCGCGTACGACGCGCTGCTGCGCGCGCAGCAGGCGCGCATGGCGCAGGAGCTCAAGAGCGCGGGCCCGGCGGCGCGCGGCGCGTGGTGGGAGCGCGAGTACAATGGCGCTGTTATGGCGGGTGTTGCTGCGATGCAGCATCCTGCGCAGAGGAGGCAGCAGCAGCAGGAGAAGTTTGATGTGCGGTATCCGAAGCCGCGGGTTGCGCCTGGGCAGATGGGGCTGAATGGGAGGAAGAAGGGGCCGAAGAGGGAGGGGATTAGGGTGTATGTGTTTTTCATTCTTTGTTGTTTTGGTTGAGGGATGGGACGCTTAATGCGTGTTATAGGCCGGGCAAGATTGCGCTCGAGGATGCGAACAGGCCCGAGCAGCTTGTGCCGATTCGGCTGGAGTTCGATGTGGAGCATCAGAAGTTTAGGGATACGCTCGTTTGGAACTTGAACGGTACGTTTTCTCTGCCGCACCTATATCCCTTCCTCGTTCTAATGGCCTCGTGTGTTCTACAGACCCGGTGATCACTCCGGAACACTTTGCGCAGACGGTCGTCGAGGACTATGCGCTCGCGCAGAGCTACCACGGTCTCATCACCAAATCGATCCAGGAGCAGCTGAGCGACTACAAGGCGCACACGGCCACCCTCGACGCGGAGTATTATTCTTCGGACGCTGTCAAGCCTATTTCTACTGTCTCTTCGGTCCTGCCGCTTGGGGATGTGTTTGATCGGTTCAAGGGCGAAGACGCGGACGGCGAGTGGAATACGTCTGCCCGTGCAGGCCCGAACGGCGTGGCTCGGGATGAAGACGACGGCGAAGACACCAAGGTGGGCTTGTGCGTTGGTAAAGGTGTGCTGGACGACGAAGCTGTGCAGTGGTGGGAGGGCTGGCGGAGGAGGAATAGGGAGCGTGCGGAGGCGCTCGGTGCGGCTGCTGCTGCGCGCAGGGCCAGGAAGCGCCGAAAGGTGATGGGTGTTGTTGATGCTGTCGTGAAGACCGAGGATGAGGGCACGGGCAAGGAGAACGATGTGAAGGTGAAGATTATGAAGGACGATGAGGAGAAGGCGTTGCTGTTGAATGAGATGGAGGTGGATCATGCGGAGGTGCTTGAGGATATGCGGATATTGGTCAAGGTGCGTTTTTTATATATTGTGGTTCGTCGAATCGAATTTCGGAGGCTGATTCGGTCTCGTGGGATATAGCTCGATATTATCGTCGGCTCGATGAAGCTGGATGACCAGTTCGAGTGGGACATCGATAACCTCGATTCGTCACCCGAGCAGTTTGCGGATGTGTATGCGAATGAGCTGGGTCTTGGTGGGGAGTTCAAGTAGGTTTCTTTATATAGGTCTTTGACATGAAACTGATGCAAGGGAATGCAGGACCGCCATCGCGCATGCCATTCGGGAACAAGTCCAAGTATACCAAAAGTCGCTCTTCCTCGTTGGTCACCCATCCGATGGCTCTGCAATCCAGGACGACGATCTTCGCATGTCGTTCCTCCCTTCTCTTGCGTCTGGCGCGCGCACCATGGACCAAGTGTCGTCGTTCACGCCTCTGCTCAACTATCTCAGCGACGGCGAGATCGACCGCAGCGAGAAGGAGCGCGAGCGCGAGATGACGAAGCGGCGGAAGCGCAACACGCGTGGACGGCGTGGTATCACTTTGCCCGATCGCGAGCCGAACAGGACGTACCGCACGCCCGCCATCGGGTTCCCCGAGCTCGACCCGGCGGTCCTCGCTCAGGCTGTCGCCGCGAACGCCCCTACCTCGCGTCGTGCTGCCGCTGCCGCCGCATCAGCCAATATCGCACAGATGGTCGCGAGCGAGAACGGCACACCCATCATGCCTATGCAAACCCAAGCTGCGCAGCCGCTCTCTGCCCAGCTGCCTGCCTCGCAGAAGGACAAGAAGGTGAAGGGGCACTTCAAGGCGCCGTCGTATCCACAGACCCTGCTTCACCCGCGTGCGCATGTCAATGCGCCGACGCCGTCCACTGCCGCAGATGCATCGCTCTTGCCCGCTGGTCCGCCGATGGAGAACGATCCGCCGCCAGCGATGGTGGTGCCTGTGGTGGTGCAGCCGCCCGACAGTCGCACGCTCGCGAGACGTGCCAAGGAGCTCGAAAGGGAGGCGAAGGAGAAGGAGTTCGCCGACGGGCAGCACGCGAATATGATCGATGGCGTGTGGCATTGCTCCAACTGCGGTTGTCCCGATTCAATTGCTGTTGGCAGAAGGAAGGGCCCGCTGGGAGACAAGTCCCAGTGTGGTGATTGTGGTAAGTTCTTTCCTCGTTCAACTACGAAATTAGTGGGTTGCTGATGGCGGCGCGATGTTACAGGGAAGTACTGGCATCGTCATCGTCGTCCTCGACCGGTGGATTACAACACCGATCCTGATTATCACCTGAACGCCAAGCGCGACGGGGAGCCCAAGGCCAATGCAGCGCGTAAGAAGCGTGGACCGCAGTCTCATGCGGTCACCGAAGAACCCGAAACGCCTGTTCGCCCCAAAATAGACACAACACCGTCGTCGCGCTCGCAGCAGCTGGTCGACGCCACCCCAGGACCAGGCGACGACGAGAGGGCCGCTTCGCCAAGCAGCATGTCAAGCGTGTCAGACGCGCCGCTCGCTCAGCAGATGCTCTCCGTCAACGGCGGTGGAGCCGGTCGCGTCAGTCCAGCGACGAGAGGCCGATCTGCGTCGTCGAGACCGCCTGACACGCCCGTGACGCGTTCGAGTGCGGTACGTCTGAATTTGTTTTCTTGAGTAAATGGACATACGAGGGAGACTGATGACAAAGGGATGGCGCAGACGCCAGCGTGGCTGACGAGCGCGATACGGAGTATGCAGGCCAAGTGGCCGGACGACAAGTTCGAGGCGATATTGCGCAAGCCGAGCGCCAAGGCCGGGACGCCTGCCGAGTGGAGGATCAAGTGTCTGGATTGTCCTGGCAAGGTGCGTTTAGTCTCTCGAGGTTTGATTTGGGCGCAGGCTGATGGAGAGATGCGAATGTGCAGCTATATACCCCCGGCCCTGGCGATTCGCTCTCGAACTTTGAGGTGCACCTGAAGAACCGGCAACACCGGCAGCGGGTGAACGAGCGACTTGGCGCCTCATAGATTCCTGCACTCTCCTCGAACTCTATACAATAATCGAATGTTCCCTTTCTCGTTTTTCAAAAATGACCCAGCGTATTGCTGCGCACAGTGCTACCTGATCGAGCTTCTCCTACGAGGCTTCGTCGTAATAAGATTTCTTTCTTTCTTTTATTGCCTTACGTACTATTGTCTACGATGTCTACTAGATTTTCTCTGGAGTCCGCCCAAAAAATTGTTATTACCACTAGCTCGTTTTGATTGATTGTATATTTGCTATTCTAATGTGACTTTCGTGAAAATTGACATTTCACTTCTCTGCTACCTATCATGCGATGCACTAAATTCTTCAGAAAGAAGACTCGAATAGTGAGCTGTAACCAACCTCCGAGTCGGAGGAGTCGGAGGAGCCCTCTGGACTGGGAAGTACCCTTGGAACAGGTATCAACCTTTTGGACGCCCGAGACTGCCGCGCGAACGTCCATGGAGGCGTAAACATGGTCCAGTTTCCGTACGTTGCTGCCGTATGGCCCAAGTGTTGTTCCACTTCAAACCCGCTCAAGTGCGAGGAGTGCAACGCCATTATCTTGCTCATGGACAAATACATCTCAGCCCATTCACATTCAGCGCTGTAATTCAGCTTTTCACCCATATTGCAGACCACAAAATGAGGCCGGACGTGACTTGTGATGGGCCCAAGGGTGGCATATGGATACGTGTGTATCGCCCGCACACCACCCCTAGAAGGAGCGACGCTGATTACCTCGCTGCGCATGCTCTCGCGTGGAACAAGGTGGTACTTGAAGAGTCGAGATTGCTGTCGGAAATACTAGAGTGAATGCTTGTCATGAGTTGTTCCCGTTGATGGTCAGTTCTGCTCACCTCACCTTGTTGACTTTGACGGGTCTGGTCATGCGATGTCTAGCCTGATCATGAATGGCTTCTACTATATTTCGTTCAGGGATAAAAAACCACCGCCCTTCCTCAAAACTTTCGCACAGATCTGCGCTGACTGATTGGGAAGAGATCAGACGCTATCACATTCCCACTGAACGTTAGCTTACGCAGGATAGTGTTGAAAGGACTATTGACATTCAAACGAGTCCATCCCATGCCCCACGCCTCTTCAAGCCTCGTGAGCTGTCGAAGAAGTTGATGAAGCCATAGTAGTTATAGAAGGTGAGGTACCTTACCAATTTATCATTCGTGTTCAGAGAAAGCAATCGGCATGCTTTCAGGTTGGCATAAGCATTCGTGACAGGACAGTGGTGGTGTGCTTGAGTGAGTCCTTCTCTGGGTCCTGCACATGGTGTGTGATCTGTAGAAGCATAATCACCGTCAAGCTCGTCGCCGGAGGTGTCTGAGGTCATTTTTTCGAGGAAGGGTCGTTTTCTTCCACTTTTCATGATGAATGTCGAAAGCAAGAAGACTTGAAATGCGCACCGCCACTGCATGTACTCGTTTTAGCAACGTGGGAACACGGGAGCAGTGAGCAACACATGGCTGGTCACTTCCTCTACTACTAACTGTACCTTTCGGAAGTTGGAATGCTCCGCTCCGCTATGTTTTATCAGATTCAAATTGTAGCATTACAGACAGCTGATCAAATAAAATACTACATACACTGCCTATTCGACGGAAATACAGAACATTTGTTCTAAGAATTCTACTTCACCATCTCGACCCATGAGTCACATGAAGCCATGCTACTAGTGAGGGCTCCACCAAGTTTGGCAGATATACTCCATATCGCTGAGGCACTGACTACCGAGGCCTGGGAGCGGCGATGTCAAATGCTCCTTCATGGAGAGATAGGAATATTGCTGGGTGAGGACTTGCTGTAGGATGCTTTGCACCTCATGCTTTTGAAGAGCTGACAGAGACGAATACTTCGCGTACGCATCATACAATACATAATGCGGGTGAGCATGGCTTTTGAGAATTCCCAGGTCAATGTAAGGATGGTAGATGGGCTTCAACTGCCCATGAGAAACTCGGCCTATCGGGTTCCGCATGTCAATAGGAATAAAGAAATATCGGTACTCTGTTTTTCTCCTGAACTCCTGCGTGATTTATTAGGTTAAGGATTTTTAGGGGGGTCACCAATAAGAATGCTTACCTTATTGAGGTCCGTTTTCTTACTTTCAGACTCCTGTGCTTTCTCCAGGAGCAGCGAGATATATTTGGTGTCAGAATTACGTCTAGTATTCGACCCTTTGTGGCTTTATTGGTTCATCCAGAAGCCCTCGCACTACGCGGTATTCCTTCTCCATAAGGTCTACAAGTAAATACCGCTGCACACGTCTACACGGCGCTAGGTATCCTATGGGTAGTATTAGCGCCTCCATTGCATCCGTGTGACTCCGCGTTCATCGCATGAGTCACGTCATGTAGCTTACGTAGCCGTCCTACATTACCGTGGGACTCGGACTATATAGCTTTACGCATACGGTAGTGACTTCACACGCTCCTGTCATATATATACAGTCGCTACCATGAATATCATCTAAGTCTTCTCTTTCCACCGAACGACTACCATCGTCAGCCTACCAGCTACCAAGCTACTAACTCAACCTTCAACACTAACTGCCCGGTGAGTTCGTGCTCTTATAGACTTCTCAGCTATACTCGCGATCGTCCTTTGTCAGGTTATGAGCCCCGCGGGGCGCGGCGGAGCCTAGTACCTCAAGGCGGCTTAGTATGCCATGGGGGGAGTAAATCCGCGACAGTTCATCCGAAGCGGTTTTCCCCTTCGCCCTCTGGTTCATCCAGGGCGAGTGGGAATAAAGGGGACACCCTCCCATCATGTGTGAAGGGCCCATTCCACATCCGTGAGAACCCATGCACCTTTACCGGTTCGGGTCTCGAGCGGCTCTGGAGGTCTAGACCGCTAGTCTACCGCGGACTCGCCTGGGCATGATGTAATCCGTCAAGTGTACCCACGCTGACGTTATCTTTACCCCAGATTCATCAACATGTCTACTTCTGGCAACCTTACCCTCTCCACGTCTGCTCAGATCTGCGGTATCTACAACGGTACCGATCTCCTTTCCTGGCGT